TGATAAATGCTCTCGAATTGGGTTCAATTACTGCCCACGCAGCACAGGTTATTTAGTCGTATTTAGGCATGCTGTCCACAGTGCAGCATTGTGACTGGATGATTCAATATTGATATACTTGAGGGCAGGCCGTCCTACAGACGAGGTGATGCAACACACACGTGTCTCTTACCTGACCCTCACTACACTCCACTCACCATTCACCAGATATTGACACGAAGTAGACACTCACCACTTAAAAAGGAAATCAAATACTCAGATACGACTCACCAGACAGTCACCAGGCACTCTCCACTCACCCAATAACCACTCACCTATTGCCAGCCATAGTATATGCCGTACGCTGTGTAATAAGAACCTGGAGTCCATCGATGATGATCATGTGGTCATGGTTTTTAGATCTAGATCAAAGGTCATAGGTCACACGGCTCATCTTCAATACCAGAAGTTCCTGGATTATTAAGATTCACTGTAACGGGCCATCCATTTAGTACGTACGCATGGAGGGGAGAGGAGGGCTTAACGCAAATGTGTACGCTTGCGTATGGGGGTCTATTGACAATGTACGTACGCATAGGAAACGGGGGGGGTGGGGGGGGGTGAAGCCGATAATAATGTGTCTACATTGGCCTTCAAATTAGTTAGATAGTCCGGCGATGGATCATCTGTTTTCTTAAACACGTTAATATTAATCATCATTGATTGTTTCTGCGTGGATTAAATATCGGCCGTTCTATAGGATTCTGGGGGGTGGGGGGGGTGCGTCAAGCGTACGTACGCAGGTGGGGGTGGGGGGGGTGGGTGTAAAAAGTACGCGTGTGTACAGGGAGGGCTCACGTTTTGACAGATTTTTGCGTACCTACTAAATGGATGGCCCCTTATTGCTAAGGGCTCCAACAACCAAACATGAAGAAACTTATCAAAGACTTCAATCACAGTTGGAGAAAGATTCCAAGCGGACCTGTGTGACCCCCCTGCTTTTGAACTAGCGCAAGGTCATATATTTCGCACATATTTCATCTTCAAAACCGTAGTTCCCTGTTTCAGTGTGGTGAGAATGAGGCCTCACTGCACTTCGATAATCACTCAAGCAAATGCTGTGACTGACACTGACATATGATTGAAGCTATTTGAGAACAAAATGAGAGGATTTATCCGCAAATCTGGCTATCGCCTGATAATGCTAGTTGAAATTGCTGGTGAAACGTCATACTCGAATTATAAATGTTGGCATGTTTTGTTTACGTGACAAATGTTACTAATTGGCTGTGTCGGGTAGTGGCGGGTGGATTAACGATACATTTATATTTACGCAACCTATCCCAAACAAAGAATATTATGAATGAAGCTGTTCACCATGTATATAGATTGGTGACAAACTGTGACTGCCAATTTTTATGAAAATCATTCCTATGACTTCGGTCTATAGCCACGGGAATACAAACCGCGCAGTGGGTGGAAACTTGATCAGGACTTTCACGGTTTTTACATTATGCATGGGCAGAATTAAATGTGCAAATTACATTTTGCATAAAGTGTTAATTTGTGTTAATTTGCAAAAATAACAGGTCTAAAGAGGCGTAACTAGGGTGTACGTGGATGGCAACTCGGTAAATATACGGTAGCATCTGAGGAAACTTACAACAGCACTGATCTTCTTTTGTTCTTTCGGTAAAGTCACGTAGAATGAGAATAAAATAATAAATTGATAAAATAAAATAACAATAATATTCTCACGACGTTTCGGCCACAACACAAGCGGCCTTCATCAGGTGAAGGGACGCTTGTGTTGTGGCCGAAACGTCGTGAGAATATTATTGTTATTTTATTTTATCAATTTATTATTTTATTCTCATTCTACGTGACTTTACCGAAAGAACAAAAGAAGATGAATCCTTGCAGTCACGAAAGCTTTAAATCGAAATTTAACAGCACTGATGATAGAAAAAGACTCAACCAACTCGTCATTAACACCACTGGCCTTAAAAAGGAAAAAAATATATAAAATGGGCGACATTTTCGGACAATGCCCCTTCCTCATAGCACATTTATAGCACATTTATGTGCTATGAGGAAGGTGCATTTTCCTTTGAAGGCGGATTTATTGATCAATATGTTGGGTTTTGTTGTTGTTAATTGTGCTTGTGCACAACTGCCAACACAGCAGCATCAGCATCATAAAATTAGTTTTTCCCATCGATAGCCTTTTGGCTGGCCATTTTAGAAGTCCTCCAAGTGCCCATCAGATAGAACACATGGAACAGCGGGCAGAATTAAGAGCGACGGCTTATGTTGTGCTGATAAAGACGGCAACACCTGGCCGAGCTGGCAACCGCTGAGACCCCCCCGGTGGGTTGAACCTGGGCAGCTGCCCATGAATAAAGTGGACGCTCAAGTGCAGTGAGTGTTTTTTTTTTTGGGTTTCAGCCTGGTCGCGAGCGGCTTTACGAAACAAATAAAAAAAAACCTCGTTGAATGTGATTTAATTTAGATAAATTTCCACTTTGAGAATACTGTGGTAGAATTTCAATAACATTGAAGGGCCGGCGGGGAGTGAACTAAAATAATAAAGAAGATGAATGGCACTACTGCAATGAACTAAACTAAACTATGGAGCCCGAGTATTCCGCAGATCTTTGTGCGAAAACGATTGTGGGGCTCTTCGTGCAGTGGAAGCCATGTCACCCCAGCATTCCTGCTAAATTTAGCCCAGTTGGTTATTCCGTGCCTCTATCTACTGAGCTGTGCAACGAGATGGCGAGTGCGGTGCTGCTACAGGGAGAGAGAGCACGTGCGCGAGCCCGCCAATTGCGGCCATGCGCGCACAATCGGCGAGCTGCTGCTCCTAAACGCTTGGCCCTGCCCGGGCACGACCGCCGACGCTAACGAAGTGCACGCGCTCAGATCGGACGCGGCGCGAAAGCCACGGCGATGGGTGGAATGACTCGAAGTAAGCAATCGCTCGCCGCTCCTCCACTCTGCCGCCGCCGCCGCCGCCACAGGGCCGTGTTTATCCGGTCACATTCCTCCGGCAGACGGCCACAAGCGCAAATGGAGACAGCCTTCTTCATTTTGTGCAACCGGTTGCTTTTGTCCGAATCTCCGAAATGCGATTTGACCTCAGTGTATTTTGGAAATGTTAATGCGCTGACTCTTGTAAAAGAGTGCCATGGTGACGAGGTGTTAACTACCACACTTGGCATACGAGAGGTCGTGGGTTCGATCCCGATCTTGACAGCCTGTGTGTTTGCGTTTAGCATCTTCTCCCCGTGGTCGCGTGGAATTTTGTCCGGGTCCTCCGGTTTTTCCCTCTCCATTTAGAACCTTGCGTCTCGAGTATTTGGCTGCTATACATTTCCACATGATAAGCCACTTCGTTGAGCTATCATTTGTGGCCAGGTCGCTTCTCAAAAAGAGCTACATACTGTAGCTCAGTGTGCCTTGCCTGGTAAAATAAAATAAAAAATAGTTGAAATAGTTAATAGTATGGTTCGTCATGCGCGTACATTTTAATGGAAAAACATCCGTAAGCGCTGTGCCACTATGGGGGAAAGTGGTGGCGTGGCGATTGGCACGCTGTGCTATTAATCGGGTCACCCGAGTTCGATTCCTGCCCGTCGCAAACATCAGTTGCGAATTTTTGCCAATATACACTGACCAACCTGGTGAAGTATGGTCTAACAACCCCCATGACCGGCAATGCACAGGAGAGGTCTTTATCCAAGAGTGGCTTGATGAAGGGCTGTAAATTATATATAACTATGTAACACGATTTTTGTTCCTGGGTAGTAAGTGTTATTTTCTAATTGCTTATGTCTGAAAATGAAAGAAAATGGCTATTATTATTCCCCACAAACTTTGCTTTAGTGACCAGGGCTTCACGTGCAGGAATGACACAAATGCACACCACGTGTTTTCATTGAAAATAGGTAAATTTCAAAATATCACACTCCTGGTCAGAAGCAAAGTTTGTGGGGAATAATAGCCATTTTATTTCATTTTGAGGCATAAGCTATTAGAAAATAACACTTACTACCCAGGAACCAAAAAAATGTTTTTGTTACACAGTTAATTATTTTATTATGAGCCGCGTACCATGTCAAAGTTTATAGACGCTTGTAATTGCTTACTTTCATTGGCAACAATGAAATATCAACGGCACTCACAGCAACATAGCCGGTTATCCCATTGCTGTATTAGCATATCATAAGACGCTCCGGAATAATATAATGCACGCCAAACGTATGTAACCTGATCACAAAGAGACAAACATACCGACCAGATTACTTTTGCCCTTTAAAATACCTGGTAGAAAAGTGTGTGTCTTGCAACCTGACGAATATGATATCAGTAGGGCCGGCCAAAAGTGGGGTGGGGGGCCCTTGACGCTTTCAGACTGAAAACCCAACATATTAAATCTGACACCGTGACGTAAAAGCGTGAGGCCCCCCCCCCAAAGCGTGGGACCCGGGGCTGTTGCCCAGATTTGCCGTTACCCAAGGGACGGCTTTGGGTAACAGTGGAAGAGTCACCAGGAGACTTGGCTTAGATCTCCCAATTTGCATGGGCAGACGACAGCAGTCTGGGCACAGATTCTGAAGTATTGCTGGCTCTAGCCTGGGAAAGATAAGATTTAGTTGTTTTTTTACTTTTTACAAAAATGATGGCAAATTCCTTTCTCCTGAGACTGAACATTTCACTGTATTTTTCGTGAGAGCGATGGGGAAGGTGCTCATGAAGATGTTCACGTTTACCGATTTTCGTATCAGCTTGTCTCAAGTCTGCGTGCAGCATCAAACAGTCGGTGTGACACATATATATGTATATATATACACTGTGTATGGTGGTGTCGCATATATCACTGGCATTTTTTGACAAGTGCATCGTGATTTCTTTAACATGTTTTTTTTTTCTTTCACCGAGCGTTTAAACCGATTGAGCACTCTTACAAATGAATTACGGTGAATTGCTGTGTTACTTTTCTTCGCGTGTCTCTGCAGGAATTGTACAGCTGCATTTACGGAATTGAAATTTCCAATCGAAAGAAATACATGCAGTCGCCGAAGAAGCGTGTGATGGACACAAATTCGAGCATCGTGAGGTTACTGAAAACCGCGCGTAGCATGGCCAACCTGACTCACATCAACGGGAGCAATTCCACTCCTCACCGCAGCAGCAGCAACAACGAACGGGCACCCCAACCGACCCACGGCATGAACGGGCCCTACCACAGAACGTCGATAAACAACTCGGTCCTGTACAACCACAACCCGTCTTCGCACCGCTCCAGCCTGCGGGAGACGAGCTTTCACGAGAGCGACGCCGCGTCGCAGTACCGCTCCAACGCGAGGCTGTCATCGCGCGGTTCCTTTTCCCTGAAGGAGCAGGAGCAGATCCACCCCTCGGTCCGGGCAAACTCGGTCAACACGACGATCCACGAGTTCGGCGAGGCGGAGCGCAACATGGCGAGGTCTCGCCACGCCTCCGAGAGGCCCCGGGACCTGGCCCCGGGCCTGCGGGGCATGCGGAGGAGCGCGTCCCATGCCTACATCGCGTCGCAGAAAATGTACAAAAACGGATCGGAGCTCGGCAGGGGCTACGTGTCGGACCTAGAAGACATACGGGAGCACAGCCCCATCCTGAGGCACGACGCCTACAGGGAGAAGAACGTCCCCTACAGAAAGTTTGATCGGAACCTGCGCGACGGCGGTCGACTCCCGGGACGCTTCTCGCTCAAGGAGAAAGAACTCTACGGGATGCCGCCCCCGCGTATAATGACCAAATATGCATCCATGGACTGGAAAGACCCAAAGATATTCACCCGCGATGCCCCCAACGTCCTGGAACCGGCGGCGGCGGCGAAGAAGAGGTCACTGTTCAAGCGAAGCGACAGCTTCGTCGAGCAAGAGGCCACCATGCGTTCTACCTCCTCCATCGGATCGTACTTCCCGCAGCACGAGGAGTGCAGCGGCTGCAGGATGAAATGCCACGAGGTCGCGCCGATGAGCGTGCACAAGGGGGAGCCGGCTCACCCGTCCCGGAGCTGCCCGGGCCACTCCAAGTGGTACGGCAACACGCACGGCGGCGCGCGTCACCAGTGCGTCGGCTGCAAGTGCCCCGGCATCGCCGACAAGAAGGCCGCGGCGGACCACGGGGAGCGCTACATCGCGGAGCGGCAGAAGCGGCCGCGCGGCGACGACGAGTGCTCCTTCAGCTCGTTCTCGTCGCACAACGTGCACAGCGCGCCGCCGAAGGAGTCCCACCACAAGCACGGTTACGCGCCCGAGTACGACAAGCCGGCGGAGATGTACTCCTCCTCCGCGGCCGCCGCGGCCAAGGGCGACTTTGCGGAGGGGAAGTTCGGAGACACCGACGGTGCCGAGTCGGTGCGGACGATGCACTGCTACCGGCCGGGCAACTCCGGCGACGCGGAGGCGGGGCTGCAGCACGGCCGCCACCAGCCGCCCGAGTGCCAGCCGCACAAGGCCTTTGCGGATTCGTACCCCGAATCCCTGAGCTCGTCCTACACCGACCGGGGTTACTTGAACACGACTAACTTCGGTCGACGGGCGGCCGCCGCTGATCAAGCACACAACAGACACTTCCCTCCCATCAATAAATCAGAGGGCATGGGCTGGGTTCAAAAACACAACTCAGCGGAAGAAATTCAACTTTGTAATCAAGACACAGTTGCCAAAATGCCTTATTTTCTAAGCAAGACTGATGGGTGGACAGTACCACGACCCATCAATAGTACTTGCATTAGAAGGGTCTACAGCAAGCTGCCAAGTGTGGAATCAGAAGTCTGAAACTTGGTGTACATATATATAATTTATACAGTGCTGTAATCTGCTGTACAAGAATACCTGTGAATATTTAACATTAATATTGTACATAAATGAAATGTTCAATTTTGCACTTAAATGCTTCCGTCTTGGCACTCTTCTTTATACAATCTGCATGGTTTATTGGTGACTTTTCACTTGAAAAATTAACTGTTCTAGTTTAAAACATTATTATAATTATTTCCTAAAGTAGATTGTCATCGACATATGTACACAATGTGTGGAGTTTGTATAAAATAAAAAGGGTAGATTAAAAAAAAAGTTCCAAAAAGAGTAATTTGCATGGAAAATACCACATTTTTCTGTGGAAAGCAATAGGAAGCATGAAGTCTGCGACCTCTGAGAGGCGGTACAGAAAACTGCTCTCGTGCGACGTGGCAAATTTACAATAAGCCATATAAACCATCGTAACGTTTATTTTCTCATTATTCAAATTATCTTCAAGCGACGTGAGCAAATTTCGGGCTAAAATTTATACACATTTTAAAAAGGCTAAAAAAAATCCTCGCCGCGCATTTCTTTCAAAGTTGACGGCGCTTGGCACAAATCCGTCATTTGGCACCGCGTTCCCACGCGACAATGGGTAGAGTCCTGACGTCTAACGGAGAACGGTTCCTCGTACAGTATGTACTGCCTTAAAACGTTAACATTCACCTACCCAAGTACATATTATTATTTAAATTATGAAACATATCAAATGAGAGCGACTAATTTGATATTTATTTTGGTAAGGCGTTGTCACGTGTTCAAAAAAAAGTATCCGCAGATGAATGTGCAAATTTCCTTGCTCACTGCATCACAGGTTGACCAATTCCAGGGTTCGATGTAAAGTATTGTTTAAAGCCATATAAACCTTTCAGTGCACCTCCAATGATTTCCCTCCACATTTTGTGCTTGTATATATAAATCTCTCTCTCTCCATACAAACCCTATACTACAACCTTTTTGTAAGATAAATACCCGTGTCGTTATATATACACACACCATTTTTAATGTGACAGGGTAAATACAATACAATTCTGTTTAATTGTACCGTAGCAAATCGTTTTACATTCAAATAGGTAAAGAGGGCTAAATATTTAGTAGGAGATATGCTTTTTCCATTTTTCCATACACGGTGTTAGATTAGTAGCCATTGTGTTATTTATTTCTTTGCAGTTAACACACATACTATGTGCATGCATTTTTACCTTCTACATTTTTGTAGCAAAATAATATAAATTATCGCATTTACCTTTACAATCGTTTGCAGTTCGTAGAGCTACATATGCTTTGTTTTGTATGGCTGCAGCCGAATGGCCCCACACTCTTGAGGCCCCTTCGTCACTCTAGTCCCGCGGTGTGGGATTTTGACGTCATTTCATGGAGGTTTATGGTGCAAGGGATGCATTTCCACACACGTCACATCCGAAGCCACCAGGTGTAAAATACTGCGTGTTATACATTCCTTGCTTAGCGTTCGCCAGTGATCTTTTTTAAACGGAAGACGTGTATAATATATAACTATATCAACAAGTTAGAAGTTTACACTAATTAACACATTTCTCATTCATCATTTTACTTCCTTTCACTGCCGGTTTGAAGATTTCCATCCATCGTGTCTACACATGGCAATATTATAACCGAAGCTATAAAACCTACAAATCTAGCAAATCCTTTCCGATAATAAAATGGGTTCGTGGTCGTGTGGTTTTAGCCAATATCACAAGTTAGTATATGGAAGATGGAGTCAATATTTAGGTGTGACACGGTTTTTATAATAAGAGTAATGTTGTTTTATTATTAATCAACATCTGCAATGTGCTCAAGATCCCTTGTTGTTTAACCTACATGTATTAAAATTTGACCACATTTACTTGAAACTGCTTATTTTGACCGAATAAATTTCATGAATTTAAAATCAATGATGAGCCTCTGCTTGATTTTTCCAACGCGTGCTGCTGCAGAACTAAAGAGTGCTTGGGAGAGCGGAGGGTTCGTTAGCATGCCGTGCCACTGCACCGAAAACCCGGGTTTGACTCCCAGCCGTGATCTATAGGCAGGGGTCAGCATTTCAAAATAACAAGAAGAGCTATTTTTTTCCTGTGGAATTCGGACAAATATAACTCAATATTTCAAAAGCCGCAATGCACATGAATAACGTCAGAGCCTCATGCGGCTCCAGAGCTGCATGTTGCCAACCCCTGGGCTGTAGTGTCTCCATAACATCAGTGGCCCCTGGGCTATAGTGTCTCCATAACATCAGTGCCGAGTGATATATGAACCAATTCTGGACCCCGAACCCTTCGCAAACCCTCACCGATGGTTATGGTGAAGTATGTAATTGAGATGATTTTAATACAGCAGTGAAATGCCCGAAGGCTGTAAATTATGAGCACCAGTATTACTCGTAAAGTAACTATTTCTGTAGCTGACTGCTTTTGACAGACATCATTTGGATTACTGTATTAATTTTAACTTTCTAATCTGCTTTATTCTGAACCCTTTCATCCAATCTCCTGTGAAATGCATCACTACTTGACAATTCTTCATTATTTATTCAGTGGCTGTGTTAAATAATATTGTGCTAATAACCACGACTTTCTTTGCCTAATTAATGATTCTCAAGAAAATGAAGCCAAGCATTTCTGCGATTACAACAACAAAACCTAGAAGTGCCTAAAATTGCGCAACGTGCTGGACTTGACATGTTACGCTCGTTTAATAGGACAAATGCATCAGCAGACGCAACTCAAAAGTCATTGTTTTAGTGTAAGCTGCAATGCAGTGGCGGTCGGTGGTAACGAGGTTTTTTTTTAATAAAATTCATTTTTTGGTGATGACATTGGAATGGGTGTGGGGTGAGAGAGACATAAATAGAAAGATGTAGATACACGCACATCAAAAGCATCGTTTTCACCGTTGATAAAAGTGCGTTCTGTGCGCGTACAGCTTCCTGGCGGCTCGATCCCACTCATCACTACACATTGATGAGATGAGAAACTAGGGTCATTAAACCATGGATCCGACGAGACCCAGATCCTTGGTGGCAATTCCTACAATCGCTTATACCCGACAGGGGATGGGGTAGTGCCTAGAAGCTCACCAAATCAACCGTCGCCTCTCTCTCATTTTAGCTCAATCATTTGGGCAAACACACCCCTGAAGGTTGGCATTTAAAGGATTAATCTGACACCAATGGATGGAGGCGGGAGTGCAAACGGTCGAGGGGCTTACTTGACCCCGATTTGCGGCCACATTCAAAATGTAAAGGCCAAGTATGACATCGCCAGCCATGGGGTTGTTGTTTTTAAAGATATATATTTTACATGAAGGCATGCGATCTTTTCTCTCTCCCCCCAAAATCCAGTTGTCAAGAGCCCACGCGCTTTAAAAATAAAAAAAATCTTAATTCTTCAATAAATCACGAGTCATTCATAAGCCCTTACTTGAAAGCAACGGTAATCCGAGAGCGCAGAAGTTCTCCTCTTCCATTATCGCCTCCTGACGGAGCGCTGCCGGCAGATGACAAGGGGTAGAGAGGAGCCTCGAAGGGATATCTTCTGGGTCCCCTTGTTCGCAATTTTTGTTCTTCAAATTTCAAATGCGGACGTGCGGAGCTTGGCAAGAAGCAAGCGTGGCAATGGACGCCCGTCGTGCGAGATGCTCCACCCTCACTGAAGCCGAGGATGTCCCCAAATTTCCCCGTCGGAAATGATTCGGTGCCGCTGCGACTGGCAATAACATAAAGTCAACACATTGGTCAATACCACCGTGGCCTTAAAAATGAAAGTATTATAGTTTTTTTTTTACTTACAGTATTATTATTTCCTTTTACGGCGGTGTTATTGGCGAATGCGTTGATCGATTTCGTTATCTTTGTAATATCGCTCTCCTTTGCCTCAGAAACATGTCTCCTAAACCTCGTAAGGGGTTGATTAATTGACTAAATCTCACGACGCGCCTTGCTCCGAACAGTCCACGTCATTCGTGAAATCAGTCCGGTATTGTGGTTCAATTGTGGCAAGCACTTTGTGTGTGGATAAAAAAAAAGGAATCCCGTGTCAATGATGGCGGCTATTTGACCATACTGTACCACCGGCCGTCTAAATATATATTTGTTTTTTATATATATAAAACTTGAAGGAGCACCAAACACTGGGTCTTGGCAATTGGTGGCCGCTCATAATGATGCCTCTTATTCCCACAAAGCCTCGCGTGTCAGGGCTGTGGTGTCACCTGTATTGTGTGACAGGTAAACGTGTCAGGGCTGTGGTGTCACCTGTATTGTGTGACAGGTAAACGTGTCAAGGCTGTGGTGTCACCTGTATTGTGTGACAGGTAAACGTGTCATGGCTGTGGTGTCACCTGTATTGTGTGACAGGTAAACGTGTCATGGCTGTGGTGTCACCTGTATTGTGTGACAGGTAAACGTGTCATGGCTGTGGTGTCACCTGTATTGTGTGACAGGTAAACGTGTCATGGCTGTGGTGTCACCTGTATTGTGTGACAGGTAAACGTGTCAGGGCTGTGGTGTCACCTGTATTGTGTGACAAGTAAACGTGTCAGAGCTGTGGTGTCACCTGTATTGTGTGACAGGTAAACGTGTCAGAGCTGTGGTGTCACCTGTATTGTGGGACAGGTAAACGTGTCATGGCTGTGGTGTCACCTGTATTGTGTGGCAGGTAAACGTGTCAGGGCTGTGGTGTCACCTGTATTGTGTGACAGGTAAACGTGTCATGGCTGTGGTGTCACTTGTATTGTGTGACAAGTAAACGTGTCAGGGCTGTGGTGTCACCTGTATTGTGTGACAGGTAAACGTGTCATGGCTGTGGTGTCACCTGTATTGTGTGACAGGTAAACGTGTCAGGGCTCTGTAGTGTCACCTGTATTGTGTGACAGGTAAACGTGTCATGGCTGTGGTGTCACCTGTATTGTGACAGGTAAACGTGTCAGGGCTGTGGTGTCACCTGTATTGTGTGACAGGTAAACGTGTCAGAGCTGTGGTGTCATCTGTATTGTGTGACAGGTAAACGTGTCAGGGCTGTGGTGTCACCTGTATTGTGTGACAGGTAAACGTGTCATGGCTGTGGTGTCACCTGTATTGTGTGACAGGTAAACGTGTCAGGGCTGTGGTGTCACCTGTATTGTGTGACAGGTAAACGTGTCATGGCTGTGGTGTCACCTGTATTGTGTGACAGGTAAACGTGTCAGGGCTCTGTAGTGGCACCTGTATTGTGTGACAGGTAAACGTGTCAGGGCTGTGGTGTCACCTGTATTGTGTGACAGGTAAACGTGTCAGGGCTGTGGTGTCACCTGTATTGTGTGACAGGTAAACGTGTCAGGGCTGTGGTGTCACCTGTATTGTGTGACAGGTAAACGTGTCAGGGCTGTGGTGTCACCTGTATTGTGTGACAGGTAAACGTGTCAGGGCTGTGGTGTCACCTGTATTGTGTGACAGGTAAACGTGTCAGGGCTGTGGTGTCACCTGTATTGTGTGACAGGTAAACGTGTCAGAGCTGTGGTGTCACCTGTATTGTGTGACAGGTAAACGTGTCATGGCTGTGGTGTCACCTGTATTGTGTGACAGGTAAACGTGTCAGGGCTGTGGTGTCACCTGTATTGTGTGACAGGTAAACGTGTCATGGCTGTGGTGTCACCTGTATTGTGTGACAGGTAAACGTGTCAGGGCTGTGGTGTCGCCTCCTGTATATTTAAGCGACGTTTCGGGCAATGGCCCTTCTCATTCGTATAAGGGCCGTCACTCAAAATGCCGTCTTTTTTTATTACACGCTTTCATTTAACTCGCTCTGTTGTTGTTCTTGTCGTTGTTGTTGTATCCTCAAATCTTGTAACTCAATTTTTACCCACTTCCCAATGTGGTATCGACTGCAAACTTGATATACTTATGTCATACTGATGACAATACTATATTCTATCATAAAATATATATTTTTAAACATTCTTTCATATGTTATGTTTCGGCTTGGGTCTAATTGTCCACGCTCAACTGACGTTGGCTGTAATTGACCACGGCCCCCTGACGTTGTGGCAAAGCTTCGGGCCCACTTCTTGGAGTCGTGGAGTTCTTCCATTACTCCAGTACATTTAATAAAAGCGTGTTTTTAAAAAAAGTTTTTTTTTTTTAAATATTACTTTTCAGGCAGCGTTGTTAACGAATCCGCCGACCGTTCTGTTGTCGTTATCGATTGAGTGCGCCGCTGCCCGCGCACTATCAGCGAATCGTTTGTGTCGACGTTCAGCAGATGCCCGGGCACCTGTCGTAGAGATCGGCCGATTGCCACCCCCCACCGGTAGCAGCTCCCGTCCCGGGGCGAATGCGCTGTCCGCAAGCCGGCCGTGCCCACGCGCAGGGCACGCAAATCGCGAGACGTCGCACGTCGCGCTCGAAGTGAGGAGGACGCGGCGAGGATGTTTATATTCCTGCTCCCCCCCCCATCACCTCCACCGCCACCTTGCTGGCGCGCTAAAGGTGGACAAAACAAACGGGGGAAATAATTACAAAGACCACGCGCGGGTCCCCTCCTGCCAGAGGGTATGGGCACCATCAAAGCGGTCCCATTCATCCGTTTCAAAGTTTAAGCGATCTTCACTAATCTAGATTTGAAGTTTTCGTACGATCTTCGATGTTATTCGGCAGCCGACTTGATCCGACGCACGCGTTGGGATTTCTGCTGGGTCCTTCCCTCCGTAACAAAAGGCAAACAGTTCCGATTCCACCGCACTTTCCTCGCTTCCATGGGATCTTGCAACTGCTACCACAGGCGACACGTGTCCTCCATGACCTGCTATTCCTCCTTCTTGCTTCAAGTCATCTCTTTAAGGTCACCTGCCATCCTCCACTCCGCACGCACGCCTAATCCATTGCACTCTCTTCTTCCTGATTGTCTGCAAAGCTTCCTTGACATTGGAGTCGCAACCATGCCAAGTCCCTGACCCTATTGTATCATGAAATATCAAGCATCCTCCACACACCCAAAGCGCATGATGCACATCCCTACCAAAATGCCGAACACCCTGCCGATCATCTATATTCCCACTTCCTACTGACACCCACAATAAACAAAGAGCAACCCTATTCCTAGGCTTCACAATGCGTTCAGTTTGTTGTCCCTCCCCTGCACCTCCGATTAGCACGGCTGGCTACGCGCAGTGAGTAAGAAGTTCAACATACATAGAATGTAAACATGTGATTGAACGTACTGTATAGTAAGTCAAAGTAAAGTAACCTTCGACAAAATTTCAAGTTTATTTTGCTTAACCACGCGAGAACTCCAAGAGACCTGGATAAGTCCAAGTTGCAAGAGTGACCTGAGGCCTTAAGTCTGCCAATAGCAGGCGATGACTACTGTGTATAATCCCATTTTAGTCATGAGTGGATCAATTTCGTATTTGGCGCATTTGAACAGCGATGCCAGCACGCAACAGACCCAACTCTTGCGAATGACGTCAGATGATCTTTCAGGTCCAATGCGAAGCAGAGACATCGTGTTATTACGGATATTACTCCCGCAGTATTAACCAGGGCAAGCCGCTGGAACCGCACCGTGAAACCTCGACAACAAGCGGGGGAAACTCGTAACCGCTCGGCCATGGCACCAACCAATCAAGTCGGGACGTATCAAAACCACTCAATTCCAGAAGCGTTATCCACAGCGTCTTCTTTTATTACGAAGTTTCGTTTAATAAAAAAAAAAGTACTTGTAGACGCACATTCGTTTCCCCCCCACCCCATCCACCAGAGACACTTCTCGTGCCAGTCCACAGCATGCACCGTCATACACCTGTGACATCGCAACCAAAAAGGTGGCAAGTACACACTTACAATAAAAGTTATGATCAGCATCACGTAAAGCAATTGTGAGCAGCAACCTTCCCAGCGTCAGTCTTCATCATCATCATCAAGATTCAGTGCCCAAAAAAACCCTTTAAAAAAAGAGAAAAAGTTGCAATAAAGGACGCAGATGTTTGGGTTGGTGGGTGGCGCCGCAGTCCAGCCAATCTCGGCAGCGACTTCTGCCTTCGAGAAGCTCCAGCCGAGGTCACACAAGTCGTCCCAGGGCGGGCGACGGCCTCCTCCTGCCACGTTGGCGCATGGCCCTCGGGCTGACGTCCGCAGCGGGCCCCCCCCCCCCCCCCCCCCCCCCCGGAGCACCGTCCACGCGCGCGACACCGCGAACGACTCAAACCCCACGACGCCGTCGCAGAGACTCCGACGGCAGAGACGTCGGCGCGCTTCTTGGAATTTCTTCTCGGCCGGAGACGCACTGCGGGGCTGCCTCCCTGGGTCGTCTCAGCGCCGCAAGTTTGGACACCGCGGCGCAACAGCGCACAAAACAAAAAAGGAATGCGTTTGAGAGGTTCGCAGCGCCGCGCGCTTGCAGGAGGATTCTGTAGCGAAGACGTGCGGCGCGCGCTCTGGAACCCCGCTTGCATTGATTCCGTTAGCAAATCTTTTTTAATTGCACAGTTCGATGCACACAGCAAACTTCGTTATTATTATTTTTAAAAATGTAAAAAAAAAGCAATAACTGAACGTGGAGGTGCGTTTTAGATATGAATCAACCACAAAAATATTAAGACAATTAGTTGATTAGAAAAACTGTGATTGCCATTCAGGCTAAATGTGCATTACGCGCCAAGCCCAGGTTCGTGGATAGTGCCGAGATCACGTGCATGACATACATACACCTCCAAAGGCAGTGAAAAAGGATGCCTGTAAGATGCAGTACAGAAAGTAGGTATCTCAACCGAGGATAAATTGAGTGTTCTTCTCGTGTGTCGGTTCTATCTCGGAAACCCAGTTTCCTCCCTCATTAAACAATACACGTTATAGAAATAAATTATAAAAGCCAATTTAAGCAGGACTCGTGAAAAAAAGTATTTGGACTCGACAATGCTTATTTGGGTTAACACATTGCGACATTCCGATTATCTGTTATCCTGTAAACTGCCATCCCAACATCTGCCGACTTAGGGAGCCACATTTTCACAACTCCATCATTGCGCAAGTCCTCTCTATATTGAACAAAAGGGTCACAAATTAAGCGATTGGTAAATTCAACATACAACACAAGTTTTTTTTAAAGACAGTAATAATCATGTACAGCCTCTCTAAAGTCGCTGCCCGATGGCCTCTCCACTCTGTGGGAAAGCCGTGTGGTTTACTGACCATACTTGACCAAGCCGACTTGTGCGGGTTGACAAAGGGGAGGCCCCCAGAACTTCTTCAGATATCGCTTGTCATTGGCGTTAACCATGGCTGGGAATTGAACTCTTTGTTACTGGCTTCATTAGGCACTGCACCACAGCTCCCCACAGTCATTTGTTATAGTTCTAAAAACCAGAGAAAAGAGAAAGTGTCCTCCAAGCAGAGAAAGCCTCGCTATGACGAGACTTTTTTCAGGAGGTGTTCTGCATTACGATGTTTGGTCAATTCCTCTTTTTAATCATGAGTGTTTTGCGTGTAGGAACAAGGCCAGGAGAAACCCGCACGCATGATGGGATAACACGATACAATCAACACAGGTTGGGCATGGCACAATTTGTACATCCTCCCATTTCTTAGTCAAAGCATGTGAGTAAACGTGCATTAGCTATTATAGCACGGCTTTACAAGTGTGCGAACCAATGCACGGGAGGATGTGGAGTTGAGTGGACTTGCCAACGACTGCTACCAGCGGTGTCAAGATCGACCTCTGTGGAGGAGGCTCATGAAGGCCGCTACTGGACAGTTGGAGGCAGTCGCCCTCCAGCAATAATGGAGGGCAGAGGAGCGATGCTCCCAACAATGAGCAGAGCGCCGGGCGGCTAAAATACAGCACAAGTTGGCACAGTAGGGGGTACAGCTGGTGCATCTACCAGTCATCTCAGTCAGCGAACCCATGGCACTTGAGTCTGTCCGAGACCTCGGGACAGACTCGACACTTCCCGTGGCCGCAAAGTGCACCTGGCCTGGCACACGCGCCGTGGTGACGTCACCATCACTTAGTGGCGAATGGCGGGTATTGGTATTGGTGCCAAAGCACTCGGCCAGTTGCAAATGAAATTTTTAATTCCTGAACATAAGTGCGCTTTACAAAACTGCTTTTAGCCAAATTACTTTAATCACCGTCGAGGGACGTTTTACAAAAAGACACGTTAAATCAAGTTTTTACTCCTTAAATATTTTCCCTTAAAAGATTTTCTCAGACGGCCGCAACATACATGATGCCTCCACATATCGTTGACAGACGCATACATAATGACAATAAATCAACAGACAGGGCCTATTTGGAAGTGTCAACATGTCTCTCCAGTCATAAATTGAATTGTCCATTGCCGACTGCATCAGATGAATTGAGCAGAGCGGCGCAGCTTGACTTACAGCCGACTTCTGACTGCATCCTGCCAGTTGGGGGTTTTACACCCCTCCAATTGCCAACATTGAATGTGCAGCGTTGGACGAGGGGGGGCGGGATGCAGAACGGGCCACAAAGCAGCTGAGATTTTACGGCAACTCATTTTAAATGAGACAGCGGATGAGAAGGGATTCGCTGAATTAGGGGGGAGAGGACGTGTACGAGTGAAAACTGAGATGACTATAAAATTAAGATACAAACAAATATATTCAAACACCGTTGGCGTAATGGCCATTGTTCCACCGAATAAGACGAGTAAAATCATTTAAAAATATAACGGCACCGTCGTCATTGTATACCCCCATGTATTTTTTACACGTCACACGGTGTGAGAAAAGCTCGTGCGTTTCTTCGTCAGGAAAGTCCACAGGTTGTAGAACATGGCACAGTTGATCTTGTCCGAATTTTTGCTGTAGAAATTTAGGAAAATCCCCAACACTACCACTGCTCCCGCGAATACGTAGCTGCAAAAAAAAGCATCGTTCAAAATGTTTCACAACGGCGTCTGATTCAAACATGGAACAGGCACAGCGATTACTACAAAAACGGTAATTTATTGCCTGCATATGCGTTTAACTAGTTAACAGAAACTAAGGACGATGCATGTGAACGCGTAACTGTTAGCAGACTCGGGCCACTTTTTATTGACTTTAGAATCACTCTTCCAAAAGAGCACCCCAAACAAACGGTTATTGAAAAGCTGATGTCATATTTAGCCCAAACAACCTGGAAAATATCCAAATGCAATCTTTCGTAGATTAAAAAAAACTAAAAAAAAATGTCAATGTTTACCCAGATCGCACTGACAAAGTTTGCAAACTAATTAAAAGTTTACAGCATTTTACTTGCAGAAATCACCATCAGTTTACGTGCATGCAGTGAACAACAATTCCCTTGCATCACAAACATTTATGGCTGTAAAGCTTCACAGCTGATGACTCCGTTCCAAATGTTTTTGGCAGCAAGGCGTCAATGTTTTTCCACTATATCAACTCTTGTTTATGTTCAGGGTCCGAGCGCTGCAAAGCGTGAAATAAATCGTTGTTGCGTTTTCATTAGACTTCCAAACATTCAACGCAATCGCGCTCCCGAATATTTGGTGCGGCTTTTCATAGGCGCCAATGTTCGGTCGCGTAGGTATAATGTAATTAATAAAAATATGACCCTCCACCATCTGCCAAAGCAAATCAGCTCAGATCAAATTGTCACGTCATGAGAAAATATGCAGCTGATTTGGGTTTTCAGCTAACCGAAATGTTTGTTGAAGAGCATGCATAATTTTATAATTTTACACGATGAATGACTGGAGATTACATACAGCATCATCAGCTGTTAACAAAAGCTCGGCTCTCTCTTGCTTGAAAGAGCTTCCTGATTCTCATCCTTAAGTAGGTGATATGACATCATCAGGACAGCCACCCCAGGTGAACCGGTTTAATAATGAGATGATTGCCGGTTGATTGGTTGTGATTGGCAGATTATATTTATTGTAATAAGATTAATCTAGTAAGTGGTTGGTGAAAATAGGCTTTTAATTATATTAACGTTTCCTACGTTAGTTATAGAGCTGGAGTTTAAATGGTATTGTGATTCTCATCCAGCGTTAATTGGTTCATAGGGTTAATTAAATTAGCATTTTTGGGATTTGCAATGAGGAAATTAGCAATACTAGTTGACTGTAAATGTGACATTAGTGTATACCTATGCAATCCAACGCAAAATAAACCAATTACGAATCAGACGCATGGGACATCACTTGCCATTTATGGTTTCTCACTTTCCGGCCCATTTCTGTTCGTCCACTCACAGATAAATCGTGACAAATACCCTCACCTTGCTTCTATCGATAACACTGCATTGTGATCTGTATTCTTTTTCTGGAAATTCATCACCAATCCATGGTCAAATATCGTCAAATCCATACCTTTGTTAAACATTAGCACAGACGCAAGTCTGCCCATATTTATGCAAACTCCGGTCATCCTCGCAGCGGCTTTTGGCTACCATCGAAGACAGCCACCGCATCGTGCGGTGCTTTCAGATGCACTTCCACGGCCGTCTGGAATGCTTTTTCTTCCGATATTAGGAAGCCACTGGAGTTATGAACTTTTAAATCTAAGTTAAAAGTAATTTCTTTAGAACTGTTTTGTGTGTTTCGTTTGTTGTCCTTCTCCCGCACCTCCGATATGCACGGGTGGCTACGTATGGCGCAAAAGACGTTCAACATACACACAATGCGAACACCGCTGAGCTCAAGTGCGATACTGCATGCATGTATAGATAAAGAAATCCAAATTTACCAAACATTTGTGTATATGTTACATGTATAAATTAATGCATGGGCAAGATCCCTTTGGAATTCTCTCTGTAGTTGCTTTATCTGCCTTCATTCTGAGTGTTCGGCTTCAAATTACAATTCATAAATACAGTAGATAACAGATAACAACCGTGCTATTTCATAATAATGTTAAATCGTATATCTGTTAAGCTGTACGTAAGTAAATGTTACTTACTGTATAGTGAAGGGTTTTGAGAAAAACATGAAGGACAGCACAATTGTCATGGCCTTTCTCCCAGTTGTAACTGCAACAATATAAAAAAATACATCTCACGTGAAAGTCACCAACTATTTCTAGAATTACACTCTTGACGGTGAGCAGTCCTGACACCTTGGGTCGATTTGCTCAACAAAAACGTTCATCAGGGCGAATGATAACCATGCAATGAGGATTATGAATAGCATCAACGCTTCAAACCAACGTGCCTTCAGCAGATTAATGAGCACACGAGGTGGACTGCTATTTGTGGCCCGACTCATGCAAATGATGGGTTACTCGACTCCATTTACTCATAACGTTATCTGCAGGATATGGAACAGGCCAGAACAAATTTCACTTTGTTTTCAATAAGGTTTTTGCCCAAGAGACTATAAACTTTTATTGGGAGGAAACCATAGCACTCGGAGAAATATTTCCAACACAAGGCGGATGGGAGGGGGGGGTAACATATTTTCTTCAAACCCAATCCACTGAATTATCTGTGGAATGAACCAACTGCTCTATTTCTATCTCCTGGCCACCACTGGCAGAGCCAAACAAGTCTTCCATTAATTTCAATAATTATTGGAGATGTATCGCGTGATACCAAATATTTAAACAGCCTACACAAATTTTACATTTTGCAGCTGTGATGGAATAACTTAGGCATGTGATAATTAATAAGCACATTGATTAAAATAGACCATTATGCTCATAATACATTCATTGAGCCGCACGTGTTGTATTTGATTGGTTCAAGTAAACCTTGCAGCCGATATAGATTTCCAAGTGCACCACCATTCATCAAGCTGTCAGGCTGGGGGATCATTACATACCTCGTGTATTCATTAGGCCTACATGGCCAAATCACTTGGAATGTGTCCGATATCGTCAGATCTGGGCACCTAAGCAGGACTGAGAGTCCGTAGTATAGTGCTTGGATAAGTGACCACAGTGGGTAAAAGCTTGTTATGGCTGCTGCTGCTACTGGGTGACGTATTGAGCACAGGGCAATGTAGGAGAGAATCCATTATTGCAATGTACTTCTGTGCTCACTGCCTTCACCAACCCGCACTGACCAACGTGGTGAAGTATAGACAAATGATTAGCATGGTATGAGCAGGCCCTCTCCCAGCAGTGGGATTGACAAAAGGGCCGTCCGTACGTGCACATGCATTCGTTAAGATACCACGCCGAGATCGCAAGACCATTGCACTGAAGATCATCATCAAATCAATGTTGCTGAACCGTATTGGAACACTGGATCTCAGTGGTGCAGGTGGCTCAATAAAATTCTGCCGCAGAATTTCAGGTCGTGCAGTCACTCAAAGCAACAGTGCATAAATGGGAAAACTAAGAAATGTTAGCTGATAAAATAAATGTAATTTACAGAGGATTTAAGCATTTTTCTTTTCTGTAGAAAAACATGAATCAATTCCACGATCATCATTAACTGTAAGATTGTATTCATATTGCACAATTTTTTTTATATCACTATTTAAAAACCGTCATAATAATTACTTGAGAAGGCATATCAAACAAAATCCTCGACTGGGTTGAAGCTCTATGGGCTGGGTTTTTCCACTGACGGTTGGCTACTGGCAGGACGAAAGAAGCTCAATATACGTATGTGCATCACGGTCCACGTGAAGTATAAAGCGGAGAGCAAACACTCGCTCTCGTTGCAGCCTAACAAGGACGAACGGGTTCCACCATTTACTTCTAGAAACTTCTCTAATGGCCTAACACACAAGCTTTGTGCATTAAATAAGAAATAACTTTCTTTTTATATCCCTGCATTTCATATTTTGGGGAATTTTAAAGTAATGCTGTGATGTGGAATTGGGCTGAATGTATTGGGGGAAATAAAAGTATGACATTTAATATGCGTTGTTACGTCTTTCAGCGGGGTTTTTTTTTGTTTCTTAAACTTAAAATGTAGTTTTTTTGGCGTGCTTGTGTTTCTTTAATGTTGTTACTCGGGTGCAATGTGTTATTTGGTAAAAATGTGGATATGTATACGTGTACTACAGCAAAGCATAATGTTACATAACAAACAAATACAGTTTAAGGAAATACTATACACAAAGTAGTTAGCTATCCTGCAACAAAATATAAAATGTCATTCCACACGACAGGAGATAAATTAAAGTTTCATTACCTGTGACCGCAACAAGTGCTCCAAAGAGTTTAATCAAAGCCAGTACGAATGAAATTCCCAAGTACCCACTGATAGAGAAGATCAGCGCGTAGCCATATGTCTGAAACGGATGCTGAAACAAACGAAAACGTTAATTCCATTAAAGTCAAAATTGCATGATATGCAATAAAGAATAGCAGCTATAGGAACAGCATTCAAACAGTCATCCCTGAACGATGTTCAGGATTCTACACAAAACAGTGGCTGGTGACGTGGCCAAGCCATAGCACGTTTTCCGCTTGATGCAGAGGTTTGCAGTTCATGGACTGGGAGTCTAAAAACACATTTCTGTGTGATCCATCAACCCGAGCCTTTAGAGTGCTAGATCACAGGCCTGTGCCGCTTTGTTGATGGAAAAAAAACATTCCGAGAATGCGCCTTCTGCTCATATCCTTATAACTCATCACCATCAAATGAACAACATTTTTTGCATTCATTAACTGACACTAACTGTATGAATTTGCTGTAATATTCTCTATAACGCATCAAATTGGTGTGATGATGTATAATGCTGTTTTAAACTTCAATTTGTTTTGTGAACATGAAAGTACAAGCAATGTTTTTTAAGAAATTAATGAGCGCCGAGTCATTTGTTGTGATGCTTGAGAGTCATGGGCATTGGACTAAGCCAAATAGCTATTGGTCATCTTTAGCCTCACATTCTTACAAAGAGCCCCAAAAAATTGGTTGTAGAAAATATGAAGTCATTTTATTCGGATTCAGTGCCCTTCAAAACCTTTGATGAAAGTCTGTGAAGCCCTTTGTTTCAAACATTTTTCTAAGTAAGGTATACTCTCGAATATCCTTGCTAATGAAGGGGATGGCCGCAGATATTTCAAAATCATGGCTAATCCAAAAGTATCCATTTTCTGCGGATCTTAATGCCAAAAAACACTATTATACGATCGACCGATCGATGTGCGTGCTCAGTGTTGTATATGAAAACCCTTTCCTGCTCCCGCGCAGAGGACTCTGGCCCACTAGGTGGACAGCACAGCCACGTCAATCAAAATCAATCAAATTCCCCCCACTGTTGTATAGATATGCAACGACTGTACTGTAGCGGCGATCACGTGGATTTCGGATTAACCAGACCACATATTTGTTCGGTTTAAGCACGTGAATTGTAATCAATATTATCCAAGAATAACAATGTATAGCTGTTGTTAGGTTAGTACTTTGGGCTTAAGGGAAAACCCAGGAGTTATTAATTTATTTCAAAATCTCAGGTGCGTGGTTAATCCGCAAATCAGATAAACTGCACGCGGATAAATCAAGAGTCTTCTGTAGTTCCCAGACTGGACCATGTCAAGTCTAGTCATCCAGGTCACTCGTGCAAATGAGGCTCATCCTGGTCTCTTGAGTTCTCACCTGGTTCAACAAAATCAACTTGAAACTTGGATGTTTTTTTTTTTACATTCTGCTGTTCAGATTTGATGGCTACATTAGAGCCAGGAAAAATTAATACTAATGCACTACATATACATTATTTATACATATCTCTTTAAACAAGAGTGCAAATGGATGTGTGTACATTCTATATCAAGCCAAGATGAATTGTAAATGTGCACTAAATTTCGAGTTTACCTGGTAACAAAATGTAAAGGCTGTACTGAAGCTTCCTGACAGTCCGATTCCAAAAAACAGATACACAAATCCGATGGAATAGGAGTAGAGTACCTGAAAAACACAACGTGCAACACAAGCTCGTATACGCACACTTTAATCAATTACAATAGTTTGCGGTAGTTAACCAGGGACCTACGGTAATTTAAGTGTTGGAAAAAGTCAGCGTTACGCATTGTAAATTCACACCACAATATTTAAAATGCACGACGACACAGTGGCATAGCCTCTATCAACATGGTCAGCTCCAACCGTGCTCAGAGAAGGCATCTGAGCGCAGACTTAATCTCTCATGCAAAGTCTCCTGCAGAGCTGCACGTGACTTCGCGAATTAAAAAAAATGTTTCACCCGTTCGTAGTCGATTCATAGTCTAAGGAATGCACCCACACCTGCATGTCATGTCAAATAAACGAGAATCATAGCGGCTGGGACGTATTGTTCGGATCATATCCGTCAATTAAATATGTGACGGAGATAAAGTGCACAAGCCCTTTGCTCAGGCAGCATCGCCTCCCGAGCACGGGGCAGAGTTCCTCTTTGTTTGCATCCTTTATTTAGCCACATTAATACGGCACATCGCATACACCACATGATGAATACCACATCCTGAAAGCGAACACATCAACCCCCCCCCACGTGGCTTCACATATACCGGCTCAAAACGATCGATTGGTATAATCCAAAAATGAACCGGTCTCACAAATCAGTCTTCTTATCTGCGACAACCCCCTGTTCCACATTATCAGGTGCGAGAAATATAAACTGAGAATATTCACCATTTCCGAGTTGGAGCTGCTAAATTCTTTCATGGCTTTCTCTTGCACATTGCCAATTGCTGCGTCGGCACAGAGTGCAAGCAGTATCAATGCAACGCCTGTAAAAAAGGGAAAACAGAATTAATCAGGAACCGACACATTTTGAAATGTATTCAATAACGGCAGCAACGGCGTTAAACAATTAGTGCCGATTGTGTTATGAAAACCGACAACAATCATTATCTTGCACTAATGAAGTCAATTCATTCAAATCATTGATTCGAATTGAGCAATTATATGACACCGCAGCGAAATTATCGACACCTTAATTTACGTTGGTAGGTTTAACAGAACGGTGAAAAGGTTATCGTATTACATAATGAAACATGGGCAAAGCATCTTAATTCACACCACATTAACAAGATTATAAAACAACTACATTTTACCATCACGGGTGACTTACAACTTGCTTAAGTTGTCTTAACAATGTGGATGATGGAATTAAAACAAAAATGCTCACTTCAACGAAGTGCTTTTCCTGCCAACAGCAACGCGATTCGGAGTAAAGTTTGCATGCAGAGCTGTTCAGGCATTACAAATGACCCGTTACTGGGGAATTTTGATGAAAAGGTTTATGCTATATCTAATTATCCGGCTGGGTGGCACTGTGATTTAGTGCACGCATTAAAATACTCTTCATAGCCTAGCATCGCGGTCCCCAGGGAAGTGTGCTTGGGTGCAGGCATGATCTCACACTCCATAAGCATGGGCTTCGTCTGCTGTTCTGCCACAGGCACAACACACGGGAGCCAGGTCTTCACCCTTACGCAAGCGAAGCCTCGGCCGTTACTTGCTCATCAACCGTTTTGTTGCGTAGCAGTCACTGCCAAAAATGATCGTATGCCATTCACCGAACTGGGGTGGAGCAGTGGCGCTGCGGTTAACGCATCGCACTATGAAACCGACGACCCCAGTTGAAACCGACGACCCGAGTTCGATTTCCAGACACAGCTGGACCGTCCTGGACACTCTCTCTTCACCAATCTGCACTGACCATCGTGGTAGAGTACGGTCAAACTGCGATGAATGGCGTGGTCTGGGGCAGCCTTCATCAGGTCGTGGAATGGTAAAGAGCTGGGCACTTTTATTTTGTTGAATTTAAGATCCTGTGGCAATTATCTGCACCTCGTGATGTCATGCAGCATATACTGTACAAGGTATTCATTCAGGTATCATATTAATGGTTGATAAATAAACAGCTGATTGGACTGAGTCGATAAAACAACACACACTGACACTTGGTGAGTCTCCATTCTGTGAATCAGGATTTGAAAGGGTCACATGTGTTTTCCAACGTCGGGTGCAACCATTTTAATGATTACGTTACATGCTAAAGAGTATGTTATATGCTAAAGAGTATGTTACGTGCTAAAGAGTATGTTATGTGCTGTTACATGAACACTTAAGCCTTTCAGTTTTTCTTTTGGAATTCACTTTTACCTTCCGCACAAACTGGGCCACACATGAACGTACGACTCGGTTGCTTTTCAAAAATGTTCCCCTCTCTTGGCCGATTAGTGGTGCCAAGACGCTCGCAGCGACGGATGAAAAAAATATATCGTTTGCGAACCTAGGCCTCACCATGGCCACGGGCCGCATGAAAATAATTCCCGAGGGCATGTGAATCCCGCGTGCCCTGAGGCACAGCATCGGCGAGCCTTACCCGTTATGTTGAAGTTGGGGACGACTTTGCTGTCCGCGAGGGTGAACCATATGAGGCCCAGGCTCATACAGATCACCGCACACACATCCACCAGGGTGTACCTCTTCCCTGGATAAGAGGATTTAACGTTTCCATTGTCAACGATTCCGTCCAAATTTCAGATTTAATTACTTTAAACGCACATTCAAGTGACTGTTTCATCATGCAATGTTTAAAAAACCGCAATAATTAACGGGTTAAACAAAGGGATGTTTTAATTACATTACAGAGTGAAAGATCTCAACATTTTGGCTGACAGGCCTTCTTTGGGAAATGTACGCAGTTCAGCACTGTATTTTTACATAACCTTTCATTTATTAAGCATATTCCCAAAAGCGACATTTTAAACACGTTCAAGGGACACTTCCACATGATAAGAGAATGTGTTTAAACAGTTTTTCAAGTTTGATGCAGCAAAGATAATGGAATGTAACAGAACCTCTGTAATTTCAAATGTTATTCAGAATGGGAAAGAAAACGTGGCAAATTATGAGATTACCTTGGATAAGCACACCTCCTATCATGACTGGAACAAGTTTACAGCACTTAAATATCACTTGTGTTGGGTAATTCAGGTAACCAAGAGATGTGTTTGACAGTCCCATTGTCGCAACAGTCAAAAAGGCAATCATGAAATAGGTCCGTAGAGGAATCCTGCAATGTGGAATAACGACAGGCAAAATAATTTGTTTATACAGATAACAAAAAGTAAAAAATAATAACGAATTACAGTCCGGTAAAACGTCAATAATCACTCCTTGAAAAATTTGCCTTGCCACGAAAAATTGCAATTCCGTGAGATTGGGACTTTTTGGAGGGTGTCTAAAAACAACTAGCAAAAAATGCATGGATTATATCGGCAAACCCCTCTGCAAAATTCACGAGATACCGCACCAAAAATTATTATTTTTCAAACATGGTGGGGCTCCTTGAATAGCAATAATAATATACAATTTACAGGTATAACACGCACATATTTCGCGAAACGATGAATTGTTCAATCGAGAACTCAGAGGCACAGAGCTAGAGCTTAAAGTCCCTCGTACGCTTGCCTGAACATGTGAGAGCCTGAACAGGTGGAGAGCCTCATTGAAAAATGGATGGTGATTAGATGCCGCGCTTGCACAGTGGGAGAGAGTTCCAAGCGGCCGCTAGTGCGGCTACGGAGAAACGCCGTTGGTCGCTGATTACAGGATCCGCAAAAGTGCGTCCCCATAACATCACGGATTTTTGGAGTTCTACTGCATTACAAAAAAGTACTTCGAAGTTGTAATTAGTTTTGGAAAATACTTTCAAGAAAATAAAAATGCATCACAGACATATCATGCCAACAATGTGTTGTGTAAACACTTCACACTGCTACATTCCCAAAGCTGTTACAGACACTAACATAAACCTATAATAGGAAAGTACAAACACTTTAATAACACTAGCAAAGACACACAAGTAAATACCACACATGCATCATCATATTTTATAAAATGACAACGCAATTATAGCACATTATAAATACTGTCGCATTATTACTAATATTTGCGCAAGCAAGGCAGAGATAACGGTTGGGCTGGAGGAAAGTGGCTTTACGCATGGGCATTTAAATAACGATGATGAGAACAGAGGGGGCCTATTGTTCAAGGGCAAGAGGTCACGAACGCCTGCATTATTTTAATGCCACCACGCTTCCCCCCATTGCTGCCTTCATTCGTCACGGAATTTTGAAATGCATCTTCAACGTTTTTTTATCATGGTTAAAATTTCAAGTGAGAACAATGTATTCACAAGAGCCAATGGTTTAAAAAAAAGATTCAAAACTAATTCGGAATTTTATGGTGGAAATTTGACAATTAAACGGAGGCTGAAATGTATAATTCTTGGCACTAAAGCATAGGCAAATGTTTGCTTTTTGACTCATGGTTTTACTGAAAAAAACTATAACATTCATTATACTTTACCTCCTCTGTTTATTGCTTTTTATTTTCAGCTCGACAAGACCAAACAGCGAGTAGTAAGCAAACTGCACAAGGGTCAGGTACCAGCCGAAGGGCTTGAAGCCCTCCACAGAGAAGATGAGCTCCTGCGAAGAAAACCAACAAAGGATGAAACATCATCCGTGTGCATGGAGTCTTCAATGCTTTTCAACGTGCATTTGTCCTAAAAATTACATACTTTTGGAGAAAAAATAACCAGGCTAACGACATTGTTCACGCTGTTAAGAAAAGTAATTGGACTTGGGAAGGACGCATCGCTGGAATGGATGATGAAGAATAAGTCGAGATTTATCGCCAAGTGGTAGCCGAGGTAGGGAGAGACCACCACGGAGATAGAATTATGAAAATAGCTCGTATGCAGGCGTTTGGATGAAAGGTGGCAACGCAGCAGTATGAGAGATGGTGACGGCTTAAGGGAGGCCTTCATCCATCAGCGGATTTATAATGGCCGATGACGATGATAAAATGTAGGACAACACAATTTCAGACGAAGTGATGTGTTCGTATAAGTCTTCATACTGGGGTTCAGATAATGATTGCAGTGGCAGGTGCAGTAAAAAATTCCAGGAAATAAAATTGCATAACCTGTGTTTTATAGCACGCTTAATAAACACAACTTACAAAACAGACAGGAGAGTGGCAATGAGGTTTTGTTTTTCCTCAAATAACTGCCATGCATACTGTTTTCATATCCATATGGATGCATAAACATGAGGAATAACCTGGTAAATCAAGCACTGAAGCTTTTAAGCAAGAATGGAAAGTGAGCATGAACAAGTAGCCATACCTTTACACTAAAATATCAAGAGAAAGACTATGGTAGACCAATTAATGCTCGAGGAATGCACTTGCGTAGAAAATTTAACATAAACTGTAGCGCTTATAATGAGGTCCACAGTGGCATAAGGCGTGTAAGTTTTTGGTGGTTGACGCAAGTTGAGCCCTCTGAGACGTGCAGTCAAAGCAGCCATAAATCAGGCAGAGATGGAGAAAATGGCCCTACCAATGAAGGCTCTCAGAGGATTGTTCACAATTGCACACGTGGAGGCGGAAGGTTAACACTCGCAGAGCTGTAAAGAGGGAAATTAAAGGCAAGTCTGATTGACATGCAGGCGATACATCCCCTACGAAGACTTCTCAAATTGTAACAAAATTAGATCCGCAAGAGACAAGCACGGAAGAATGAGATTTTAGCGGAGATCACGGGAGAATGTTGCAGACTTGCAATCAAAAACATCCCTTTCCAACCACTGACATATAAACAACGTTTTGGTTTCATTAAAATCGTGACACGTGGTTTCAATTGTAAGTAAAATTTAAAAAGTGGAGTTTAATTGTAGCCTGTCTACTGGACAATGTCCACTGATCCTTGCAAAAAGAAGACTGGCTGGGCAATGGAGGCAGCGAGAAAGTGAAAATCCTGTGTACAAATGCCAAAATTAGGAAAATTCAACTAGTTACAAAACACCAAAATCCACATGCCTATCCATATACATTAGATGGTACATACAGTGACGGAAGAAAGTATTTGATCCCCTGCTGATTTTGTACGTTTGCCCACTGGCAAAGAAATGATCAGTCTATAATTTTAATGGTAGGTTTATTTGAACAGTGAGAGGCAGAATAACAACAATAAAATCCAGAAAAACGCATGTCAAAAATGTTATAAATTGATTTGCATTTTAATGAGGGAAATAAGTATTTGACCCCCTCTCAATCAGAAAGATGTCTGGCTCCTATGTGTCTTTTATACAGGTAACGAGCTGAGATTAGGAACACTCTTAAAGGGAGTGCTCCTAATCTCAGCTTGCTACCTGTATAAAAGGCACCTGTCCACAGAAGCAATCAATCAAACAGATTACAAACTCTCCACCATGGCCAAGACTGAAGAGCTTTCCAAGGATGTCAGGGACAAGATTGTAGACCTACACAAGGCTGGAATGGGCTACAAGACCATTGCTAAGCAGCTTGGTGAGAAGGTGACAACAGTTGGTGCGATTATTCGCAAATGGAAGAAACCCAAAAGAACTGTCAATCTCCCTCGGCCTGGGGCTCCATGCAAGATCTCACCTCGTGGAGTTGCAATGATCATGAGAACGGTGAGGAATCAGCCCAGAACTACACGGGAGGATCTTGTCAATGATCTCAAGGCAGCTGGGGCCATAGTCACCAAGAAAACAATTGGTAACACACTATGCTGTGAAGGACTGAAATCCTGCAGCGCCCACAAAGTCCCCCTGCTCAAGAAAGCACATATACATGCCCGTCTGAAGTTTGCCAGTGAACATCTGAATGATTCAGAGGACAACTGGGTGAAAGTGTTGTGGTCAGATGAGACCAAAATGGAGCTCTTTGGCATCAACTTAACTCGCCGTGTTTGGAGGAGGAATGCTGCCTATGATGACCCCAAGAACACCATCCCCACCGTCAAACATGAAGGTGGAAACATTATGCTTTGGGGGTGTTTTTTCTGCTAAGGGGACAGGACAACTTCACCGCAACAAAGGGACAATGGGCGGGGCCATGTACCGTCAAATCTTGGGTGAGAACCTCCTTCCCTCAGCCAGGGCATTGAAAATGGGTCGTGGATGGGTATTCCAGCATGACAATGACCCAAAACACACGGCCAAGGCAACAAAGGAGTGGCTCAAGAAGAAGCACATTAAGGTCCTGGAGTGGCCTAGCCAGTCTCCAGACCTTAATCCCATAGAAAATCTGTGGAGGGAGCTGAAGCTTCGAGTTGCCAAACGTCAACCTCGAAATCTTAATGAGTTTGGAGAAAATCTGCAAAGAGGAGTGGGACAAAATCCCTCCTAAGATGTGTGCAAACCTGGTGGCCAACTACAAGAAACGTCTGACCTCTGTGATTGCCAACAAGGGTTTTGCTACCAAGTACTAAGTCATGTTTTGCAGAGGGGTCAAATACTTATTTCCCTCATTAAAATGCAAATCAATTTATAACATTTTTGACATGCGTTTTTCTGCATTTTTTTGTTGTTATTGTCACTCACTGTTCAAATAAACCTACCGTTAAAATTATCGACTGATCATTTCTTTGTCAGTGGGCAAACGTACAAAATCAGCAGGGGATCAAATATTTTTTTCCCTCACTGTATGTAATACATGTTAGTATTTTCAGTCGCTTTCAATATATTTGGATATTCACATTGGCATACAATGAAGTGCAGCAATGGCAAAGTGGCAGGCGTACTGCGTTTTGAACCCAGCCCTTCCTGAGTTCGATTCCCGGCCATGGCTAGAATCCGTGGTCGTCGTATTTGGACCACTCACCACCCCTCACCAGACCACACTGACCAGCGTGGTGAAGTATGGTCAAACAACCCCCATAACCAACATGGCGTGGAGAAGCCTTCATCCAGCAGTTGACTGACAAAGAGGCTGAACATTTTTTATCATGCACTATACAATGGATGTGAAGCAGAAGTTTGGTGCTGGATACAACCACATTTGCAAATATGATTTGTAACTTTGATCCTTACCTGTGTATCGATAGTTCATTTGAATGTGCAATTTTATTGAGGGACTCCTGTGTGTTGTCTTGGTGTGGTCTGGGACTGTTTTTGTTCTCCAAGCTTCCATTTAGTGTTGAAATATCAGCAGGCATTTATGTACTTATGCAATATGTTCTTATTTGCTTTATACATTTTTCATGACTTGCTTACCTTTTCTATATTTTGCACTTAGTTTGTTGTAACTTTCTGACCCATCCCTACAGGACACCTATGAGTAAAGAGCTTCATAGATAATCGGATTCCTCCAGTCTAAATAAAGATTCTGATTCTGATCAATATATACTACAAACAGAGGTCACAAGATCATGTTCCACTGTGAATGCATACACTGTATAGGGGAGCGGTAGTGTAGCGGTTTGCGTGCTGTGCTACAAACCCGGCGACCCAAGCTCGATTCCTATTCGTGGCCAGCACCAGTGACAATTATCTGAACTGCTCCTGGGCCTCCCATAGGTCGACTCGGCTTCAAATTAGTACTTGGTGCGGTTTTTAAACATCGCCACCTTGGAGACGTGTCTACATGTGCTTCACCACGATCCAACGTACCTGAAGGTAACCATAGATGAGGTAGAAGACGAAGACCCCTCCCAAGCAGATGAGGAACTGCACGCTGCGTGAAAATTTCCCCAGGTTCAAACCCAGCACGTACAGCTCCTCCGTCGTTCGTATGTGCGGAGAGATCACTTCTTGCTTCGTCGAGATGTTAATGCTCACGAACTTCCTTGTGTTGGGGTCCATTGTGGCTGTTACTTTAAACGCGTCTTCAGCACTTGTGTCCTCAGCGTCATGCTGTGGTTTACTCTCCTGCACGTAGAAAAAAGAAACACATTCACACAACGTTAGTTAGTGTTTCGTTACAACTAATCAGTTACCTTATTCATAACAAGCAAAGGGAGCAAGGCTGTATACTTTTGGAAGGAGGCCAGGTCAAAAAAGCCTTTATAATAGCTTTGGGGTAAGGACCAATCATGTAAGGATATTTCAATCACGAAGAGGCTTGTAAAATAATTATATTCGTAATGTTTTATATTTTATTAAATGGGCAGATGTTGTAAAGTGATCGAGCACGACGGTGCCCTTACACAACCATACATTAGAAGAGCGGCAATTGGCTATTCGTTTGTCCCGAGGGTGGAAAAACAAAACACCTTCAATATCGTTAAAATTCCACGAATCATGGCAACATTTTACACATTGGTAGAACGACTGCATTGAGACAATAATGCATCACAAACAAGTAAACATATTTTTAATGAGGCCAAAAAAAATTGGTAAATCCTGTAAAATGTATTGTCTTTGTTTACATTTTTGGCACAAATTGGACACACGTTTGGAAAATGTAACTTGTTGTGGATTACTTAATTAACTGCTCCTGTGCTGGCACCTAACGACGGTACTGCGTTCCCAACACGAGCGATGTTGGCCGGAGTTTTAAAATGATCTGGCCTAAAACCTCCGTTTTCATCACAGGCCTGCTCACATATTGATTGGAGCCGTTCCACCCATTTGTAAATGTGGCCATTATTCGTACAGTCAGCAGCCATATTGCAGCTTCATTCTTTACGTTGATCTTCTAATGTACAGCTTCAGAGGGCCAAAAAAATAAACGGCTGACTAACCTTTTTTAAATGTTTTCATTATGCAATCGCACTCTTACCTTTTAACACAGAATTCCAGTAAAATGTATTACCAAATATAGTAGAGACTCAAATTGTTAAAATCAGAGCATAATGCGACCGTCATCGCAGCCAGCTCCATATGTTATACTTTATATCATGCAATGAAAGGCAATGGAGAGCAGGTTAGTAGTTAGGAGCCATCCATTTAGGAGGTACGCAATCTGTCAAACTTGACCCCTCCCCCCCTCCCTGTACGCACGTGAACCTTTTACACCCCCCCCCCCCCCCACCTGCATGCGTACGCTTGACCCCCCCCCCCTAATCCTATAGAACGGCTGAGATTTAAACCACGCAAAAACGATCAAGGATTAATAATATTAACGTGTTTAAGCAAACAGATAGTCCACCGCCGGCTGCATTAAATAATTAAGTTGCGTACCTTTAAAAAGTTTGTCAAATGCGCTAGGTTCAAACGCCGACTGAACCCAGTGGAACAGGTGATGTATTATAGCGATTTCGTCAACACGCGCCATGTCAGGATGAAGCACAGCAGCGTTAGCTGCAGTCTTCTGGGTCGCCGACGTCGTCATCATCATCATCCAGCTTATGATTGTTCTCACTGTCAGAAGGCTCAGGAGTGTGAATGCGTTGGTGTTGTTTTACACTGGCCTGCGGCAGCTAAAGTCTTGAGCCAGCGGCAGTCTGCAGTGAGGCCAGATTGAAGGATGTGTAATCCATGGGGCAGGCCGCCAGACTATGTCAGACTCACTGATGAGCTGCGTGATAGCTGCAGTCAGCATACAAGTGACACCTCTCCCACAGGCCTACTTCTCCCGGTAGTACTTGTTGTCTGACAGCTGAAGAAACTGAATTGTGGCTCATTTGAAGGCCAATGTAGACAAATTATTATCGAGGCTTCACCCCCCTCCCCCCGTTTCCTATGCGTACGGACATTGTCAGTAGACCCCACCATACGCTAGGGTACGCATTTGGGTTAACCCCCCCTCCATGCGAACGTACTAAATGGATGGCTCCTTATGCTGGCATGCATGCTGTGCTGTTGATCACAGTTGATTTTGCCATTGCAAGCTGGGCTTCCAGAAAGTTAACTAAAATAAAAAAAATTATGATTTAGATTTTAAAAATACATGTTTCTCCAGAAAGCATGATGTCTACCAGACACGCTCATCAAATATGAATTAAAATATTCCACTCACACTTGTCTATACGAATGTTAAAACATTTTAAACACCACCGTGAAAATATCATGTTAACCACTTAAATAATCCAAATAAACAAGGTTGCATATCGCTCAAAATTAAGGTATTTTTTAAAATTCACATTAATGTATAAATGTCATATTTTCACTTAAGACCGCAGAACTCATATGGTGGCACTCACCTCATCACCAGCAATACATAACTGATGTGCATCAATAATTAAGTTAATTTACATGAATAATGTGCATGTGTGAAGTTTTAATTAATATATATGGTTTTGAGCTGTTCCATATTGAGCAACTGTGTCATGGGAGTGTGGAGTGATATTAGGAAGCAGATTCTCTCATCCGTAACACCGTTTCCCTGCTTTGTTACAAAATAAATCAGTTCTCCTGCATCAGTATTTATGGGTCAGAGCAGAAACTGGTGTCACGAGATAGCTATCAGCATGGTGAGGTATGGTCAAATAACCCCCATGACCCACATGGCATGGCAAGGCCATCATGCAGCAGCTGAATGACAAAAGGGCTGCACGTGTGTGCATCCTTTGAAGGGGTTATAAAACATTAACTTTCATTGGCCATAAAAACTGTATTTTTAGCACTAAAATGTGCCAATTTTAGGTGAATCTATCATGGTTGACACTGTGGCTTGCCATGGGATTCTGACCGAGGAAGGGGAGGGTTAGCAAGACGTTAAACTGCCAATGGTGAAGCAAAGTTCCCATTACGTTCATGTTACAGAGCGGTTATGAGAGTCAAAGGCCAAATTGACATTTAGACCATGGAAGGATATACAATACAGTCGAACAATAGATTGTGGGGCACTGCCTTCTGCTGCCCACAATTTAGCCTCGACAGTGGGCGTCACTTCCAAACATCATCTCTGGCCACTGTCCTCCCGAAAACACGCAACACTGCGTTGTGTCATATCAGGCTGCGCAGAAAACAGAAAGATATGCTGTTGGGCCCTCGTCTACACATGCAGTGATTTATGTTTTGTCCGCTTGGATGCATCTCCTGCAGTCACATTCATCAGCTGCTTTAGTGCGGATGGGGCAGATCGAAGAGCGATTGACATGTCTGAGTGATGGTCAAGTCTTTGATTATTTAAAAAGACACTGACATTCCATTGACATTGGTTCCATTACATATCCAGTAATGTCGACTTCATGCTATGGGCAACACGCACATCATTTAAATGGTTTTTTTTCTTCCAAACTTGCATCGGGCAGGCCAAGACGCACAGCGTATTACAGTATTTACAAGACCGCTTTTGATTGCAACTTTCTTTATGGCCGAGTTAACCTAGGGGGAAGCCCCGGGAAGGTTCAGGTACCACCTGCAAGTGGCCAGGAATCAAAACACAAATCGGCAAGTTCAGTGCCATGCGATAACTACACCTCCAATACACACTCTCACACACACCCCCATAGGTAATGACAACATTACCCGATACACCTACTTTAGGCTGCTGGGTCTATTGCTGTTGGCGAGCACCTATTAAGGTAAGCCTACGGTACACACAAGCAGATGGTACGGCCAATACCGTGCCCGCTTCGACCCTTGGGGGAGTCACACTTTGACGTCTGCTGGGTGGGTCAACGCAGCAATGGCATCTCTCGCTTCAGGGCCGGGGTGTTGGTTGAGAGTAATAAAAATCAACGGAGAAAAGGCCAAAATATTGCCTAGGCTCGTGATAATAGCTATAGTCCTTGGAGAAATGCTTCATTGATTGATGGCTGCTCTCTGGATGCAGTGGGGGACAGAATGTTAGCAGTCGTTCCCGGGGCCAACGAGCCCACTGGTGGTTGGACACAAACACAAGTCAGGCAGACGCACACAGTCACCCACACCGACTCGGAGAGAGACGACAAAGGCACGCATACACACAGCAAGAGACAAACTCGCACGCACACAACAACACTGCCAACGAGATTCAGACACACGCGGCACATTCCCACGTACACTTGTGCACAGGCAGACTCAATCGCATACAAAGACACACACTGTCGTGCATTTACATGCACACACACACACGCATCACAATACTTAGGATCACCCACAAACATACAAACTCCTCCTCATAACCTCCATACATACCACACACTGCCACGTATACACGCACGCCGCCACACTAACACAGGAGAGGCCTAACCACGCCAAACGAAGCCACCACCACTCCTCGTGACGTTCTCTCGCGCGCACGGAGACGTCAGTCGAAGCTGCAGCGGCAACAACGTTGGACACTCACAGAGCCACACGGACAATGCTGACAAAACCCACAGCGATAGCAAAATGCCATCTCTCACTCCCTCTCTCCCTCCCTCCCCTCTCCCACCTCGACAGCTCAGGCGGCGGCGGCTTTAGCTTCCTCCTCAGCGGCTGCCGTGGCTCTGGGCAGCGAAAGCGGCGCGCCCTGTGCGGCAACTTAGCACACGGGGGGTGGGGCAGCGCCGCTGTTTGTCGGGCTCAATGTGACACGGGTCAACTACACAAGTAGGATAATGCGCGCGCGTGCGTGTGTAGCTACAGTACCGGCAACTGTACTGCTACTGTAATGACACACGGACGCAGGGGGCCCCGGAACGAGCAATGAGACCCTTGGGGCCCCGGAACAGGCATTGAGACACGCGGGGCCCCGGAACGAGAATCGAGACACTTGCGGGGGGGGCCCGAAACGAGAATCAAGATACTTGGGGCCCCGGAACGGGCATCGAGACACGCGGGGCCCCGGAACGAGCATCGAGACACGTGGTGGGTTTGCCTGGGAGTCTCGCGGACGAGTCCCGCGACTGATTGCCCCCTCTGTGGCACGGTGTTAAGTGGCGTTGGCTGCGTACGGCGCGAAAGAAGTTAAACATTCATACATATACGCACGGACATTCATTATATATGCACACAGCCACAGTAGTGCCATTGTGGGCATGCATCCCAAACTACGGACCGTATTGTACTCCCAACAGAGACTCAAATCGATGCATAGATGACCCATAGATGTGCATTAAAGACAATCTACAGTAATGCGATTGTGGCCATGCATCCCAAACTACGGACTTATGGTAAAACGAATGTAAACTCGTAGAGATATTAAAGACAAGCCAGAGTAATGCTATTGTGGGCATGCAATCCACGCAATTGATCGTATAGCAAACCACTGCAGTCTACGCTGCTTCAACGGAGGAGTAGCAGAAGCACACGAACTTTTTCTCCTGAAGTCCTCTCGTGGCTCGCAGACCTCGACATTTCGCTCCTGAACATATTGCCATACACAATAATATAAAAAAACGTCAACACGTTCGTCAATAACTGTAACCTTAAATAGCGACGTTTCAGGCAACGGCTCTTCGTATGCACCACTGAAAATTACGCATACCCTAACTGCTAAAACGTTCCAGTTTTTTAAAGCGGAAATACTTATTTTGAAAAAAGTCGAGTCATTCTCGTGTACCCATCACACACACACAGTACGCTCTCTCTGTACTCCCACGTTTAGATGAGCAGGTGCGATAACGCACTGGTGTTTTCATCGTCAGATGAATTGGGTGACGACACTTTTACGAATGTTTTATTAACATGCCAATACGATACTTTAATAGCTGAAATGATAGATCTGAGCCGTTAAAATTTGTACGCAGCGGAGCCTGCTTATTTATTCCCATGGGCCAGAAAAGAACTCGTTAACACACGAGATGCTAAAACTTTAGTCTTACCAAAAAAATTATGGCCAATGCAAGCTGAGTTATGGGACAGCTAATTTAAATTCACCCTGAAATCGACGCGCCACTCCATTTGCACACATTGAGTGGGAGGGTTGTTGGGTTTCCCTGGCCCTGGGACTCTCGGACTGAGGGTTGGAGATGAGTCCCAGCCGCCCTGTGACTGCCCCCTGACCTGGTGGGACCCCACTGTGCCTGGTCCACCCCTCTCACTTCTCTACGGACTGTGACCCGTGCGATACTCGTGATCTCTTATTTGCTGCGTGTCCCTGCATCTTTTAGACTATGGACCATATAATTAACCCGCAGAGACTCACAGAGATGACGTGATTGCTAAGCTCCAGGGTGATTTCAACAAACTACAACATCAGCTAGTTGCTCTTAAACTAATCCTAAATACCTCCAAAACCAAGGTGCTATGCTTCTCACCGGGACTAAAGCAGGAAGTTATTTTTCCCAAATTACATTCCTTAAATAATTATCAAATAGAGCAAGTCAAGACCTATAGGTATCTTGGGGTCATCCTGGATTCAAAACTGAATTTTGAAGATCACATTGATTATATTGGTAAAAAGACAAAAATAAAAATTGGTTTTCTGTATCGACACAAGCACTGCTTCCCCCCTATGTTCCGTTTGGAATTGATAAAAGCTACCATACTGCCTCTACTTGATTACTGTGATATCGTGTATAAATCAGCCCCAAGTACTGTACTGAAGAAGCTTGATTTCATCTATTGCTCGGCCTTAAGATTTGCATTGAACTGCCCATATAGGACTCACCACTGTGATCTCTACATTGGGTCAAACTTAATATCTCTTAATATTCGACGGCTTGTACACCAGATCTTATTTATTCACGATGTACTTACAAAAAAATCCGCAGACTACCTGCTGGATCTCCTCTCTGTTTCAAAGACCAAATTTGGCCTCAGGTCTTCGCTCATCTACCAGCTTCACATTCCCTATTGCCCTACAAAAACTGGAGGAAGGGCCTTTGCTATTGATGCCCCCAGGGTCTGGAATGCTATTGCCAATAAACTGCAACTTGAATCACTACCTATGAGATCTTCACTCAAAACTGCTCTAGAGGAGTTGTACACTCCTAGCTGCCACTGCTATTCAGTGGCCTGAAATAAAATAAAATGTTTCGCTCCGGATGACCGCTGCAAAGTATTATCTGTATTTTTATTTAGTGTGCTGATCTTAAAGTTGCATTGAAAAATGTGATACTCCGACTGATGCTCCTGTTGTTTGTGAAGTGACTCATGCAGCCAGCTGTGGCTCTGGGGTTTGGTGTTACTATTTATGTAGTTTATTGTTAAAAATTCGGTCACAGTTCCTATGATCACTGTTACATTGCATTTATGGCTTTATTTTGGTGATTTCTAAAAGTTTTTTGGTTTGGCCATGTTTTTGTTTATTGTAGTACGGAGTTAGACTGATGGCCTTAATCTAAGTTTTCTTGTTGTTGTAGTTTGACTTACATCCCACTGTGATTTTTGCACACAGCGTTGGTGTACGGTGCTATTTCAGGAATATTTTGATGTTTTTTCCTGGATTTTCTGTTTGCACATGCACAAAATCACTTTAAGATGTTTTCTTGTTCATGTTTTTTGTTTGTTTGTTGCGGTTGCACCCGATTCAAGAGCCGAATGGTTCACAGGGCTATACCAAATAAATGAAACTATGAATGAAATAAATGAAAACTATAGAGACTCCCTGCATCTTTCAGACGCTCTTTCGTAATGTTGTTGACAGTAAAACCTCGAAATATGAAACTTTTTTTTATTTTACCAGGTAAGGCCCACTGAGCTATGCCGCTCTTTGTTCAGACGTGACCTGGTCACAAATGATAGCTCAACGAAGTGGCTTATCAAGTGGAAATGTATTGCAGCCAAATAAACATTATAAACGCGTGTTCATTATAAATGTGGTGGCAAAAAGCCTGAGAACCCGGATAAAAAAAATCCACACGACCACGGGGAGAGAGACACCGCAAACTCCAAATATACAGCAGGCGTCAGGGTCGGGATCGAACTCTACGACCTCCTGTATACCAGGCGAGGTAGTTAACATCTCATAGCCACCTTAGAGGATCCCCTGCCCCTAAATTTAATAACACGCCCCCCACCACTTTTCACCATCACGTATGCAGAGCGCCACTGAGCCGCTTGTGTTTTATTGAGACTGTTATCTGTTGTTGTTGATGCTGTATGTTGTTGTTGGTTTGTTGTTGTTGAAGATAAAACCTCCAGACTGCAATTCCTCAATGGGGATAGACGAGGGCAGTGCGGGGGTGGGGGAACACCCCCCCAAAGCCCCCCCCACCCACACGCGCATTCTCGCTCAACCATTGGCCGCTCGTTGCCCTCGCGCGACCGCGGCTTGGTCCAATCAGCAGCTCGCGCCGCCGGCTCGCGCCAGCGCGCCAACCAATCGTGGGAGCCGTGGTCGCTCACGCCCCACCCCCACCCCGTGGCCCCACCCCCCGGCCCCCACTCAACTCGCTCGTGAAGGAGTCGTCCGCGTGCCTCTCTCTCTCTCTTGGGTCATCCTCGAGTTTTGCTTTTGACCGCGGGTGGACGTCGCTCGCTCGACCTTCACTCGCCGCGTGCATTGCGTTGACACAGAACAGGTGTGTGGGGGGCGGGCGGGGTTCAGCTCCGTGCGATAGCAACTACACCCCCATAAGTAAACTACTGCTGGGACTATCGCTGTTAGCGAGCACCTATTAAGGTAACAACCTACGGCACACGAAGGCGTCTAAAGTGCCGTGGGCGAAGGAGGGTCGCGCGCTTCGGGGCGAGGAATGAAGGAGGCCGCGTGGAGCGTGAAGGGTCGATGGACGGATGCGGAGCGCAAGGTGGTGATGGTGACGGGCGCTAACAGGTACTGGACACGTGCCGGAGGAGGCTTGCTGCGTCGTTGGCAGTGGTAAACCTGCACAGGCATCGCTGCGCCTTTAGAAGAAAGCAATAGGCGATGTTTCGGGCAATGTACCTATCCCTTTTTTTGTCCCTTTTAACGCCAGTTGTTAACAATGTGGTGCGTTTTTTATTATCGTTTAACATTGTCTCATCGATTAGTATTATTATTACTATGCTTGCACCGATTGTATGTGATGCATGTGCTACGAAGGGCCTATTTTATCAGAATCAGAATCAGAAAGGGTTTTATTCGCCATGTAAGTTCACACCGACACGGAATTTACTTTGGCAGGATGGTGCATACATTCAACATATAGGAATCTAAAATCTTAAATAAGTTTTAAACAAGTCTTACTATAATAAGGGTTAAAAGTCTAACACTAAGGGGCTGAAGTATATAAAATTAAATAAATATCGAATATAAAATAGCTTTAAGATATAATTTAAAAATACAAATAGGGAAACATAGTTAATATCAGCAACGTGTCGTTATGTAGATCAAATGTTAAAAACAGTGTTAGCCCTTGGCCTTGTTTAACAGGCCAGCAGCAGATGGGAAGAAACTGTTTTTATGGCGTGAGGTTTTGGTCCTGATGGACCGAAGCCTTCTGCCGGAGGGGAGTAGCTGAAACAGAGAGTGTCCAGGGTGGGAGAAATCGGCCATAATCTTCCTCGCTCGCCTCATAGACCTTGTCGTGTGCAGGTCCTCGAGGGTCGGTAGATTGCAGGCAATTACCTTCTCAGCAGTGTGGATGATACGCTGCAGTCTGCTCTTGTCCTTGGCAGTGGCAGCAGCGTACCAGACGGTTATGGAGGAGGTGAGGATGGATTCAATGATCGCTGTATAGAATTGCACCATCATTGTCTTTGGCAGGTTGAATTTCTTCAGCTGCCGTAGAAAGTACATCCTCTGTTGAGCTTTCTTGGTGAGGGAGCTGATGTTCAATTCCCACTTGAGGTCCCGGGAGAGAATAGTGCCCAGGAAGCGGAAGGACTCTACAATTTTTACTGGGGAGTCTAACAGGGTGATGGGGGTGAGTGGTGCTGTATTCTTCCTGAAGTCCACAACCATCTCAACTGTCTTTAGAGCATTTAGCTCTAAGTTGTTCTGGCTACACCAGGTCACCAGATTGTCAGCTTCCCACCTATAGTCAGACTCATCCCCACCAGAGATCAGCCCAATGAGGGTGGTGTCATCCGCAAACTTCAATAGTTTGACGGACAGATGATTGGAGGTGCAGCTGTTGGTATACAGGGAGAAGAGCAGAGGGGAAAGGACGCAGCCCTGAGGAGTTCCGGTGCTGATGGACCTGGAGCCAGAGACTTGTGTTCCCAGCTTAACGCACTGCTTCCTGTCAGACAGGAAGTCTGTGATCCATTTACAGGTGGTGTATGGCACGTTATAGTTTTTCCTTGACAAATTCGTTGGGTTTTTCTCTCTCTCGCTGTGTTCTGTAAAGGCCATTTGACCAGACAGACGTGCGCGCACGCGGTACACTCGTGTCCCTTTAAACTTTAAAGAGAAGTACAGTGACGTACATCATGGGTCGTAAGGGGCCGTCCATAAATGACGTCACGCGATTTTTGACCCCCCTCGTCACACGGCGTCACAAAAAGTCAGACCCCCCCCCTCAGATATGACGTCACAAAGCTCTGCCACCCCCCCCCAAAAAATAAAACATGCTTTAAATCGCTTTAAACTATTGTCATTGTAGTGCGTATTTAATGTGGCGCTGCACTCTGATGTTGTAGGAGAAAACATTTATTGAAAAGTCTATTTAATTAAGTAGAACGTGTCGTCTATATTTATTTAAAGTTGTAACATTTTTATGTGACGTCACGTTTCTCAAACCCCCGCCTCGTCGTCACATCGTCACAAATGTCTGACCGCCCCCCCCCCCCAGGTGCGTGACGTCATTTATGGACGGCCCCTAATCTTGAAAATAGTTATCAGTAGTTTGATCAATTGTGTCTTGTTTATGGAATGAGTCGATGCGTTGACACGCGCAGGAGACGCAATGCCCCCGTCATCCCAGTGTGGATGAAGAGTTGTTGGTCTCGATTGCATCCAACCTCGTGGCATTTTACGAGCGTGTCTCCCGTGATAACGCAATCGGACGAGAATGGTGTTTTTTTCTGAATTGCAGGCCTATTTGTTAGACAAACTCTGCCTTTGTAAAAGCCACCTTAATTGTTAATGAGCACCCACATCTTTAAGTGTCTGACTTGTACGTCCGGCATCATGGAATTACCCTTGATGTGAAAGAATTTTGATTTTAATAAGCTGAGTCAGGAAAATCGAACTTCTTTTTTCTAAAGTTTTGACCGTGACCCTGGCTAAAAGAGTGCAGTTTGAAAATTTTAACTTGCAGCCTGGAATTTCGATTTAAAGCTTTCGTGAGAATTGTATTGCGTTATTTTATTTTTTTATTTTTTTATTTTATTCTCATTCTACGTGACTTTACCGAAAGAACCAAAGAAGTTGTAGCCTGGAAGTCATGGCAAGCTAACAATAATAATACAGGATATGAATTCAATTTGCAATGCGCACTCCCATAGCAACAATGACTCAAAAGGCACGAGAAACCACAGATACAGTGAGGGAAAACAGTACTTGATCCCCTGCTGATTTTGTACGTTTGCCCACTGACAAAGAAATGATCAGTCAGAAATGATCAGTCAGGGGATCAAATACTTTTTTCCCTCACTGTAAGCAGGAAGGCAGCCACCTTCATCAGCCGGCACCAACAATTTCCCAAGCTCTGAGCTCCTCTGTACATTAAGGTGTTATCGGCCAATTAATGCGTGTTTAAATGTGGGAGGAAACTGGAGCACCCAGAGAAGCCCCATACGTGCGAAGGGGAAACACTCTATCCCATACAGATGGAACAACCGATTAGCATGGTTGGCTATGTACTGTGCGAAAGAAGTTATACATACAGTTGGAGCCCACATTTTCTTTACTGCCTTCTGGAAAACCAGGGTATGGCACCTCGACGCCCACGACAAGGGAGTTTAGCAACGTTTGTGTGATCCACCAACCCCCACCTCCACAGTTCCGGATTATAAGCGCGCACCCCCACTGTGAAAAGACTTGTCCGACGTTTTCCTTGTGTGTGTATTCCGAACTTCTTTGACACCGTACGTAGCCAACCGTGCTAATCGATGATGCGGATATGTGCGGATGTGCCGTGTCTCAACAGTGGCATAGGCTTGGCGCTGTGCACGCGTCTCCTGGCTCGGGAGCCCAGCCTGCACCTGTGCCTGGCGTGTCGGAGCACCGTGCGGGCCGAGGGCGCTCGCCGGGAGCTCCTGGCCGCTCACCCCGGTGCCGACGTGGCCCTGCTGCGCGTGGACGTGAGCGATGTGGAGTCTGTGTACCGAGCGGCGCAACAAATCAAGCAACGGTGCGAAGTGCACCTGAACCCGGTTGCGTAGGAAGTGGGAAAAAAAGTTCTTATTTAACAGTTTCTGACTGGAGCTTCACTTCTCATGGGATCTCGCTTGCCAGTATCAAAACCTTTTTGCAAGGATTCAAAAGGTTTCAGTTTGGTGTTTTAACATCTTAACACCTGTTTTATTGCCAGAAAGGGTAACACCTATTCTTATAGCTTCACTTCTATTTGCCCATTACAATGGACGTACCCTCCTTATCTACCTTCACGTGGGGGGTGGGGGGGCATTAGGGTTGGATAATCCTCATCATTACTCATATTCTGTCAACTGCTAGATGAAGGTCTCCCCAAGTCTTTGTCGTCTCTTAGAGTCTCTCAATGCAACAGTTTATGCTCGTTCTTGCACATGAGCTCATTTCATTGCTCCGTCCCTGCCAGTGGACATGTTTCTTTGGCCCTCATCAGCACAAATGTCTCTCCTTTTAACCGTTGATCAATCTACGGCTCTTATGATGGCCTCCCCAAGCCCTCGCCATCTCTTGTCTACCAGAAGACATAAGTGCTGTATTTCATACTGAAGTCAAATAAATTCCACGTGAGATCACAATTCTATAACTGAGAGTGTGCGTGTGTCAATTTCACAGATACACGCGCTTGGACTACCTTTATCTGAACGCAGGGATTATGCCAAACCCTCGTATTAACTGGTCAGCCTACTTTTCTGGGCTATTTTCCAGGTACTGTAATTGCATTATGTTTCCACACAGCTCTGCACAACAAATATTTAATGCTCGTGCTGCATCAGCATAAAAAAATATTTATAAAATAAACCAAGAAATTTTAAGTTAACGAGAATATAAATAAGTATTTGCACACTCTATATAATTCTCTATGCGGGTTTGGTTTGTGCGATTTGGCATACAGTGAGGGAAAAAAAGTATTTGATCCCCTGCTGATTTTGTACGTTTGCCCACTGACAAAGAAATGATCAGTCGATAATTTTAACGGTAGGTTTATTTGAACAGTGAGTGACAATAACAACAACAAAATCTAGAAAAACGCATGTCAAAAATGTTATAAATTCATTTTCATTTTAATGAGGGAAATAAGTATTTGACCTCCTCTCAATCAGAAAGATTTCTGGCTCCCAGGTGTCTTTTATACAGGTAACGAGATGAGATTAGGAGCACACTATTAAAGAGAGTGCTCCTAATCTCAGCTTGTTACCTGTATAAAAGGCAGCTGTCCACAGAAGTAATCATTCAATCAGATTCCAAACTCTCCACCATGGCCAAGACCAAAGAGCTCTCCAAGGATGTCAGGAACAAGATTGTAGACCTACACAAGGCTAGAATGGGCTACAATACCATTGCCAAGCAGCTTGGTGAGAAGGTGACAGTTGGTGCGATTATTCGCAAATGGAAGAAACACAAAAGAACTGTCAATCTCCCTCGGCCTGGGGCTCCATGCAAGATCTCACCTCGTGGCGTTGCAATGATCATGAGAATGGTGAGGAATCAGCCCAGAACTACACGGGAGGATCTTGTCAATGATCTCAAAGCAGCTGGGACCATAGTCGCCAAGAAAACAATTGGTAACACACTACGCCGTAAAGGACTGAAATCCTGCAACGCCTGCAAGGTCCCCCTGCTCAAGAAAGCACATATACATGCCCATCTGAAGTTTGCCAGTGAACATCTGAATGATTCAGTGGACAACTGGGTGAAAGTGTTGTGGCCAGATAAGACCAAAATGGAGCTCTTTGGCATCAACTCAACTCGCCGTGTTTGGAGGAGGAATGCTGCCTATGACCCCAAGAACACCATCCCCACCGTCAAACATGGAGGTGGAAACATTATGCTTTGGGGGTGTTTTTCTGCTAAGGGGACAGGACAACTTGACCGCATCAAAGGGACGATGGACGGGGCCATGTACCGTCAAATCTTGGGTGACAACCTCCTTCCCTCAGCCAGGGCGTTGAAAATGGGTCTTGGATGGGTATTCCAGCATGACAATGACCCAAAACACACGGCCAAGGCAACAAAGGAGTGGCTCAAGAAGAAGCACATTAAGGTCCTGGAGTGGCCTAGCCAGTCTCCAGACCTTAATCCCATAGAAAATCTGTGGAGGGAGTTGAAGGTTCGAGTTGCCAAAAGTCAGCCTCGAAACCTTAATGACTTGGAGAAGATCTGCAAAAAGGAGTGGGACAAAATCCCTCCTGAGATGTGTGCAAACCTGGTGGCCAACTACAAGAAACGTCTGACCTCTGTGATTGCCAACAAGGGTTTTGCCACCAAGTACTAAGTCATGTTTTGCAGAGGGGTCAAATACTTATTTCCCCTATTAAAATGCAAATCAATTTATAACATTTTTGACATGCGTTTTTCTGGATTTTTTGTTCTGTCTCTCACTGTTCAAATAAACCTACCATTAAAATTATATACTGATCATTTCTTTGTCAGTGGGCAAACGTACAAAATCAGCAGGGGATCAAATACTTTTTTTCCCTCACTGTATATGCAATTAATCTTTTCTACCCAAAATCCGCTATATTATGCTGTTTGACTTCACTCATAATGCGGCGATGTGGTTGGATGCTACTCGGCAGGCAGCTGTCTCATGCGGTGCATTATGGGTTTTTAGGTGACTGCATTCTATGCAACGCAATTTTGATTTGTGCGGATTTTTTTGTAACACTGAGAGAAACATACCTAGTAATTGCAACTGCACAAACTGCAACGCTCATAAAGCACACACTCTCAGTTACTTTTTGATTTAAAGCTTTCGTGACTGCAGTGATTCATATTAAAATATATTTTATTTTATTGTTTCCCTTCAACGTGTCTCAGTTACTTAATAAATAATAAAACTATAAAACATCACATCGCCATGAAATTCATTTATCCGGGAAACATGGTGCAAAGTACTTATTTAAAGTGTCATTCAGACTTGTTAAGACATTTTATTGTCAACTTTCATTTGAAACATTGAAATAACATATTTCAATAGATAAAGTATGCAACAAAATACAATGAAACTATATTTTTCAAAACGGATTATACGATTTATCCTGGACCTTATATCCGAATATATATCATAGTATCACCATATCACAGCAACCCAACTACACAAGTGGTGAAATACCCCGGCATGAAACACAGCGCGGGATAAAAAACCCGGACCTAAACCGGTGAGAGTGGCAAGAAGGTCGATGTGTAAATGTTATCTCTTACCAATTGTTGGAAGGTATCGTGTATTCTATGCTTAAGATAGAGTGTTCGTTAAATGGTTACAATTTGCCTAGCTTAATGGTAAGTGCTTTTAGTGATTTTTACAAGTGGCGTGTGCATGTGTGTGTGATGATGATGATTAGGAATGTTGTAAGGATGTTTTCCACGGGCGAGGGGCTGCTAACCCAAGAAGACAGCGTGAATGAAGATGGGCTGCAGCACGTTTTCACGACCAATGTCTTTGGACATTTTATCTTGGTTAGTGAGCTGCACGCTCCGTGCATTACTGTTAAGTCACGGGAAACCATGCATTTTTAATCTACTCGCCTTCCATTCTATTGAAGACTTGTAGGTTTTCTTGTTCTGTTATTGAATAAAATATGTTGCATTTCTCACCCAGCGAGGTACTGCCAATCCAACCCAAACAAACTTTATGATAATATTGGTCGCGAAAAGCCCTAGAGTGTTAAACGTATGTTATCAATGTAATTATGTTGCCCAGGTTCGTGCAGTTATAAACCATAAGTCACGAGGGCATTTTTGGTCTATGTTATTTAATTGTTATGGAATCCTCACATTCCCGTTTGTGTGTGTTTCTAGTTAAATAATGTATGCAGAACGTTCCGTGTGTGTGCGTGTTCCCAGATACGTCAATTGGAGGATTTGCTTTGTCATCCAGACACGCCATCACAGCTTGTGTGGACTTCTTCGAGCAATGCAAGAGCATCAGCCTTCAATGCCAGTGATCCTCAACACAAGAAAGGCTGTGAGCCCTACAGCTCATCCAAATACGCAGTCGATTTACTGAGCGTGGTACTCAACCAGCAGTACAATGAGAAGGTACTCTCTAACGTGCTCATGCAAGCGCTGTCATACATGTTTCCTAGATTACAACTTCTATTGATATTTCAAAGATTGCATTTGAAGTTGTGTTTTGATGGGAATTTTATTTTTACACCTGTGTCTTCATAGGGACTGTACTCGAGTGTGGTTTGCCCTGGTTTGGTAATGACAAATATGACATACAACATATTGCCTGCCTTCTTCTGGACTCTAATCCTTCCAATCATGTGGCTGGTAATGTTTTTTACCCTTGCTCACACACTATATGCACTGATATTACATCCCCACCTACACAACACAGACCGCACACTTGAATGTGATTTTCTTTCTCGCGTTACGTCTACATTAATCGCAGCCTCATGGGAGCAATAGGTATGGCGAAAGTGATCTTAAAATTGTTATTGACACTGATGGTGTGACACTGTTATTTAGTTGAGTTCACAATTGATAATATACAGCTCTTTATCAATCTATTGCTGGATGAAGGCCTCCCAAAGCTACGTTATTCCTGGGAGTTGTTTGATAATGCACACTTTTCAGTGCGGTTTGGCGAAGGGAGAGGGTTTGGGTCAGCACCAGTTCAGATATCACTCGCCGCTGATGTCCGCAATAGCCGGGAATAAAACTCAAAACTCAGGTTGACAGGTTAATTTTATAGTATGCTAACCAATGCCTTGATGGGTTTGTTTCCATGATTAACATTTTCTTTACACAATAAAAACACGGAGTTGTTGCCCATTATATCTCTGCCAGCAGTGCAAATGGAACATCTCAAACATGATTAATTGTAATAATAGTTTTTTGTTTTCTATTAGATCAGGATGTTCACGAACACGTATACTTTATCTCCAAAAAATGGCGCTGAAGCTCTGGTGAGTACATCCTATTTTTATTACATTAAAGAAATAAAGTATGTTTTTTTCTGTCAGCGGCGATGCACATTTCAGGCAATGAACATGCACAATGACTTTTTCTTGATGACATGTGGCAAGCCCTCTCTCTCTTGTGCAGATGCGACAGTAAATCAATCGTAAAACAACTTTCACATATCGATTCGTGAACGGTGGAGTCATCGGTCATTTCCTTGGTGTGGCACACACGTGTGTGTTCCAGGTGTGGTTGTTTGGAAAGAAGCCAGTCTCGTTGGATCCACTGGTCAAATACAAAAGCTCCACGTCAGGAATGGGCAAAAACTATGTTCAGGCTGACAAGGTTTGATACGCACATGGGCACATTGGCATTGGTATACACATATACACTAATAGCCCTCGCTCAGGTTACTAAACACATTTGAAAACATTCAATGTAATAAGGTTTCATGATATTTGTTTGTGAATACATGCATATTTAAATATCGTATGAAGATGAAGTTAAATTGACCAAATAAGCCATGTGGACCAAAATGAAGAGTGACATAAAAATAAAAGTCGAATTCACCCAGGCTGATTATCAGGACACAATACCAAATGTACAAGGTGTTCATTTGTTAATTGTCTCTACATTATTATTAATCCTGTAATGTGTGCTTTGCTATATTCTCGAAATAAGTAATAGGCTGGAGTGGTGGTACAGTGGTGAGCACATTCCACAATAAACCAAGTGACCTGAGTTTGAATTCTGGGCACGGCTAACATGGGTGGCAAGTTCTATCAGAACCGGTTCTGGCCCGCCTCCTTTTTACCAACCCACAATGACCAGCATATTGAAGTATGGTCAAACAACCCTCATGTTGGGAATTGGAGAGACTGTCTTTCAGCTGGTGGTTTGCAAAAGGAATGTAACTTACAATCGATATTTATCTGGCCAGGTGCCATTCTTGAAGTGCTTGAATTGCAATTTGGGAAGGTTTGTGAATTCCTAGTTAAGGTTTGACACAGCTGTCACCCATCCAAAGTTGATAAATTGAGTACTAATTTGTGAAGTCAGCACAGGCAGTTGGTGCTGTGGGGCAAATGGCCTTGGAATGTGTAATTTGCACTGCTGGCGGAGGGCCATCTCAACGCTTATGTGAGCAGGAAAAAAACACTTTCACTTTGCCCTTGTGGATGCAAGTGAAACGGTGTTCAAGGACGATAGTCCAACGATTGTTTGTGGTGGGGGTTGTAAGGGGGTTATTGACAAAGAGATCAAATGAGATGAGAAAAATACTCAGGTTTTGTTTTTTAATGTGATGTTTGTCGTTGCAGATGAACGTTAATCTGGAGGATGCTGAACGATTTTTTGAATACTTAATCAAGTTGGAAGCAGAAATGAACGAGAAGTATAAATGAAAGCAATGCCCTCTGTAACATGAATGTATGCTCCTTAAAACAAAGGGATTATATTGTTGAGAATTATGAGTACATTTTGTATAAAGATGCAATTCTCTGTTCATTAAAACTGCGGTGTATTATATATACGCATCGATTCATTCCAGTTTGTTCCTGTGCAATAAATGCAATGAGTTGATTAATATAATTATTCGTCACATTGGTGTCATTAAACATTTTTTGTGATATACCGCTTGTGAATTGTGGTTTACATCTCGTATGCACAGAGGCTCATTGAAACGGACTGAAGAAGTGGTCCTTGGATGTCAACATGTGACTACAAGAGTTCTGTGTGACAGTTTCATAATCTTGTGACATAACTCCGTACAGTTGAAGTAATAATTGGAAATGCATTTTTTTTTAGTTTAACCTCATGGGTTACTATGGTTTCACTTCAAAGCAGCTAATAAAAGCTTAAAAGTCAAGCTGTGTCGCCTGACGTCATGCCAGGCGTTAATCCTCACAGGGCCTTGGGGATGCCACCATTGGCTGAAGTACAAAGTTGGAAACTCAAAGCATGGCCGAGGATATTTTGGAAAGAGATCGTGAAGGCATTGCAGCAGTATAAACAAGATAGGGGAGAGATCGGCATAAGACATCACAATATAATTGGGGCTTCATGGCGCCACGGTGGCTAGGAGATGTTAACTACCTCGCTTTGGTATACAGGAGGTCTTAGGTTCGATTCCGACCCTGACACCTGTATATTTGGAGTTTGCATGTTCTCCCCGTGGCCGTGTGTATTCTTCTCCGGGACCTCTTGTTTTTCCCTGCACATTTAGGAACGTGCATTTAGAGTATTAGGTGCTGTAAATGTGCTCACGACGTTAAGCCACTTCGCTGAGCGATCATTTGTGGCCAGGTCGCTTCTGAAAAAGGGCTATATTGCTCAGTGGGCCTTACCTGGTAAATGAAAAGTTTAGTTTATACAGCGTTTAAATGTGACTGCGTCTCGCCATATTTATTTCAGAAGAGAGGGGGGGGGGGGCAGTAATGCAGTAGCAAAAAAAGTAAGATCCTCGAGTCTGGGCTTGGAAGAGGGGCAGGGGAGTGGACAGCATGGATGGCCGGAGGAAGGACCAGACCGGGCGCACGAGGGGAAAATGAGCGACCTTTCACTGAACCAAGGTTGACTCGGGGCTTTGGTAGAAGCCTTGGTTGCTGGAGCAGAGTTATTGCACGGTGTTCACTGTAGTTTTAATTGCAGCTGGAGCTGTCTGGGGCTAAGCTCCGGAAAATGCCTCGTTCACCCCCCACCCACCGCTGCTGGGGGATTTTGTGAGCGCCAGACAGCAAAGAGATATTACGAAACGGCTTGTTGCTATATAATTAAACAGTTCAAACAATACAGGTCAAGAGAAATAATGCAATCATTAATTAGATCTTGGCTTTTAAAAGTAATTTGTCCAAACCAAGTATTTAATTTCGTGTTTTATGTTGTGATTAAAAAAAAATCAGAAATGCGATATTTGAGTGGAATTTTTTGGTCTAATTTCTGGTTATTTTGTGCTCTGATATATCTTTGCTTCCTTGCTGTACTTTGTTTAGATTTTACCATATTGGTGCCCCAGGTCACCCTTGCAATGAAAATCTGCGTTTAGATTATTTGACTGCTATAAATTTCCACATAAGGGACCGTCCATAAAATGACGTCACGCGATTTTGGACGATGTCTTACCCCCCCCCCCCCCCAGTCACAAAAGTCAGAACCCCCCTTAAATATGACGTCACAAAGCTCTGCCCCCCCCCCCAAAAAAAGTGCTTCAAATCGCTTTAAACTATTGTCATTGTAGTGCGTATTTAATGTGGCGCTGCACTCTGATGGTGTAGGAGAAAACATAAATAATTATATTTAATTAAGTAGAACGTGTTTGTCTATATTTAAAGTTGCGCATTTTGATGTGACGTCACATTTCTCAAACCCCCCCCCCGTCGTTACACATCGTCACAAATGTCTGACCCCCCCCCCCTAGGTGCGTGACGTCATTTATGGACAGCCCCTAAGCCACTTTGTTGAGCTAATCATTTGTGGTCAGGTCGCTTCTGAAAAAGAAGCTCATAGCTCAGTGGTAAAAGAAGAAAAACTGTTTTTATTTATTGGAGTGATTTGCTTACCTCTCCTATACTTTCCACTCATATCGTGTTTTTTATATTGTTGTAACATTTTGACCCGCCTCTACTGGACACACACACACACCTGTTCCCCGTATTCCTGTACATGGAAATTGAGTTTTCCGGTCCATACGGCGTACAGACGTTTTGATACGGGCAAAAAAGTATTGTGTTTCTTCCTTGTGATAGGACTTTGTAGGATGAACATTGACATTTATAAGGGGCACGGGGTGACCAATAAGGTCTGAATTGGGTTGACAGGTATGTGAACATGTCAAAAAGAGATATATAGCTCATCGAATTCCCCCAGTATATATTTTTTATACATATGTAAAAAAAGAGCTTTATAGCTCATCGGATTCCTCCAGTATAAATACAGTATCCTGATTCAGGGTCTCTTTGAGTCTCACCTGGTGACACCAATTGCACTTGAAACTTGACCCAGATTCCTGAATCGACAATGAGTTTGCTTGTGAGCGCGACACGGGAATCGAATCGACTGGCAGGGCCCACTCTCTCGTCTCCCACACACACAAACACGTGTGTGTGTGTCTCCAGTACTGCTGTAGGGACATCGACTCCGTGAGGATGACTCTCCTGCTGAGACGTCGTCATACCTTGAAGATGACTCTCCTGCCTAGACGCCCTGATGATGATTGCTGTTTCTCCCGTGTCTGTGTCTCCTTGCTGTCCCGTGTCTCCCCTCTCTCCCGTGTCTCCCCTCTCTCCCCTGTCTCCCGTGTCTCCCCTGTCTCCCGAGTCTCCCCTCTCTCCCGTGTCTCCCCTCTCTCCCCTGTCTTCGCTGCTGGGCGCCTCTGTGGCCCCGCGACCCCTCGCGTCCCTGGGTCGAGGGGTCTCTGCACGCACGGGGAGCCAGGTGATCGTGGTGGATGCACGCACACAAAGGCAAAGATCCCCCGTGTAGCCTGTAACAGACTTTAGGGGCAAGTGCCGTTAGCGAGTAGCAGCAGCTACGAAGGCCGGCACGGCACACGAAGGGGTGGGTGGCCAACGTCACGCCCGGCCGCCTTCGTCTCCCTAGTCGCGATGTTTACACGTCGCACCAGGTACTCATTTGAGGCTGAGTCGACCTAGGGGAGGCCCAGGACCGGTTCAGATAGTCACGCGCACGCGCAAACTTCACTCTCGTTGAGGATTGCTCCGCTTAACAAAATACTTCCGCAGTTTCGGTTCGTGAGTGCGTGCGTTCGTAAGTCGAGGACGGCCAAAACAACTTCCAGGCGTCAAATCGACGTCAAACTTCAACCCCAGGAGGAGCCGTATACCCTGGTTCGCCAGGGGGAGGCAGTGCAGCAAACACGTGGACTCGACCCGTTCCGTCTGCATGGGATAGAGTGTTTCCCCCTCGCACGCGTGGGTGCAGCAGACACGTGGACTCCACCCGTTCCGTCTGTATGGGATTGAGTGTTTCTCCCTCGCACGCGTGGGTGGGTGTTCGCCGAGTGCTCCGGTGTCCAAAGACAAAGATCGCCCCCGTATAGCCTTAACCAGAATGTTGGGGCAAGTGCTGCTTCGTGAGCACCTAATTGACCGGTAACACCTTAATATATAGAGGGCCGCTGAATTTGGGTAACTCTTGGTGCCCGGACGCCTTCTTGCTCGTCCGTAGTTCTTCACCCCTCTCTCTCGCCACGAGAGCGTGCGAATACCTTTGTGGCGCCGTCACAAGTCGAAAATATTCACGAATATAAATTAACATTTGTAATTTTTTCTTTTTTCAGTTAGAGGATCGGTTGTGAGTAAGAGGCACGGCAACATTCTGTCGGTCGGAATAAACCGGCCTCACGTCCGTAATTGCGTCAACGCAGAGGCGGCCCAGTTGCTCCACGAAGCGTTCACCGCGTTTGAAGAGGACGATGACCTGCTCGTGCTGGTTCTGCACGGCATTGGTAAGTTCCGGAGGCAATTCGTTTTGCTGTTCCTCAATTGAAGGAGCACAGAGTAGAGTGAGTTACAGTGGTACCTCGGTGCACGTCGTTAATTCGTTCCAGAAGGTAGGAGGACCTATACCGAAAATGACGAATACCAAACGAATGTTTCCCATAAGAAATCAAGGGAAAGGAACCAATCCGTTCCAGATTCTTTGGTTCTTTCGGTAAAGTCACGTAGAATGAGAATAAAATAATAAATTGATAAAATAAAATAACACAATAAGTGAGAATATTGTGTTATTTTATTTTATCAATTTATTATTTTATTCTCATTCTGCGTGACTTTACCGAAAGAACCAAAGAAGATGAATCCTTGCAGTCACGAAAGCTTTAAATCGAAATTTAATCCGTTCCAGAGTATAATAAATGATATTTTATATGGCATATTATATGCATTAATGGGGTTGTATAACATAATGTAGACACTACTTATTATTACTAAAATGCATACATACATTAAAATAAATGCATGTGAAAATTCACAGAGTTCTAGCAAGGGTTGTGCACTGAACGAGATCTACAGTCAGACTGAGTATCGGCGCTTTGTCTCAGTCGTGAACAGGGTCTACACGTGTACCTCGGTGACTCATCCCGACCCATACAAGTTCTAGCGAGCGCCTCATATCCCAAGCAAGACGTCATATCCCAAGACATTTTATTCTCGTCAAAACATGACGTATACCAAATTCGAGGTATTCCAAAGCAGTCGTATACCGAGGTATGACTGTATAAGTAATGGTTCATAGGTTGGGTTACATGGCCAACAAAGCCTATGCATGTTCTGTTGTGGTTGATGATCACCAAAGTGCCTTCGAGGAATGTCATAGCCAGGAGGTTGCGATGTTTTGGTCTAGAGCGGATGTCTGTTCGGGATCTCCGCGTTGTTCCACTCCGTTCTCCGGCGTCCTTCCCGATGTGGGTGAGATTCTAGGATGGTGACAACAACGCCATCCCAGAAGGGGGATCGGCACTTGAGCCGGCAGCGAGGTTCACTCTTGAGGTCTTGATTTATGGGTTGGTTGTCGTTGGTGAGAGTGATAAATACTAACACGTTTTTTTTTAAAGAATACCTCTTCTGCGTGGAGGTTTGCGGGGACCAATTTTGCAGCTCCTGTTACCCATGGGGTTATACGCAACGTTATTCCCCTTATCTGCAGGAAAACATCCAGGGATTAAGCTTGGATAATAGGAAATATAGATCCGCTGATGAGTTTTTGTTTGCAGATCCAATGGCTGCAGCGGATAATGGGAGTCGTGGGCAATAGGCTAATTGCTAAAAAGTTCTCTTGAACGTTTGACTTAGCCAAGTAGATGTACATCACAGGTGCGAGGACCTTGTAGTTTCCAAAACTGCACAATGGCATATCTCAAGGTGGTACCTGAAAAAAATATTCAAATCGTTCCAAATCAGAACTGCAAGACCATCACTTACACATACTGTATAGTCAATGTTTACGTGCATACAGAAGCCATTCAGGAGTACATGTCGCAGCCGCAATAATTAACCCTTTCCAATTGAAGCGTAGTGCTGTAATGCCATTAAACTGCTTTCCATTCTCTCCAGTTAAGCCCTCACTGGCTCATGATTTCATGTATATAAAATGTGTAAAAAATGGTGTTCCCATCCTAGCACATAAAGCAGAACCTTTATGCTTCAATTAGCATTTGTCGGCACTTATTTTGGTAGATTTTGTCTGACTCACTATTCCCAGACACCCCCCCCCCTTCCGCCCCCCAGGCTGTGTTCTAGCCTTTAATGCCTCCCCAACATGCTCGACTCCGTTAGTGCACAACCAGCGCCCCCAATACGTGCCCGCGACTTACGAAACACTCGTCGTTTTATCATTTTAAGGTCGTACGCTAGAAATGTCAAAACTCTTTAAGTAGGTAATGTTTTCATGATCATCATGAGACCTCCTTTGCCGGTATTAAATTATGATAATAGTGTTTTTCCCTTTCTGGCAATAAAACAGTTGTGTTAAGATGTTGAAACACCAAGCTGAAACCTTTGCAAGGAATCGTGTCTGCATTTACCAGTTTCAAAGACAATGCACATACTGTCAGAGCATGGTTTTTTTTGTTTGCATGTTCACCACAAGTATATGTGGTTAATGCAGACACGATTCCTTGCAAAGGTTTCAGTTTAGTGATGGAACATCTTAACACAACTGTTTTATTGCCAGAAAGGGAAAAAACCCTATTATCATAATTTAATCCTGGCAAAGGAGGTAGCTGTAGCTGCTCGCCCCAAGCTCTCAATGTCCTGATAGTGGCATTGTCCTTGTGCTGTTCACCTTTTGGCATCCTCTGGTCTAACGCTGTTTGAGACTAGGCTCTAAAGAAAGCTGTCTCTGGTGTGGACCAATCAGTTTCAAAGACAATGCACACGCTGTCAGAGCATGTTTGTTTTGTTTGCATTTTCACCGCAAGTATATGTGGTAAATGCAGACATGATTCCTTGCAAAGGTTTCAGTTTGGTGTTTTAACATTTTATCATGATCATGTAATGACATCATGATTATACTATTCAGTGCCAAGGTTATTACAAGGTGTAACATGTACGATGAATGATTGTACGATGAAGGCTGGGCCCAAGGGTTTTTGGCAGAAGCGGTGGTGAGGAACTGTATGAGAGAAGAATTCCGAGTAGGTGGAGGTAGGCGCCACCGCAAAGTTCAGAGATACGAAGGCGCATTGTGTTAAGAGACGCGCGTTGTAACGCAATAGACACTCCACGTTAAAAAAAATAATAATGGATATTTAGTGACCGTATTATTACAGGGAGCCCAGCGTGAATATGAAAAACCCAGATGTTTGCGTGATACAATCCTGGCCCGTCGCCGCATTCCCCTCGCATGTTGAGATCACCTATTTGGTACGGCCCACTGCTCGTGCTAAAAATAAATAGCGCAGGCGGTTGCTCGTGCACAGCGAATGCGGAGGAGCGCTCCAGGGGCAAGCGAGTCGTAGTTTTCCACTTTGCTGTCCCTGCTAGCTGTGAGCAATTGCTTCATGATCACCCCCAACAGAAGCGAGCATGGGCAAATAATTGGGAGGCACGACTTTCCGGGCCGCCTCCCCGATGACCTTTTACTTAACAATCCCAAGTTCCGCTGGACATGAAAGGACACTGGGAAATACCCCACGGTTTAGTGCCTTGAAAGAGTAAAATCTTTCAGCCGGAATACAATCACCACTCCGATTTGAGTACATTCTTATAATTACAATCATGTGAAAAATGTATCTAACAGCATATTTACGCTGTGAAACAAACCCCACTCAATGAAATAACAGATTTCCGTTAAGATTATTTATGATTGTATTAATGTGCAAAAGTTGTTTATATTAATTTTAAACCCATTACAGTATTTGAGTTGTTAATGTCCCCTCAGACCGTCCAGTGGAGGAGCCTACCAGTTGATTTTACGTTACTTGAAAAAAATTGCCACGAATCTCAATGGGCTCATACCTGGCCGTAAAAAGCATATGTTTATTATTCATTCACATGAGCAGACCGGTGGATCTGCCTGCATTAGTTTCGCTGACAGGCCGTGCAATATCAAGTGGATCGTTATTGCTGTGAGTAGGTTTACTAGGAGATGGTTTCCGTATCCTAGATGCTGTGTGCCTTCACCCTGCCTTCAGCCCTCCCATATGGTCTGACACAATACATTGTTTTGTTTTACTATACAGTAAGCATATTAACTCGCTCTGTTTTCAAATTAACAATTTGTACAGTTTTATTTACCCTTTGGATACACTGACGTCCGCCATAGGAACGTTGAAATTCTACCACTGGCTCTGCTGGGCTGTAAACCAAGAGCTGAGCACAAATGCTTCAATGCTCATTTCAGCAGCAAATTACTTTTAACTTATTGACACTGGGCACAGGTTTGGGGGAGGGGGGTGTGACGCGTCTTACTTTGTGGCATCTTATAATGCGGAGAATACGCTAGCTACTATTTCATATATGTTAGTAACGTTCTCGTGAACGTAATTCCTTGGTAAATTGCACGTGCGTACTGTAATGTACTTTTGTTTTTATTCCAGGTGGAAACTTTTGCGCAGGGTACGACTTGAAAGAACTCGCCAACACGACAGCACCGATCTCAATACCAGACGTAGGCAAAGGGCCTGGGCCAATGGTGAATGCCTTGTTATTGCTTGACATTCTACACAGAGAAACTTGAACAAACTCTGTACTGCAAACGTGTGACATTTTTTTAGCACAAGGACAGGCAGGTCAGGTCAGTCGGCCTAGGCACCACAGCAATTAACACCAGAAAACAGATGCCCATTCACCCAGCCTCTCCATGAGGAATGATGCACGTTGACATTTTCCCAAAATAGGTGACAGTATGGCTCACATATGGGAGAGCTGAGCTGTCACCGCTGGGTTTGAATCCGGGTTCAGCCACCCGTGGTTAAATCGGGTTCTCAAGTGTAGTGAATTGATGGATATCAGAGAAGGATGAGGTGATCTAATCCCCATTGCTATGCTGACGACATACCCCACCAGGCATAGGTGAGGCAACTGGCGTGACCCATTTTTAGCGAGGAGATATCAAACGCATCGTATGTACAATGGATATACAGTAATTGTAAAGCGCTTTGGAACAAGGTGCCGCTGTATAAATCTATATAAGACAACATAAGACGTTTTCCAGATCGCTGCGCATAGAATATTTTGAGAGATGCATCAGGAGTACGTGTGGACATGTCGCACCCGATGCGTCGTCATCGCTGGTTTGACGCAGGGTCCGTCGCGCATGGAGCTGACGAAGCCTGTGATTGCTGCGGTGAGCGGCTACGCCGTGGCCGGCGGGCTGGAGCTGGCCTTGCTTGCGGACATGAGGGTGGTCGAGGAAGATGCCACAATGGGTGTCTTCTGCAGACGCTTTGGTAAAAAAGAGCACATTCGTTCACTTCAAAGGTCGTCTCCCCTGCTGTCGAAGTAAACTGTTAAAAGACGATTCTTATTCGTTTAGGACATCGTTAGTGGTGTCTGGTGAGAGTGTCTTGTGAGTGTAATTGCCTAATGCAGGGATCGGCAACCAAGATAACAAGAAGAGCCATTTTTTTGAATTCGAGACGGTGGTCCTTAATAAATAACGTCACGAAGCGGTCCTTAATGAGCCGCATGCGGGACCATAGGTTGCTGAGCCCTGCCTATGGTGAACTGGACTCTTATGGTCAGAGGTCGGCAACCGAAATAACACGAAGAGCCGTTTTTTCTCTCCAAATTCGGAATATTTAAAACAAATCTATAAAATAAAGTCCGAGAAGAACCGCACGCGGCTCGAGATCCGCAGTTTTACCAACCCCTGGCCTAGTGAGTAGTGAGCAGTGAAGGTCTGGTGGCAATGACTGACGACTGGTGATTCGTGTTAGGTGAGTGGTCTGGTGTGCATGTCACGTGTCTGGTGAGTTGCGTTAAGGTGAGCCGTGAGTGCCTGGTGATGGTCAGGTCTCGTATCACTTCACCCAATCTGTAGGATAGGCTGCCCTCTAGTGGTACATGTTAGAATGATCCCACGTCGTCTATTGTCTTAATCAGTAATGATCAATTCGGAAATTTTGACTTAATAGTTTCAAGCGCATTGTTTCATTGGTCTCTATTATGAGATGTAAACGATAATAATGTCTTAATATTTTAAATATTGTTTCTCCCTTTTTTGTAGGAGTACCTCTTATCGACGGAGGCACTGTCAGACTTCCCAAGTTAATTGGACTGTCCCGAGCTCTGGATCTTATTTTGACTGGCCGTCCAGTTGACGCACAGGAGGCGCATCATTTTGGATTGGCCAATCGGATTACGACCAAGGGAAAAGGTTTGCCTAACACGAAGACGATTTTTACCCTTTTTCCACGGGCACATCTGAGCCGAGCCAGCATGGGTAGATTTCCACTGGCTATTTACCGAACCGAGCCAGAACCGAGCCGTAATCTTTGTTGGGGAAAAGCTGGGCTCGGGGCAAAGCTAATACGGCGTGCAATGTGTCCGACATCATCTCAAGCTAGCCAAAGCGTTGGGGCGCTGAAGAAATGTGTGTTGTGTGTACGTATGTTTAACGTCTCTCGCACCGTACGTAGCCAACCGTGCTAATCAGAGGTGCTGTGTTCGACTGTGTGTATGTCTGTGTGTGTGTGTGAGAGGGCGTGTGAGTGTATGTCAGTGTATGTGCGAGTGTGTGGGGAGCGGTAGTGTAGCAGTTAGCGCGCTGCGCTATGAACCTGGCGACCCGGGTTCGATTCCCGCTCACGGCCAACATCAGTGACGATTATCTGAACCGGTCCCGGGCCTCCCCTAGGTCGACTCAGCCTCAAATGAGTACCTGGTGCGGTGTGTAAACATCGCCACTGGGGAGACAAAGGCGGTCGGGCGTGGTGCTGGCCACCCACCCCCTCGTGTACCGTTCCGGCCTTCATAGGTGCTCGCTAACAGCACTTGCCCCTACAGTCTGTTAAGGCTATATGGGGGATCTTTGTGTGCGCCACCAAGTCATCTACATGCATCTCGACGTCACACTGTGTGTGATGTCAGCGGCACGGATTTGCTTCTGCAGTGGGAAAACAAAGCCTGTTCCTCCTGACCGATGCCGGGCTGGCACAGTTTAGATGTGCAAGTGGAAAAGACGCATTTGTGTCTGCAAAGTGAGTGAGCATGGGTGACAGTATTACAGTGAAAGCTACTTTAAGCATTCCATATAAAAAATGTCGCGAACGTTCAAGTAAATTAAAAACCCAATTGATGAGAAACTCCACTCATCTATGCCTTCAAAGTCACACTCTAAGGTAAAACTTGACAAATCAATGCACCACAAATCCCCCGTGTAGGTGTACTTGTATATTTTTCCGCTACACTCAGCGCTATAACATGCCCATGAATAGTTTTCCATACTCGCAAGTGATCAGTCCAACATCTTTCCCTCTCTTCTTCTTTAGTTCCATTCCGTCTTCCCGTAGAGATGCTGGGGCCGAGTGAGATCTCTCCACCTGTTCCTGCCTTGCGCCAACTTTACGGCTTCCTCTACTCGTCGCACTTTTTGTTCGAGATCATTTTTCACCGAGTCAATGGAGTGAGCCTTTCGAGCTCCTCCATGTTTTGTTGCGTGCGCCTGCGCGCGCGTGTGTACGCCAAGTCCACAATTCTCTTTGGATCCGTTCTAGACGCGCGTCCAAACCACCGCAGTCGTCTCTCTCCTGGTTCATCTCTTGATCAGTGTCACCTCTTGTTCCAGTCGTTCTCGTATTGCTTCCATTTGTATTGTTCCTAGCCTTAGACACTCACTATTCTTCTCAGCCAGCTCATTTCAGCAGTTGCTATATTTTATTCATCAGATTCCCCCATTACCCAGAATTTGCAGGCATACGTGAATATCGACAATGATCACTCCAACACGAGCGGAACACCATTATCTCGATAGTGATGGCGTTCAGATGTGATCAAACACATCCACGATTGATTTTTACTAACAAGTCGTTTGTGAAAATCATATTCATCCGAAAACTGTATCTTAACCCTTTACATGCTGTAAGGGATTGACGGCCCTTACGTGTCGGTGCACAATGGTTCAGTCATTGATTGAGCGTTCTCTTATGGAACAGTGACAGAAAGACGTTTGATAACCTGAACCTGGCTACTGTGCAGTGTGGACGCTGCAGTAGAATATAAAATAATGAAATTCTGTCCGACTATAAATAGTATGGTATCTCATTACTTTATACTTGCTCTCAAATTTTAGTTGGCATGGCAGCTTCCATACGCAGTTCCGCATTTTCAAACCTTTTTTTCTCGAGGCCATTTCTGTGAGTCCGGTGTGAGGGATGGACAGGAGAGGTCTTCGACGCAGCACGGATTGGGCCGCGTGCGTGCGCTCGCTCCTGCACTCTATCCTCCTGCCGTGTCTCTTGTCAACAAAGGCAATGAAAAGTTTGTTTAAAACAAAAATGTTCACTCACTTGGGGAAAATGATGCTCCTACCCTGGGGCGTCGACGAGGGCCCAGCGGCCCCGCGTTCGCCGCTCGTTGGAGTGATTCACGGTTCGAATCCGGCGTGCGTAATAACCGGAGTGACACGGTGAACGTTGGTTAAAAAAAAAAAAAACATGGACGTCATTCGCAAGAGTAGGAGGCCATTGTGTGCCGGCGTCGGGGTCCAATTTTCGCCGCATTCGAAAATTACACCGCAAATGACTCGATTGGGATTATATACACACACACACAACAATAATCGCCCCCTACTGCCAGACTAATTAATGCCCCGGGTCTCTCTTGCAAATGACACTCTATCCTGGTCTCCAGAGTTCTCACCTGGTTAAAAACAAAATACATTTGAAAGTTTGAAAAGTGTTTTCATCATTGCTCATAAGCATGAAACTAAATTAGACACTTTTTTACATCTGGCACTACCACAGTTGCTTGTGGTTGTGTTCCACTGGCAAATTTGCAAAGGGCAGAATGCCTGGTGCGCTAGGCAACATGGAATCCTCAGTTTTATTGGCACTAATCAATGTTATGCACAACAACGTTGTTGGTATGCTGCCTTTGATGTCTACTATTTGGACAACATTGTACTTTGTAGGGTGATGCAACCTATGGTATAATACACAATACCGTAATACTATGTCGTCAATATAATGTATTACGAATATTTGTGTTTGTTTCCACAGCCTTTGAAGAAGCTATGAAGTTGGCAGAGCAGATTTCATGCTTCCCTCAGAAGTGCCTGCGATCAGATCGCCAGTCTGCTTACCGCAACGCGTTCTGTTCTCAAGACCATCACGAGGCTTTGCAGTTTGAACTTAACAATGCCAAGCATGTAATCAGCGAGGAATCCATTAAGGGTTCATTAAAATTTAAATCTGGATATGGCAGGGGAGGAACATTTAATGACCACTAAGGATATTAACGCAACCTTCTAAGGTACAAGATTGTGATTTCAAATACTTCACCAGTATACCACCACTGATTCGGTAAAGTAACATACGATAATTTAGAGTTAATTATTCAAACAACACCTATATTCAGTATTAATTAGACAATGTTTGTGCTAATTTATTCATTCTTGCTAAAACAAATGTTCTGCAGCAAAGCATCAGTCTGTGGTCCTGAATCATGTATAATTTAGTTTTTACTCTTTCGTAGAATGGACTGCATGATTAAAAAATTCGATAACAGCAATTGTGCCAAATTTGGGTAGCGGTCTTCCAGGCCGGTTCGCGGTGCAGAATGTGTGTGGAGCTGTGGCGATAACCCCAATTTCTGCGGGCCACGTCACAGCCAATCAGTTGCCGCAGGGAGTGAATCGGGAGCCGAGCGTAGTGATGTCACAGCTGTCCGGCCGAGTCGACCAATCGGAGCGTGTCCAACTTGCACAAATGCCGATGTGTGTGTGTTACTTTGCCCTCCACCAAAGTGCGATATCGTAGCGCAAAATCAAAGACGGCTTGACGCCTCGTAAAAACAATGATGAAGATGACAGTGATAATTCTAATGTTAAGCATCATGATTACAATTAAGAAAGTCGATTTTAATGGTGATAATAATGATAGATTATAAATGATCATGATAAATTATAGACGATAATTAATATGACAATAATGATGCAGCTGATGATCCACCAACCCCGAATCCACCAACCTACACCAACCCCTAATCCGTAGCCATCCACCATCCCTTGCCTCCATACAGTGAGGGAAAAAAGTATTTGATCCCCTGCTGATTTTGTACGTTTGCCCACTGATAAAGAAATGATCAGTCTATAATTTTAATGCTAGGTTTATTTGAACAGTGAGAGACAGAATAACCACAAAAAAATCCAGAAAAACATGTCAAAAATGTTATAACTTGATTTTAATGAGGGAAATAAGTATTTGACCCCGTCTCAATCAGAAAGATTTCTGGCTCCCAGGTGTCTTTTATACAGGTAACGAGCTGAGATTAGGAGCACACTCTTAAAGGGAGTGCTCCTAATCTCAGCTTGTTACCTGTATAAAAGGCACCTGTCCACAGAAGCATCCAATCAATCAGATTCCAAACTCTCCACCATGGCCAAGACCAAAGAGCTATCCAAGGATGTCAGGGACAAGATTGTAGACCTACACAAGGCTGGAATGGGCTACAAGACCATTGCCAAGCAGCTTGGTGAGAAGGTGATAACAGTTGGTGCGATTATTCGCAAATGGAAGAAACACAAAATAGCTGTCAATCTCCCTCGGCCTGAGGCTCCATGCAAGGTCTCACCTCGTGAAGTTGCAATGATCATGAGAACGGTGAGGAATCAGTCCAGAACTACACGGGAGGATCTTGTCAATGATCTCAAGGCAGCTGGGATCATTGTCACCAAGAAAACAATTGGTAACACACTACGCCGTGAAGGACTGAAATCCTGCAGCGCCCGCAAGGTCCCCCTGCTCAAGAAAGCACATATACATGCCCGCCTGAAGTTTGCCAATGAACATCTGAATGATTCAGAGGACAACTGGGTGAAAGTGTTGTGGTCAGATGAGACAAAATGGAGCTCTTTGGCATCAACTCAACTCGCCGTGTTTGGAGGAGGAGGAATGCTGCCTATGACCCCAAGAACACCATCCCCACCGTCAAACATGGAGGTGGAAACATTATGCTTTGGGGGTGTTTTTCTGCTAAGGGGACAGGATAACTTCACCGCATGAAAGGGACGATGGACAGGGCCATGTACCGTCAAATCTTGGGTAAGAACCACCTTCCCTCAGCCAGGGCATTGAAAATGGGTCGTGGATGGGTATTCCAGCATGACAATGACTCAAAACACAGGGCCAAGGCAACAAAGGAGTGGCTCAAGAAGAAGCACATTAAGGTCCTGGAGTGGCCTAGCCAGTCTCCAGACCTTAATCCCATAGAAAATCTGTGGAGGGAGCTCAAAAGAAAGCTGTCTCTGGTGTGAACCAATCAGTTTCAAGGACAATGCTTATATTATCAGAGTATTTTTTTTTACCACTCGTCGTCATGTGCTTGTGCCTTTTCCATTACACCACTTGCCGCAAAGTTCAGAGCGAGAGTAACGTGCTCCACATTGTGCAACGAAGTGCAGAAAATCTCTCATGGAATGGAGGCACCACAAAAAATAAACATTAATTTGTGCGGAATGCTTTGCCATATATTCTTAAGTACCTCCCACACGCCCGACAACCCCTTGATATGATTGATGTGATTCTGCACCACGGTTATGCCCATAACCCCAGGCTAACCTCGAACCCACGTAAGGCCATTCAGCAATTGCGGCTCTGGCAAAAGGTGATGTTTTAGCTTAATTGGGTGTACGCGAATTTCCAAAAAATGCTGAATGGGTCCAATTGTCTTTAAAAAAAGTAATTCTTCCAAACGGTGGCAGTGATGACGGACAAAAATAGCGGCATGATTATGGGTGACAGACAAACGGAACGAAACGGGAGGATTTCTCCACAAAGCTGGCTGTCGCTTGATGAAGCTAGTTGTAATTACTGGCGAAACGTCGTACTCAGATTGTAAATGTGGCTTTACTCTCCAACACACCGGTGTGCTATACTAGTAACGAATTGGCATGTTCTGTTTACGTGACAAACTTTACTATCTGGCTGTGTCGGGTTGTGGCAGGTTTACCGACATATTTATGCGATCTAACCCAGAAAAAACCCTGCATTAATATGGCCCAATTCAAATGGGGCAATTGCTATCTTGGCCAAATCACGTATTGGAGGGTAGCAAAAGAGCAGCAAGGTGATTCAACAACGTCCTGCAATCTCAGTTTAACACGTAGGCTTTCGCGACCAATATTATCTCCATATATATAAAAGGCAAAGTTGTGAATGTGTGTCTGTTGAAAATGTTTAGCATACTTCCCGACATACAACAAACCTGAAATTTGCCATGTGGGTACTTTCCAGACTGTACACCATGCAAAAATTATAAAAATACACTTTTTTGGGGGGGGAGCTCAATAATGCATTTTTTTTGCACGGCAAGTGAGCTGTGACGTCACATCTGTCATGTGACCCGCGCATGTAGAAGGGTAACGCATTGTAGTGTAGCGGTGAGCACGCTGCGCTACGAACCTACTGACCCGAGTTCGATTGCCGCTCACGGCCACCACCGGTGACGATTATTTTTACCGGTCCTGGGCCTCCCCTAGGTCGACTCAGCATCAAACGAGTAACTGCTGTGTGAACATCGGTACTGGGGAGACAAAGGCGGCGGGCGTGGTGAATCCAAGTCCCGGGCGAAGCCGGGTAGTCAAGCTAGTTCATAATAAACGTCATTGGGTTAGATCGCGTTATTTATAAAGGTGTCGTAACCCTCCACCACCCGACACGGCCAATCAGCAAAAAAAAGTGTCACGTTGACAAAAGACAAAATAGTTTTCTCGGGGGGGGGGGGGGGGGAACGATCGAAGCAGGCTGTAAATGGATGTGCCAAAGGGTGCGTGCGATTCTAATGTTTGGCCGAGGATTCATTTCGGCCTGGCAAAGTGTTTCGGATTGGACAGCGAATGCCAAAACTGAACCGCTCAGCCAGGCTTAGGTGGCCTCTTGCCAACAAGAAAAATGAATAACTGCAAAAACACATTCCTGCGGAGGGAGCTGGTAGGAACGTTGGGTTGCTCGGTCAATGGCCAGGGTCAACGGCGGCACCACGTGGTGTATTCCGCAAATATGCCCGACTGTGAGGGCGGGCACAAGCCCGCGTGAGTAGGTTAAACGTTGAGTTTTATAAGGGCACCACGGGGTGACCAGCCCCTCCCCACCCAGCCCCACCCCTCCCATTTTTGGATGCACGACGGACGGACACAATAATCCCCTGTGGGCTGGTGGTGTAACCAGGAGGTTCCTACACAGTATAATGGTTGAAAATGTATTATTTTATATTAAAGCTGGACACGATGACGGGCGCAGAATACTGCTGCCTGATATCCGATTCATACTTTCCAGATGTGCAATTGTTCGTAAATATTGTGACTTTACCGAAAGAGCTAAGAATATTGTCCTACTCTTCACCAAGAAATATCTCGCCTGTGCCTTCAGCCAGTGATAATTATTGCAGCACCAACCGGTTACCTCCGATGTAAAATGTAGAATTATGATCTGGGTTATTTTGTTAAGTTATGCGTTGTACAAGGTATACGGGGTTTATAGGGGGATTGATTCGTTTGTTGTTGTGGTGCATCTTGCCGGTCATCTCAGTCAGTCGCTCCGAGGCACTTCGCCACCACTCACGTGGCCACCACCACCACGACAACGACCACGGTTGTTGTGGTGGTGGCGAGGCAGTGAAGCAGCCACTACACTTGGACAGTCGTCGCCCTGTTATTTGGTTGTTGTTCTTGTTGTTGTTTACACCGCGGTGTTTTCCACCACTCACGTGGCCACCACCACCACGACCACGGTTGTTGTGGTGGTGGCGAGGCAGTGAAGCAGCCACTACACTTGGGACAGTCGTCGCCCTGTTATTTGGTTGTTGTTCTTGTTGTTGTTTACACCGCGGTGTTTTCCACCACGAACGTCTCCTAGTCGTGTTGTTTGGTTGTTGTTGACTTAAAAGCTTTCGTGACTGCAGGAATTCATATTCTTGAGTCTTTCGGTAAAGTCACGTAGATAGGTTCAAAGAAAATAACAAAAATAACAAAACTACGACGTTTCGATCGCAACACGAAGCGGCCGTTTTGAGACCGCTTTGTTTGTTGAGAGCAACACACAAAGCGGTGGGCGGGCCCGTTGGGGGGGGCGGGCCCGTTGGGGGGGGCGGTTGTTTGTTAGCAACACACAAAGCTACTGAAGACGGCCGCTTTGTGTTGCTAGCAACACACAAAGCGACTGAAGACGGCCGCTTTGTGTCGCTAGCAACACACAAAGCTACTGAAGACGGCCGCTTTGTGTTGCTAGCAACACACAAAGCGACTGAAGACGGCCGCTTTGTGTCGCTAGCAACACACAAAGCGGTCTGAAGACGGCCGCTTTGTGTTGCTAGCAACACAAAGCGGCCGTCTTCAGTAGCTTTGTGTGTTGCTAACAAACAACCGCCCCCCCCAACGGGCCCGCCCCCCCCAACGGGCCCGCCCACCCCAACGGGCCCGCCCCCCCCAACGGGCCCGCCCACCCCAACGGGCCCGCCCCCCCCAACGGGCCCGCCCCCTCCGCCGTCTCTTAGCGACGGCGACGCCGCCGAGGGTAACGGAGGAGGAGGCGCGACGCCGGGCGGCCCGGGCCTCGCTTCTTCTTCTTCCTCTTCTTCCTCTTCGTCTCCTCCTCCTCGCGGTAAACGACGAGAGAGGTGCCTCGCTAACACGAAACGGTCCCCCAAACCACCACCCGTGTGTAGCACTCCACACGGACGACAATGCCGAAGTGGTTCAGTGGTGGCGACGGTCGCCGACGGCGGCGCCTGTGCCAGGCTAGGTGCACCGTGAAGATGCGCGAGGGAGAGGGAAGGAACAGAGGCGGGTTGCCTTGGGGGCGGTCGACCGACTTGAGATGACTCCTGGCAGATGGATCCCCTCACCCCGAGTAGCCTTGACAGACTGTTGGGGCGAGTAGCAGTGCTAATGAAGGTACCGGCACTGTGGCACGTGAGGGTGGTTGGTGGGTGGCCAGCACCACGTGCTCTGTCAACCCGTACCCTGTCAACACGTACCCTGTCAACACGTACCCTGTCAACCCGTACCCTGTCAACACGTACCCTGTCAACCCGTACCCTGTCAACACGTACCCTGTCAACCCGTACCCTGTCAACACGTACCCTGTCAACCCGTACCCTGTCAACCCGTACCCTGTCAACACGTACCCTGTCAACGCGTACCCTGTCAACGCGTACCCTGTCAAACACGTACCCTGTCAACGCGTACCCTGTCAACGCGTACCCTGTCAAACACGTACCCTGTCAACACGTACCCTGTCAACCCGTACCCTGTCAACATGTACCCTGTCAACCCGTACCCTGTCAACATGTACCCTGTCAACACGTACCCTGTCAACGCGTACCCTGTCAACCCGTACCCTGTCAACGCGTACCCTGTCAACCCGTACCCTGTCAACACGTACCCTGTCAACCCGTACCCTGTCAACGCGTACCCTGTCAACGCGTACCCTGTCAACGCGTACCCTGTCAACCCGTACCCTGTCAACGCGTACCCTGTCAACGCGTACCCTGTCAACGCGTACCCTGTCAACGCGTACCCTTCAACCCGTACCCTGTCAACATGTACCCTGTCAACCCGTACCCTGTCAACGCGTACCCTGTCAACACGTACCCTGTCAACCCGTACCCTGTCAACGCGTACCCTTCAACCCGTACCCTGTCAACGCGTACCCTGTCAACGCGTACCCTGTCAACGCGTACCCTGTCAACCCGTACCCTGTCAACGCGTACCCTGTCAACGCGTACCCTGTCAACACGTACCCTGTCAACGCGTACCCTGTCAACACGTACCCTGTCAACACGTACCCTGTCAACGCGTACCCTGTCAACACGTACCCTGTCAACACGTACCCTGTCAACATGTACCCTGTCAACGCGTACCCTGTAAACATGTACCCTGTCAACCCGTACCCTGTCAAAACGTACCTGTCAACACGTACCCTGTAAACATGTACCCTGTCAACCCATACGGTTTACCCCGTATTTTGTATTGGGAAATTGAGTTTTCAGGTCCATACGGAGTACAGCCGTTTCAATATGGGCAAAATATTTGTGTCTATCTGTGTTTCTCCCTTGTGATGGGACATGGTAGGATGAACGTTGAGATTTACAAGGGCACGGGGTGACCAATAAGGCCTGAATTTGTCTGTAATAAGGGAGGGCACTGATAGGGGGTTGACAGCGATGGGTGCGGTTCGGCACCACCACCATGCCCGGCCACACACGCCTTTGTCTCTCCCCTTCCCCCCCCCCCCCCCCCCCAGTGCTGATGCTTTCATACGCATCGCACCAGGTGCCCATTTGAGGCTGAGTCGACCTCTTCGGGGAGACCCAGGAACCGGTTCGGATCATGAATCGCCACTGGTGTTGGCCGTGAGCGGGAATCAAACTCGGGTGGCTAGGGTTCGTGGCGCTGTGCCACTGCCCCCCGTGTACACGTGAGGCTCGCCCAACAACGTTGGCCGACGTTGGCACGTGGCTGGAACTGTTGGACACTTTGGCTGCTATGCATTTCCACATGATGAGCCACTTTGTCGAGCTATCGTTTGTGGCCAGGTCGCGTCCATAAAATAAGTGAAGAGCTCAGTGGGCTTTACCCGGTAACATAACAAAATATAGTTTATTTTTATTAGTATATTTTAAGTGATTTGTTTACCTTTCCTATACTTTGCACTGCTATAGTGTTTTTTGTATTGTTTGTTGTAACGTTCTGACCTGCCCCTAATGACCGTCTGTGAAAAAGAGCTTTATAGCTCATCAGATTCCTCCAGTATAAATAAATATTCTGATTCTATTAGACCAACGTTGGTCTAAGTTTCCATGTTTATTTGGAATAAGCTAAGACGTGTTGTTGACAAAATGAAAATGTGTGTTTCTTTTCCTTTCAGGTAAGAAAATGAATCAATTGTACGATTCGAGGGAGCCGAATGTTATTGACGAGGAGATGTTGATACAGGCCGTGGAAGAACAAGACCCCAAGCGACAGGCTGGAAAGATTTCTCACCTGCAAGACGTTGACTTCAAGGAGATAACGCACCTGAGACTTGACTTTAAAAGTGAGGACGTCTTCGCCGTCTATTGCTGATTTAGGTTGCGTGCCATGTTTGATATATTATACTTACTTGAATGTTTTGACCTTTGCTGATGGATCCATTGCAAGACATTGTACTTTTATTTAATAGGCAAAAAATACAAACTTAAACACACGTCATCTTAATCATTGTCATCGGCCATGTATCCACTGCTAAATGGAGGCCTCCCTCCACGCCACCTCCAGATATGCTGTACGCGTACTATGTTTCGAAACGATTTTCTCCAAGATGTATGCTCACTGCCTACCTGGCGACTCGAATCTCACCCCTGCTTCCGCTCACGTACTTCGGCAACCAAGGGCCTTCTTGTCTATAAAGCCCCAAGTCAACCGTCACTCAGTGGGAAGTCACTGCTGCTGTTTTGATGCCCCTTAAGATTGGAACTTGCCTACCTACCGGGCCATATGTCCCATCGAATGCCTGTCCTTGTTAATGTCCTTGTTAATGTCCTGAGCCAATTCAGTCACCTTCACTCATTTCCTCTGCCTATGACTGCCTGTCTCATCTCTTAAATTAATGATATATACACAGTATACTGTGTGTATCATGTAAATGTGTGCCATCTGTGAAAAAAGAGCTTCATAGCTTATCAGATTCCTCGAGTCCAAATAGAGATTTTGATTCTCCTTGATCTGAATAATAAACATTTTGTTTTGTATGGTGCCTAAAGTTGCAGTCGCATTTACACCGTACAAACATTCAAATTATATTGTGTTCTACCTGCCCAAATATTGTACTGTATTGGAGAACATTGAACCATTCGTGTGTGGAGGTGTATTTGACCATACTTCACTATGCTGGTCAGTGCAGGTTGGTCAATTTCGAGAGCTTATTCATGGCAGCATAGTACAGTACAATTATTTTTGGTACACTTCCCTCTGCTGCTCATCACGTTGCCCCACAGTAGTCTTTATCACCTGTTATGCATGGTGTTCACCCATCCAACCACAATCCAAACGCAGCTCTGCTTAGCTTTAGATATATTTATGAGACTGGATGATTTAGTCGTAGGTTGTGATTAATGAATGAATAACAAATGCCTGAAAAAACAAGTAAAATGTGAAATTTCGATTTAAAGCTTTGGTGACTGCAGGGATTCATCTTCTTGGTTCTTTCGGTAAAGTCACGTAGAAGGGAAATAATAAAAATAAAACAATAAAATAAAATTCTCACGACGTTTCGGCCACAACACAAGTAGCCTTCCTCAGGTGAAGAAACAAAACTGTCGGAAAGACAGTGCTCATTGAAGCGCTGTCTTTCCGACAGTTCTGTTTCTTCACCTGAGGAAGGCTACTTGTGTTGTGGCCGAAAACGTCGTGAGAATTTTATTTTATTGTTTTATTTTATTATTATTTTATTATTTCCCTTCTACGTGACTTTACCGAAAGAACCAAGAAGAAGTAAAATGTGCTTAATTTAACTTGTGCAAACACGTCTCATTGTTCATACCGCGTCGTAATGATTTGTGTTCCGTCACATTTTCCAGACATTCTTAGAATTGATAACCTTTGGCAGTGTAACAACATTACAAAACTGCAACTGGATAACAATTTAATTGAGAATATTGAAGGACTCGAGTCACTTATCAATCTCCAATGGCTCGGTAAGCATTCTATCTGTGTGTAGTGTTGAATACAAAGTATTTTGCGAATTTTATTTGGTGCACCTGTACAGCATTTTTAATTTTAAGGTGTTGTCCGTCACTTCCACAGAGCACTTTTTATCCAATAAGGTTGTTTCTCAGTGTGAGAATGTAAACTTCCGGCGATGTAGTTAATAAGGAAAAGGGATTGTGTGTGTGTGTTGTAGATTTGTCATTTAATAACATTGAAGTTATCAAAGGTCTGGATACATTGACAAAACTCGAAGATTTGAGTATCTGCAACAACCGAATTTCACGACTAGAAAATATGGACTCATTAAAGAATTTGCAAATCCTCTCTGCTGGAGACAACTCTCTGGATCAGTTACCAAATGTAAGCCTTCAAACAATGGTTGTGTTCACATTACATTTCGTGTAAAGAAGTTAGTTCATTCATACCACACACTTCTGCTGCTTCAAGTCATTTTTGTTATGTATTTGTTGTTGCAGATGGTTTACTTGAGAACATTTCCGAGACTTAGTTCTCTCAATCTGAGAGGAAACCCTTTGTGTGAGGATGAGCAATACAAGTTTTACATTGCTGCATATTTACCAAACCTGGTCTACTTGGATTTCAGACGTCTGGATGACAATACGGTACGTGTTTAAAGTGATGTACTTGCAGAAAATATTTGTAAAAACTTTTTCCATTATTATCGTTCCTTTATTCATGCAATCCATTCATCATAATTTGTGGTCATCAATTTGCTTTCACCGAATTCACGCATCATCACAGATTTGCTCCCATTGCTTCCTCTAATCTATTTCATTCACCTCCACCATCACACTCAAATGTACCGTTGTTAATTCATTGCGAAGCGCCTTGGTTCAGTCGCTCGATAAATTCCTTGAAGATAAGATAATGTGTATGTCCATACATTACTAAAAAAAGAACATAGCACTTGCAGAAAATTAAACTATAAATGCAACTGTTAAATAAAGCGTGCAATTATCGAATGGGTGATTGCAATGAATCACTGCCTACGTAAAAATAAAATTGAAATGTGTATTTCTGTCAGATATTTGGTGAAGAGCAAAGCATTGCCAATTGTGTTATGTGCTTTTTGTAGAAGTGGCATTTAAACATTTACTAGTCTGCTTTAACACAAAACATTTTATTTGTCTCCTAGAAAGAGCAAGCATTTCAAAAGTATCACTATTTAATTGAGGAGCTCAAGCATAATGAGAACATTGCGTTGCAGAAGAAAGAAGAGCATTTGCAAAAGGAAAAAATGCTAGCATTGCACAAGGTATTTATGTCTATAACGATATGGGACTGATGAAACAGTAAAAAACCCATTGCATTGACGGTTTGCCCCGATGTTGGTGATGGAAACATTGGCAAGCTTTTACCAAACTCAGATAAAATGAACATGCACCACCACCGCATTGATGGAGCACTTTGGTGCCATCTATTTTTGGACGATACGATTGCCATTTCTCACAGTGTCACTGCCCTCCTTTCCAATCCCATAATAGAACTCTCGCTCAGATACACTTTAAGTCAGATCACATAAAACGTACCAATTTTAAATTAATTATCTATCTATATTCAGCCCCTAAAATACAGTGTTGTGTTAGCTATGCACATAAGTCTCACGAACACTGAACAGGTGTGTGCATGGAATCCAGATCTCCTCCAATTCAGGGCCTCTAGAATGCCCGCCATGATCTGCAGAGGATGGCACAGTTCAGAACCGCGAAATCTCTCCACTGGTCGGAACTGGGTCAGCCTTTTTCGATTTAAAGCTTTCGTGACTGCAGGGATTCATCTTCTGGGTTCTTTCGGTAAAGTCACGTAGAATGGGAATGAAATAATAAAATAATAATAACAGAATAAAATTCTCACGACGTTTCGGCCACAACACAAGTAGCCTTCCTCAGGTGAAGAAACAGGACTGTCCGGAAGACAGCGCTTGGGTGAACACTGCCAAGCATGGACAGCGTCTTTTAAGCTGTGTGGGAGGAACAGAGCGCCTTGACAAAGGAGTTAACATATAATATGTTAACTCCTTTGTTAACATGTTATATGTTATATGTTAACTCCTTTGTCAAGGCGCTATGTTCCTCCCACACAGCTTAAAAGACGCTGTCCATGCTTGGCAGTGTTCACTCAAGCGCTGTCTTCCGGACAGTCCTGTTTCTTCACCTGAGGAAGACTACTTGTGTTGTGGCCGAAACGTCGTGAGAATTTTATTCTGTTATTATTTTTATTATTTCATTCCCATTCTACGTGACTTTACCGAAAGAACCCAGAAGATGGGTCAGTCTTGTTGAGATCTCAGTAGTGCAGTGGGTCTCTTAGCCCAGCCCCAGGGGCAAGGGGAACAGAGGCAGTGACAATAGTAAGATCTATAACCAGTGGTCCTCACAGAACCACTCCTCCACCCCTGCCAAAATGAAAGCCAGCTCCGTCTAGGACAACTGGATGGCATTGAGAGGCTTCTATATCTGGAGGGCCTGAGAGAATATGTCCTTGAACAGGATAATTTGAAATTTTACACCTGAGTTATTCTTGACCCCAAAGTCCTTTAGGGGATTCTGAGTGAGATTGAAGTTCCACATGAGCACCAAAATGTTCAAGATAGAGACTCTGGGGTACAAAAGAGAGGCGGTCAGGCCCGGTGACTGGTTGGCATCGATAGACCTATCTCCACATTCCAAAAGTGCGAATTCCGAGAAAGATTTGATTTACTTCTCCATGGGAAACCAACACTTCCAGTTTAATAACTTTGACGAGAGCACGTGTAGGTGATAAATTATGAGAGAAAAAAATTGATGGAATTCAAATTAATTATTGGAACAATCCCAGTGTTAATGTTCTCGTGAGTTGATGAATCTCCTGGAATAGCAATGTTCAATGTCTCTTGCAGGCTGCATTTGTGGACACTCTGGATGACAAGGCTGTCTTTGACAACATGTTTTCTGAAGATACAGATGGTGCAATACTTCAATCATTGCCTGAAATGTCAGGTTTTGCTGATGAATATCCTTTTGATTGTATGGTACAATAATTATCCTGCATTTGTGTGTATATTATATATACTGTACACATTTTTTGTATCACAAACAGAAATGGGCACACACATAGTGGGTAAATAAAATGGACGTCATCTACGTTATATAATTGCACATACATTCAGAGGGACTTGAAATATACTTTTGGTTTTGGGTATCATATGTGGAGGATTATATCCAGGGGGTGCTTGGAATTCCTTTACAGGATCGTGTAAGCAACTTGGAAGTTTGGTATACAATGTGGCGAGAAAGCATCGCTGATCTCACCAGGAAGATGAGATCACAATGGGTGGGGGATGTCTGAACGATGGATGGGGGCAGGCCACTGACATAGGCCAGCTTTGGAGTGGCAGACGGAAGCATGCGATCAAAGGGAAGCTCGAAAGGCAGATGAAGGGACATGAGTAGGAATTGCAGTTTTTTTAGAAGGTAGTCCAATAGCTGTGGGACCTGCCATATGGAAGGCAGCATCGTCGAGGTGTTGTTGGTTGTAATGACCTTTTGACCTCTGCTTCAGAGAGCGTTACAATGAAAACAGTAGGGTAAGTTGTACTCACAAATTCACAACTTAGAGAAACATTGCCAATCTTCAATCATGATTTGAAGCTTTCGTGACTGCAGGAATCCATACTCTTTGGTTCTTTCGGTAAAGTCACGAAAGAACCAAAGAGTATTGCCATTCTTCACTTAGCAGGATGAAGCACAGATCAACTGAACCCTTCGGATGACAGCAGCAACGGATAATAGGGTAATGGTGTAACCCCGTAATGTTACAACCGTTAACGTGTTAAAGGAGAAAAACAAAAGCGTTGCTTTGCACTTGTCATTTTCCTTGATCACAGTTACTTATCGACAGAAGTTTGTTGACATTTGCCGGAAGATTTTTGAATATGGACTGCAGCAGTACAAGAAGAGGGAGGAAGAAGTCGATGATTTCACCAGGTCTGTAAACGAAGTGAAGAGCGACAACCGGCAGGCGGCTTCGGCCATCATCAGCGACTTTGAAAAAGAAAACGCACAGGTAATTGACAACCGACATTAAAAGCTATGCTTGTTAAAGGCTTACGGAAATGACTTCTAATTTGCCCTTGAGTGATGTTGAGGTTGCATTTAAATGTATTGTGGGGAAAAGGTTCAGTTTCGTGATGAATATATAACATGAGCCTATTTAAAATGCGATACGTTTATAATAATATAATTTATTTGATATATAGCACTTGCCGCTATACACATGTGTGGACGAGGAAGGAGTTTCGGATTTAGATATGTTCGGATAATTTACAATACAGGGGAGATATATGAAATTTACATTTACAGGGGAGAGATTGGAAAGCAACTGGGAGAGATTGGGGGGGGGACAAAGAGTGGATGCATTTGTGTAAAATGGAAGTACAATACGAATAGCGAAAGGGATGAGCAGTGGTTTCAACATGGAAAAGATATAATGTGGGCAGAAGTAGCCAAATGACTAAATTAAGCCGGACATGGATACACAGATGGGGTGTGGGGGGAAGTCTAGGGCATAATGGGAAAGCTTGAGGCAGCTATGGGAAGGAAGGCATGGAGGAGGTGGAGATGAACATTGTGGCTCTTGGTGCCAATTAAAAACATATATATTGCTATATTAAAGTGCGGTGAACGTGTTTGTGTTTTAAAGCTTCTCGAAGAAGTACAGCAGATCACCGATGCTGCTCTTCTGGATGCTAAGATTTTGGAGCACAGCCAGAAAATAAATAATATGTGGGATGCGTTGATGAAACTAGAGATCCAACTGCTCGACCAGCTGGAGGTGAGCGATGTGAAAAGATGCCTCCAGTGTCATATAATTATTGACACGTTCTGGCCTCAAACACCAAGTGAGTCAGAACCGAAACACTTCAAAGCCAAATTCTCAGAAATAAAATTGCTTGCGCTTTAACATGGAAAATACTGCACTAATCTGCCCTTTCAGAAAGCATTACTCTAAATCGTGAAAAGGGAGAGTGGTGCCCATTCCCATGAATCTCGAGGCGTGTGCCAATGTTAAATGTGTACCGCTTCAGCGATATAGCGGGGTAGAGCAGCGGTGCAGTGATTCATGCACTGCACTGTAAACTTGGTGACCCGAGTTTGAAGTCTGGCCACAGCTAACAACGAGTCGCAAGGCCTTTTATGTACGTTGAACTTCTTTCGCACCGTACGTAGCTAACCGTGCTCATCGGACAATGAAGAATGGTCAAGAAGTGGATTTACAAAGGGCTGTAAATTATCATATAAATTGGGGTTCGGCAAGCCGTGTTACACACTGCAATTGTATGTATACTGCTGCTGTAACCTCCCAATATAATTTATCTTTCGCAACACCCTGTTGATCTGTTCACACAAATGTGAGTTTGGCCTCCGTGGAGGCTTGTGGATGTCGGTGACATTTCCCACGTATTGACAGTGTGGGCACCATTGGATCACGCGATCCGTGGTCTGGCTTTGGTGACTACAGGAGTCACATTTATGACCGTTCTGAATTTCCCATCAAAGGCGGTTACCGTACGTGCCGTGCCCTGTTCCGCGGTGGTTCAGAGCTGTGACCGCTTGTGTCCTTGGATTGCTTTGACTCTGCTTTCACCAACAGGATGTGGTGAAGGACTTTGAAAGGAACCTCACTGACATGGTTGCCGCGTTTATTGAAAACGTGCAAGGATTATATCCTTTGGCATTGTTTGCATTGCTCCTAAATTACACGACTTATTTATGATATTACTTGGTAAACCTGCGAAACATGTTAATTTCATAGAAACATGACTGACATGACTTTGGAGGAGCCTTCGTCCGATAGTGGAATAATGAAGGCTTGTAAAATATTTATTTAGTCAATAAGAGATGCATCATGGTAACAGGGTAAAACATCTGCGACCAACCGAACGATTAATTGGTTTGGTTCTGCTGTAGGATCACATCCCTGGGGCGTTATGTACCGTGCCACGTGTGTGCCGTCGCATGTGGTGACAACAAATGTACTCTTGGAAAAAAAATCTTATAATAACGTATACATTATCCAGAAAAGCCTCACTGAGTTCTAAGACTTTTTTTCAGGAGGGTCCTGATTCGGAGATTTGTCCACATTCTTGTTAATCGGTGTTTTAAAGTGGGGGTTAACCAGGGTCAAAAACCCACTTGCTGTACTGTTATAGTCTGGACACCTCACAGCCCAACAGCTTTTGGAGCCTGCCAAAGCTGTGTGGTCCATCAATACTTGCCTTCAAAGCACTGGATTACAGTACAGGAGTGTGGAACAGTGCCTAATGTGTATTTACCACTCTTTGTGAATTTATGCTTCTTGAAAATATTGATAATACTGTAGCTATGGGCATAGGGACGTCAACACTTCGACCCAATGGAACATTCCCGGAACAAAAACGGGAGTTAAAAACAACTGCAATAAATTCCTCCACTCCGTGAAGTTACAGAGCAGAGATAGCCAGCTGGATCAGTGGTGCCTGATAGGTGGTTGAGACAAGTCGTATTACTTTGCATGAACAATCTTCAACATGTTTAAGTTTTTAGTTTGTTTAACCAGATGAAAACTCAAGAGGCCAGGATGAGTATCGTTTGCAACAGTGACCTGGGACATTAGTCTTCTTAGATGGGGCAATGGTTGTTGTGTATACTCTCAATTGAATAATTTGTGGGTGATTTTAGAATATGTAGTATTTGCTAAATGTGCTCTAAACGTATGTATGTGGAACTCCTTTCGCACTGTACGTAGTCAACCGTACTAATCAGAGGTGCGGGGGAAGGACGACAATCTAAACACAAAAATAGTGATTATGAACGTTTTAAACTGGTGTTTTCAAATGTTTTATTTGCTCTGCCCACGTTTCCTGAGCTTCTTCCTACGTTGTCCCAGTGCCGTGAACTGGAGAACAACTACCATGAGAAACTTTTAGAGGTGTTGATGTCTACATTTGACAAGATTGTCAAAAATGAACTAAAAGAAGAATTATCTGAAGATCTGAGACTGGTTTGTTGTTTTTTTTTTCATGTTCACCTCCAGCTATTTGCTGCTTATATCAAACCAACATTTCTGATAATTCTTCGTATGATGATACATGGACATTAAATTGCACTCTAAAGTGGTATAAACATCGTCGAATATTTTTCGTACTATACTTATATATCAACTTAAAACTTTATTATAATTTTAAAAATATATGAAACTGTCACTTTCCTAAATGGTGTTTATGTAATTATAGGAAGATTTATTCTATTATGTATGGCAATATGTTCAGGAGCTGAATACCAATGTCGAGGTCTGCTGGCCATAATGAGAGGGCTCCAGGAGAAAAAATTCGTGTAGTTTTGCTGCTCCTCCTCCGTTGAAAGAGCGCAGACTCACAGTGGTTTACTGAGTGGGCCATAGTCTGGGTTGCATGGCCACAATCGCACCACTGTGGCCTCTGTAAAGTTCCATTCATAAAGGAGATGTGCGTATCCACCTGTGGGTGTCAAAAGATGAATAATAATAACACTACATCGATAATTACACAAAGGAATGTTTGAATATACATTTTCTGTACAATGGATCTTGGATGAAAGAACAGAGTATAACCCTCTCCATTAAAATAGAAGCCATTGCCCACAACATTAGCCTATCGTTATCTATCATCGCCAGCCTTAATCTGCACACTTCAGGTTGAGAGCTGTTACGCGTGCCACCCAGAGCGGTGGAGAGTTTTGCTGTGATGTGTTTGTACCCCAGTGCCAACAACAACAACCCCTTCAATGTGTTGAAGGGATTTTGTAAGTTGGTCAGATGTACATGAAGCACGTATGCAGTACGGAGCGTCGCTGCAGTGGTTTATAGTGTCCGATCAAAACACCGGGTCAGTTTCGTTGTTCTGCAGGTACATTAACGATGAACTCTATTCGGTGGGGGTTTCTTTAGATATTCACAGACAAGGACTCACTCGTCAATGCGGCTAGTGCTTCACACGATATTCACCTACTGAAGATTGACAACAAGGAAGATGACATCATTTCTCGAGCAAACACCTGGATGGCCACCTTTGTCCAAAGGGTGAGAGCATTTTTTGGACATATTTGCGAACACCTTAAGGGGCCGTCCGTAAATGACGTCCGCACCTAGGGGGGGGGGGGGGGGGGGGTCAGACATTTGTGACGATGTGTGACGAGGCGGGGGGGTGGTTTGAAAAATGTGACGTCACATCAAAAGGCGCAACTTTAAATGAATATACACAACACGTTCTACTGAATTAAATAGACTTTTTAATACATTTTTCTCCTACATCAGCGTGCAGCGCCACGTTAAATGCGCACTACAATGACAATAGTTTAAAGCGATTTGAAGCATGTTTATATATCTTTTGGGGGGGGGGGGAGCAGAGCTTTGTGACGTCATATTTGAGGGGGGGTCTGACTTTTTGTGACGTCGTGTGACGAAGTGGGGGGGTCAAAAATCGTCCAAAATCGCGTGACGTCATTTATGGACGACCCCTAACCTGTCAGGGCAGCACACACTTCACCTGGCACTCGACACTCGCCTGGCTCTCGCACTCGCCAATCAGCAGGAGTTGGAGGATCTGGGCGAGTTGTCCAGTGAGAGAGTTTCGGTGTGCCACATCACCGTGGCCTTATGCTAAATACTGCAGATAGGCAGTGGTTAAATGTTGACTTAAAGCTTTCGTGACTGCAGGCATTCATTTTATTTGGGTCTTTCGGTAAAGTCACGTAGATAGAAAAAATAATAACAATAAAATAAAAAATAAAGTGAATAAAAAATAAATAAAAATATCACGACTTTCAAGCAATCGTCATCAGGAGAAAAAAATTACGATTGCATGTGTTGCGATCGAAACGTCGTGATTTTATTATTTTTTAGTCACTTTATTTTCATTTTTATTTATTTGTATTATTTTATATTTCTGTCTACGTGACGTTACCGAAAGACCCAAAGAATGTAGGCAGTGGTCATTTATATAAATTGCGTGATTTGTACGGCAGGTGGCGCTACACCCACTGCAAATAATATTTAGTAATTTTTTTCCCTAGCTTGCGCTTGGGTCAAATGCGGTAAACCACAGGCTCCCTCCCGGGTTTCCTCACTTTCAGGATCCTATATGATGAAAATTACCCAAGTAAATGCGGTTCGACACCCAACCACCTGAGTTGAATTCCCAGCCACGGTGAATGTCGGTGGCAAGTGATTTCTGAACCAGTCCTGGGTCGTCCACACCTCCCCTCCCCTCCATTCACCATCATTGACAAGAGTGGTGAAGTATGGCTGATATGGAGCGGTGAGGCCATATTCTAGCAGTCTGAGTAGCAAAGGCTGTTCATTACTATTTAAGTGTCCAAAACAATTCCGTGCTGCCTGAGCAATTGTTGGGAATACACAGAAGAGGTTTATTTGCCAACATGAAATACAGTTGAATTTGTCCACCATTTGGCATTCCAGATGAGTGCATTCCAGTAGCATTTGTTGCGAACAAGGAAAACCCAGAACGGGATTCTACTTCAGTGTGCATCAACGGCAGAACGTTCTCCATAGTGGCACGGTGGCGAGATGTTAACTACCTCGCCTGATATACAGGAGGTTGTGGCTCCGACCCCTGCTATATATTTGGAGTTTGCATGTTCTCACCGTGGTCGCGTGGACTTTTCTCCGGGCCCTCCGATTGAGAGTATTTGGCTGCGATAGACTTCCACACGATAAGCCACTTTGTTGCGTTATCATTTGTGGCTAGGTCGCTTCGGAAAAAGAGCTATTATATAGCTCAGTGAGCCTTAGCTGGTAAAATACAACAAAAAATGTGTTTAGTGTCCAGTTCCACAAATGCATTTGGGTAGCCACCCACTTTATGTGAACGTGTTTGTTGTTTTGTGCGTGCGCGGCTTTGTACATTATGCACACGTACATGGTATTAACCAAATCGTTCACTTGAAGGTTCAAGACGAAGAGGTGAAACGTAATCGCGCCAGGGTCACCGAGATCAATCACTACGTCGACTATCTGCACGAGGAGCTACAGAACCAGGACATCCAGGACTCTCTGTAAACACCTCTTAGAATCTCCCAAGATTCTGGAAGTGTGCATGTAATGACATTAATGATAAATAACAAGAACGTATTTGCCCAGGGAAACCGCACAAAGTCTGAAGAGACCGTTTCAAGAGGGTGTATGGCTCCATTGGGATGTTTGGCCAACGCCAATGACATTGTGCGTTGGGTAACACGAAACTTCTGCAATTGTAGCCTCTTCAACATGGCCATTAAAGTTTTGTAACGATTTTAGTGTGTCTATGAAGGTAATTTCCATTATTATTACGAGATTATTGATAGCAAACTCGCTATTATAAAGTCAAGTATGCATAAAGGGCGTTTACGTATTATTTATGAAAACGTGTTTCATTTCACTTCAGCTTTTTCATTGAAAATTGTAAACATTCGACTTACGATTCCCATCTGCCTCTCAGGACTCTTAGCGGCCGTCATTCGTAACCGACGTTGATGGCTCATGAAGCAAAACTTTGTCAAAACACACAAGACGTACTTTGTGGGGCAGAAAAATCCATCCTCAAAATGGTGGCTATTTTGGTCTGCTCATTACGAGGTGGGGAGGACGAGTTAACTTGTACTTATATAAGAGCTACAAAGATAATATTTGGTATCAAACATTAGGCTTCTACGGTAAAACATCTCAAAGGCCGAATTCGGAGTTAGCCGGAGAGGATACCGAAGATACATTCGAAAAATAAACCAAAAAAACCTGACCAATGTCAACACATTAGTCAAGCTGCACGGCGTTTGGATATGGGGCACGTCTCTGCAATGTTCAGTGTGTGTAATATTGTGATACATTCATTTTGAAATGCTACTAGAGGCTTTTGAAAGTTATGAAAGAGCTGAAGTGCAAAATATAGCACGTTTTTTCCCAAACTATATTGTAATGTAAACTTCATTTCCGTTGTAACATTTACATGCGCTTGAATACACCATTTCAATGAATGTATCACCCAAAAAAATACAATTCTACCGACTAAGGTGATACTATTCATAATAAAGGTTTTTGGGTTAGATCGCGTTTATTTATAAATGTGTCGTAACCCTCCACCACCCAACACGGCCAATCAGCAAAAAAAAAGTGTCACGTTGACAAAAGACAAATAATTCACTACTTCAGCCCACCGGTGTGTTGAAGAGTTAATCCACATTTACAGTTTGAGTACGACGTTTCGCTGGTAAATACTTCCAGCATCATCGGGCAATTCGCCAGAATGGTAAAGCCCTCGCTTGCTCCCGGTTTTATATAGAGCAGCAGGGTGACGTCATCACTTAACTCATCAGGTGCAGTGATTAGAGGCGGAGGGGGGGGTAATGTAATTATATAATCGATTAGTAATCAGTCATTGGTTATGATTAGTAATGAGTTGTAGATTAGTAATTCTTTAAATCAAAATGTAATGTGTATTATTTAATAATACGCTTCCAGGCCGCACTAAGCCGGTAGCTGTCAGAGCGATTAAAGTTATTCTTGTTCCTCTCAATTTCAATGGATTCTCTAATTAGTCTTTGCCAGTAATAATTAGTTTTACACACCACTGCAACATTGTCAAAATCAATTGAGTGTCCTTGTTGACAAGCATGTTCTGCCACTGCCGACAGTTGTGTTTGAGAAAGCCTACGTGTTAAACTAAGGTGATACTACACTATGAAAAATCAGGCTTAGGCAGTAATCTTGACCCATACTTTTACTGCATCAAATATAAAGCATATTACAATGTATAAAATGAAGTAAAAAATCATACGATTTTAAACAAATTGATTACATTGTACCCAAGGTTGCAGATATCGGTTTAGACCACAACCCAGTTATTGTAGAAGAGTGAAGCGAGGGAGTGACCTCGAGGATTGAGAACTTTTATGTAATTTTACTACGAACTTTCTTAAAAAGTAATTTATCCCAAACCAACTTTCATTCTAGGAAAATTTAGTTTAATTTCTGTGTGTGCACTATTTTCAATTTTCTCAAGTTGTTTTTGCTCCGATTTCTATTTGGTAAATTTTGCTCCGATTTACATTCGCTGAATTTTGTTGTACTTTGTTTTGTGATTTAGTCACCCAGGTCTCTTGCAAGTGAGACTTCCCCTGTGTCTCTGAGTTGTCATCTGCTTGAACAAAATAAACTTGAATAATCGTGACTAGCGTTGACTCGGTAAAGCTATACACCCTGTGATGGCATTAGTTGAGGCAGCAGCAGCAGAACTCCTCAATTCTAACGAGGCATGAGTGTATTAGTGCGCAAACCAACGAAGCAAGAGATGGGGGTTAGAGAAGTGAATCAAAAGATGCTTGGGTGAGGACGACAGGTAAGTGCGAGGAGAGTGTGCAAGCACAAGCAGGAATGATAAATAGGTTTTACACCAGATAACTTTTGCAAGGCATCAAGTCTGCATTAACCACATGTACTTGTGGCAAAACATGCAGAAATCGGAGCAAAGGTGCAGCAGGGTAGGACGTTATTGGCAGAAGCCAGCAGAGATGTAAAATGCTAAGTCTTCTCAAATGAAACATATCACTTTGTTTCTCATCCGCTAAATACAAATACATCGAAGAGAAAAGATATGAAGTGTGAAAACATCTTTATTCTGCTCGTTAGGATACATTTTTTTGATCGATACCATTGTCGACAATGTTTTTTTTTTACAAAAACACCCCAGCACTTATTTATTATTGGTATGATTGTTTATCTGGGAAAACCTCTCCGAGTCTCACGATTCTTTTTGGAAGGGTCCTGGCTCCCAAAACGTAGTAATTTTGCAGGTCATTTTTGATATTTGGCAACAATGGACTATGACGCCTGCACATTGGGGCCTACGCTTGCGATTGACTTCACGGGATTTTGAATGTCCATTGTGAAGCACACGGCACGTATTCTTACAGTACCAATTTAACCGCACCTCCAATTAGCACAGTTGACTACGTGTGGTGTGAAGGAAGTTTAACGTACATAATACCGCAGTAATAACCAGTGATTTTGAAATCCAGTAACAAGTTTTTTTTGTTTAAGATACAGTTGCGTTATCTATCAGTGATCGAGCGCTTTTTTAAGCGAATCCATATTGTAACGATCACTCAATTGTCTGCCAGCATGTTGCAGAACAAAGTCTTTGCAGCGGCTGCTCCGGAGACTCGTTTCTGTCAACAGACTCTGGAAGGACTGCAGGAGATCCGGGGCCACTTGTTTCGTCTCGGCATTGGCCAGAAGCTGTAGAATCTCGAGCAGCCATCCAGAATCAAGCAGCACAAGCGGCAGCCATTCTAAACGTGCCAAGCAAGCACCGAGCCCTTGCATGCCCAGAAACCACAACTCTGAAATATCCTCCCAGCACTCTTTGTAACCACTCCTCATGACTACCACACTCTGCTCTCCATCCACAGTGCTCTTCTGTAGCAGGTACGGTTTGGAAATAAATTCAATGACCGCTGTGAAGAACTGTTGCGACGTCGCTTTGGAAAGAGCTGCAACGACAACAACAAATACAGGATGACAACATTTTAACAGACGTTACACCTATGCAGTCTCTCAACAGTAAAACGGTGTTTGTAAATGTAAAGCCTTCTGTCAATCCACTGCCGTATGAGGGACTCTCACCAATGCTGAGGGGGTTATTTGACCATACTTCACCACACTGGTCAGTGCAGGTTTAAGGTGGGGAATGTATAGATGCGCTTGCTTGCCCATCGCCACGTAAATAACCTCTTGTTGTAACGGCTCTCTCGCTGCTTCAGCAGTTCCACTGATGGATATTTTTTTCCGCCTGAGGACGACCGCTTGTGTTGCGATCGAAACGTCGTTACATATTATTTGTTTTATTTTTAAACCTACGTGACTTTACCGAAAGAACCAAAGAGTATGAGTATAGGAGTATCAAACATTTTCTTTTTAGCAAACACGTAGCTCCCATAAGCCTATAACACCTGTTATGCACGGTGGTTACCCAACGAGACGCTATGCAGCCTAAACTCAGGTGAGCTGAGATCACGTGCCTTCCGGGGTGATTTGGTTTTAGAGGCCAGAAGTGTTCATAAAGGTTTAAAGTAGAGCCGTGCAATTGCTTACTCAGACCGCTGCTGGCAGAAGGCTCGCCTCTTAGAGTGAGCTCGCGGGAGCTCTCATTTAGTAAGCTGCCGGGTGGACAGGCTGGGGTTGGTTTAAGAACTTTGTTTCAACTGCCGCTCCATAAGATCAGACTGGCGACCTCTGGTTTGCAAGTCCAGTTGTCCGCTATTTTCTAACAGTGAAGATGTTAAACACACCGCACCAGGTACTCATTCAGGACTGGTTCAGATATCACTTGCCACTGATGTTAGCCGTGGTCGGGAATCGAACTACGGTTGTTGGGTTTGCAGCACAGTTCACCAAGCACTACGCCACCACTACCGCATGTACGCACGAATGCTGCACATAAACACATCCCCAACATAACTGTAAATAACACCCTTTCAAGAAAACTATGCTACATTTGTTTAATGACGAACGCATGATAACAATGCACGATTTGTTAATTGCAAACACTGTATATAAGTTGGACATTTATGCTTAATTGGGTAAAAATGGCATTTGGTATCGAGGGCATTCCATTTGCATTGTCAAGAGTGTATACCAATTGTCAAAACCTTACCGGGGATGTCTAACACTCTGATCAGCATCAGGCTCAGTGCACACACATTTCCAGCAAGGATCAATAGGCAATCTCTGCCAATCACCAATGGCAAAGCATCCATCAACAGGGTCAGCAATGATGCAAAGTTTTCATCAGTCCTGAGCAAATAAAAAAAACACAAATGTCACAGTCTTACCATGTGTGAGATACATTTACACAGATTTAAGGCTGGTGACATATGCACAATTGTATATACAATGTATAAAACTTAGAGTTAAATTGGTAACCAAGCCTAGATAAAGTCTTTACCCTCGAGAAACTAATTCAATCACAAGCACTTGTGCAGCCCTTGTCAATCCACTGCTGGATGAGGGCCTCCCCATGCTATGCGGTTTATGGAAGTTATTTGCCCGCACTTCACGCTGCTCAGTGCAGAATTATGAAGGCGGGGCACGTAGAGCACAGCAGTACAGTACAACATTTGCATTTTGCTGCACAGACCTTCTTGGCCCACAGCATAACACCTGTAATGCACGTTGGTTGCTCACCCAAGAACTATTCAGGCGCGTCCCCGCTTAGCGTCTGAGATCAGGCAAAATCGGGCGTATTCAAAGTTGATTTGGTCATAGGCTTAGAGCAAGTAAGATCCCAGGATTTCAATTCAGTCTGTCCGGCTGCACTTCCTGCAGTCACATGAGTTAACCGACTAAGTCGATTACTGAATTACTCATTAACAGCTGTTGATAACTAAGACACAACCGGGCAGGTGGCGCTGTGGTTGAGAGCGAGAATCGCAATCAGCGAGGTTTATAAAAGTTGGTCGACTGAAACCCTTCAGCCTTCAGGGAGTTGGTCAAATGAGGACGAGTTTTGAGAAGTCGACCGTGGTTGACCTAATGAAAGTGGCTGGCCCCACCACAGGGATGGGGAATTTCCACCAATGGAGGAAAACACGACCCAACACCAATTTTTTCGGTGAGGTGACACCCAACTTTGTAAATTAGGCAGCAAAGCCCAACGACAAAATTAGGAGGAAATTTTATTTTTGGAGCTTACTTCACAAACTGGGGTTCGGTTACGACGAGGTTTAAAAAGATGCTGCACTGATAGCGAAGGGTCATTTCAACGTCCGGATACGTCTGCAATTCTTCATCTGACATGAGACGTTTGAAAAGCTCCCACTGTCTCTGGAATGAGAGTCTCAGGAGGACGTGGAGGTTCTGTTCCAAGAGCAGCTTCCGTGCATCGTCTTCTGCCGTTAGGTGACACAATCCTGGAAGCAGAAACCTGGAATTGACAAACGTAACGCAAGTTAAGAAGAAGGTACCATCTTCCAGGGTATTTGCCCGGATGTGGGCATAGGTTTAAGTAGGGCTACAGACCATAAAGGGTGTCAAATTCATGCTGTACCACCAATATCATCTTGTTTGCTGGTGGTGACACGAGTTAATCTCAATACTGAGTGAAACCCCCTGCTTTCCAGAAGGTCCTGCATTGGGTTTTCGTTTGAAACGTTTGCAGCCAACTTACACACGTGGGAGGAAACTGGAGCACCGAGAGGAAACCTATGCGCGCAAGGGGGCAACACTCAATCCCAGTGAAGATGGATATTAGTCCAATTGCTGTACTGCCTTTTCTTGGCAAGCCAGGTTATGCCAGCTCGACACCCACGGGTAGGCAGCTTCAAAACAACACGTGTGTGAACCACTAAACCTCGCCTCCACACAGATGGATTACAGGCATGCATAGCCGCCACTGCACAGCGATTATTATCATTGTGATTAGGGCAAATACACGGTATACACGTTTCATAAAACAAATATTGTCTCACCTAAGTGGATCAACGGTCCGATCACCGACAAACTGACGGGGGTTTTGCTCGACTGTCTTGGCCGCTGGCTCCGCTTCATTGTCTTGCATTTTCCAGCAGTACTGCATTAAGGACGGAATGATTTCCATAATCTCCTTTTTGAGAGTCAGGTTCTCCTCCGCCATCCATGATCCAAGCACACGAACTGAAGCAAACACAAAGCTGTCTCCAATCCACTCTTCCAGAACCTAGAGCCGCACAGCAAAGTTTCGTGAGCGAGATAAATGTATCATGCAAGGTGTTAAAAAAACTAACACACGCACATATATGCCTTATTCGACATGTCGCTAGTCCATTAAGAATGTTTACATAGTAAGAGAAACCTTGATAAACAAAATTACAAAAAGTATGGTTGTTTTCAGAACAATTTGCAATTAACTATGGAAATGGCCTAGGATACAAAGAAAAGATCTATGTTGAACTTCTTTCGCACCAAACGTAGCCGACCTAGGTAATCGGTGTGGTGGGGGAAGGACCAAGATGGACTCTCTTGTGATGATATCACGCGTGATTAATGTCTGCCGTGCAGCATACGGTAATTCCCAGCACAGATGATCAAGTGGCTCTGCCAAACTGTCCGCTCCGCAAACTGGCTCACGGGCAAGCGTTTGCTCACCACCAGGTTAACGATCTGCCAAAAGCAACTGAAGATGATATTTTCTGAGTTTAATAAGCGCCCATCATTGTAAATATTCGTTTTGGTACAAAACGTTTTAGTACAAAACGTTTTAGTACAAAACGTTTTAGTACAAAACGGCCGTGTGGGATGGGCTTCTCCTCGATGCTCGATTTGTGACTGCAGTTATAATTTGTTACGAAATTGTTCCAAGCCACACAAATGTCTTTCAAATCCTACACGGTGAGGATCTTTTGGACTACAGTATATGATACTATGAGTAAAAAAATATATACAACCCCAACTTCACTATGCAACACAATAATGGCACCAAAGCCTGTGCTCAACATCTGAAGTGTCGATCCGCACTGCCTTAAACATTAAAATGTTCTATAAATTCACACGGTAGCAACTACCCGTGATACATATATATTCCTGCATGAAAGCATCTTCAAACCCAGCCACTCTGTCCCTCAGGACACAGTTCACTGAGCCCTCATCTCATGCGAATCGCATACATATGTATATACCTGCTGCTTTAGGTAATAAATCACTGCGGAAAAGGCCTCTTCCATCTTCGTGACGATCTGGTTGCACCACACTCTGCTGAACTGGTGTTCCGCTGTGGTGAGCAGCTCAACGGCATTTTCCAGAATGCTGTAACAAGCAATCAAAATCGCGTGCTTGTTAGCTACCGTCGCGGAATCGGTGTCCTCAAGGCACATACGGACTTCGATGCACGCGAGATTGACGATCAGCGCGAAGAACGTATCCTTTGCGGATTTGTTTCCGGGCAGAATCCAATCCAAGCTGTAGAGATTTATCATAGCAGAGGCCAGTTTCAGGGCAGGGTCTCTCTGAGCACCAGAAATCTTGCTGTTGAGGATGCCGAATAGTTCCGCGTGTATAGTCCGGAAACATTCGGAGCACTGCGTGCACTTCTGAAAGATTTCCAAGGGTGGCAGAAAATTGGGAAGGAGCTCGCAAACGTCAAATTTATTGCCATCGTTAGAATTTGCAAACTGCACACAAAAGTGCTTCAAGACTTTGGAGAGGTTTTCTTCGGCCTTCGCCCAGCATTCTGAAGATCGTGCATTTAGCAAGTGAATAAGGAGCTGAAGGCCCTTTTCCCAAGAATGAGACTTCCTCACCAAAACATTGCACAATGCAGACAGTACTTCTTCGGTGAGCAAGTGGTTAAAGCCCCCTGGTGCTGCAATTATTCCTTGATAGCACTGATAACAATCGTCGACCACCGACCTGTACAGGTTAAGGTCTTCAGATTCTTCATGTGGCTGATCCAGTGCCAGAATCTCGCCTAAAATATGAACTTTGTTGAGAACTTGTGAATTCAACACGAGCTCAGAATCGGTGCAAAAACATGCCAATATAGCAATTCCCAGCGATCGATATTCATTTACAGTGGACACATTAGACGCCGCAGATGGTAACAGAAGTCTGTTTATAAATGTGAATCCGATGGCGTCAAAAATTCTCCGTCGCTTTTTTGCGTTGGTGTTTTCCACGGCAAGCATCTTTGTCACCTGTCAAACCAAACGGACACATATACAGCAATGTCTAAATCAAGTTTAATATATATTTTTCTCATATAGTACAAGCATATTGTACTGCATCGATTTAAAAAAAAAACACATTTAAAGCTAAGTCAAAAGTCTATATTTAAGTCAGTACTTTCAATGCATAATTGCAGCACCAGGGGCGTCTAACCGCTTGCTGACCCAAGAAGTGCAGTCTGCGTTATGCAATGTATTGGTGAGGAAGTCTCAATCTTTGGAAAAGGGGCTTCTTCAACTCCTTATTCAGTGGTCTCGAGGCAGTGGTAACAATTCCACAATCTGAAGCCAGGGGCTCATCTATACACCCACTATTTTAATGGCAAAAGCCACAAAACAATAGCTCTTATCTCGTCTGTGAGTACCGCGACTGGATTTTCCAGGCTGTCTTGGACACACATTTGGAGCCTGCGTGCAATCGATCAGAGATCAGGCTCATTTTGGGTTGTCTTTCTCTATGGTGTACTATAATACACTACCGTAATCTCTGGATTATAAGACGCACCCCAAACCTGTGCACGGTGACAATAAAGGTATAGAGATCTGGTCACACAACAATTACGCTGGACCCCAAACTTATACTTTCATATTGGGGGAAATAATTGCGTCTTGTAATCAAGATAATAGCTCGGGATTTCCCTCATTAAAGTTGTATGTTGTTGTAACTTTCTGACCCGCCCCTACTGGACATCTGTGAAAAAGAGCTTCATAGCTCATCGGATTTCTCCCGAGATAAATACAGATTCTGATCAAAGTAAAGTCATCGTTGACGATGCTAGAAGCGTGCCGCCGTTATTTGCCCGCGTTGTGCCAACGTTCACATACTTGAGTTCAACTGGATAGCAGAGATAGTTGTCATAGAGATAGGTGTCAGAGAGATAGCTGTCGAGAGATAGCTGTCAAGAGATAGCTGTTAAGAGATAGCTGCCAGAGATAGTTGTCAAAGAGATAGTTGTCACAGAGATAGTTGCCACGGAGATAGTTTCCAAAAAGATAGTTGTCACGGAGATAGTTGTCACAGAGATAGCTGTCAAGAGATAGCTGCCAGAGATAGTTGTCACAGAGATAGTTGCCACGGAGATAGTTGTCACGGAGATAGTTGTCACGGAGATAGTTGTCACGGAGAGAGTTTCCATGGAGATAGTTGTCACGGAGATGGTTGTCACGGAGATAGTTGTCACGGAGAGAGTTGTCACGGAGAGAGTTTCCACGGAGATAGTTGTCACGGAGATAGTTGTCACGGAGATAGTTGTCACGGAGATAGTTGTCACGGAGATAGTTGTCACGGAGATAGTTGTCACGGAGATAACTGTCACGGAGAGAGTTTCCACGGAGATAGTTGTCACGGAGATAGTTGTCACGAAGATAGTTGTCACGGAGATAGCTGTCACGGAGAGAGTTTCCACGGAGATAGTTGTCACGGAGATAGTTGTCACGGAGATAGTTGTCACGGAGATAGTTGTCACGGAGATAGTTGTCACGGAGATAGTGTCACTCACCAGGAGCAACGCTGCAAACTGTTCGCTGTCATTCCTCGCTTCCCTCAGAGCATTCAGACATCGCTGCATTGATGAACTAAGATCGTCGTTATCCTCACAAGGTTTACTCTCATGGCCACCGTCATCAACTCTCTCGTCGCCAGACAACCTACAAATGGTCACAAACAAGACATTTAGCTCAAAATTAACTGTGAGGAGAAACTGTTTTAAGCTGCAAACCACAATTAACGTTTTCTTATCAGCTCAAGCTGTCAAATGTACAACTCATACCTGTCAACCCATAACGGTTTACCCGTAGTCTTTCTTGTGCAGGGAAATTGAGTGTCCAGGTCTATACGGCGTACAGCCGTTTCAAGACGGGCAAAAATTGTTTTGTCTATTTGTTTGAGTTTCGCCCTTGTGATGGGACTTTGTAGGATGAACGTTGAGATTTATAGGGTAACGGGGTGACCAATAAGGTTTGAACTGGTCTGTAATAAGGCAGCCACTGATAAAGGGTTGACATGTAGGATAACTTATTCCAAATACTTAATTCTGACACAAATATTTGAAATTGTGTCAATACAAAAAAATACATTTTACTTGTAAATAATAAAAACTAAATTCAACGCGCTATAATGAAGAGCATGGAACACGACATACCTTGCGTCCCTTACTTTCAGCATTGTTGATTTTTTCTCAACAGTTTTCCAGTCAAATCAACGCAACTGAAAAATAAACATGGGGTTATGTTTTACTCCATGGTGGGGGGGGGGGGGGGTATTTAACCATACTTCACCAGGCTGATCAGTGTGGGCTGGTGAAGACGTTGGAACATAGTAAAGTACAACAGTTCCACTTTGCTGAAAACGTGGCCCCAGCAATAGCCTTCAGTACCCATCCGATCTCTATCCAAGCTCAACTCTGCTTAGCTTGTGCTTTGGCGAGTTAGGGTGTTAGGGTGCATTCCGGGAGATTTGGTCATGGGCGTCAAAGCAAGTGCTCGCGTAACGATGACTAATTACAACGATTCCCCCATTTAGCCTTCACAGACTCTTGGGGCGTTGTTCACGAGTTGTACATATCAAGGAAGGGACGGCATACGAAGGGGGTGTATAGCAAGGACCACGCCCGGCCGCCTTTGGCGATGTTTACACACTGTACCAGGTACTCATTTGAGGCAGAGTCGACCTATGGAGGGGAGGCAGAGGTGGATCAGATAATCGTCCCTGGTGTTGGCCGATACTTCCTCTACGGCAACCACGGCGATTGTGCCAGACTAGGTGCACCTTGATGCCACATTAAGCGTCGAAGATCACGGGACATACCCAGGTGCCATATGTTGACTGTCAGATGCACGACCACCTGTGCCCCCTACTGTGCCAACTTGCTGCGTTTTCGTCGCCCGGCGCGCTCCGCTCGTTGTTGTGAGCGTCACTCTCCTTTGCACTCATAACCTTGCTAGCTGGAGGGTGACTGCCTACATCTGCCCAGTAGTAGTAGCGTCCTTCACGAGCCTTTCTCCCCTCCTCATCCTGCACAGCAGAGACAAAACAGAGCGAAGAGAGGCGCCGCTCACCGGCTGTCGTGAGCTTCGCTCTCCTCTCCCCTCCTCCCTTGTTAGCTGGAGAGCGACTGCCTTACAACTGCCCAGGAGCAGCAGGGTCCTTCACGAGCCTCTCCTCCCTCCACAGCAGAGACAAAACGGAGCGAAGGGAGGCGCCGCTCACCGACTGCTCGCTCCCCCGCTCGCACGAGGAATTCCACGTGCGCGCGTCCACAGCACGCACGTGGCCCGGCTCATGACGCAGAGGTTCTACTTCCGGGGTCGACTCACGGGAGCTTCGAGGTTCTACATCCGGGTTGCAAATGTGTCCAACCGTGCGATATCAAATACAAGACTTTACATTTCAGTGGAAACCCCCTGCCCCCTCAACACACGTTCGTCAATAACACGGCGCGCTGCCGTAACATCATAAATATATAATCGGCGAAGTTTCGGGCAATAACCCTTCCTTCGAGGCACGTACATGTAGCAAAGAGAGTCGCGAGGCAATGCCGTGATTTTAAGGGATGTAATGTTTTTAAAAAATGTGTCGTCGACAAAAAAAGGGTTTGCACTCGTTACAATAAACAAATAAGAGCGTGAAGTTCTTAAAGTTTCACCCTCCTGGGCGCGCGCGGTCCCGGCACGCTTGCAGGGCCCTAGGTAAGATGGCCGCCAGGCTGCAGGCCTAGCGGGGGTCACGTGGAGCGATGCTCGTTCCAGGGCCCCTCTGCGATGCCGATTCAGAGTTCGGGGCCCCTCCTCTCTGCGATGCTGATTCAGAGTCCGGGCTCTCCCTCTCATGCTGATTCAGAGTTCGGGCCCCCTCTCTGCGATGCTGATTCAGAGTACGGGCCCCTCCCCCCCTCTGTCATGGTGATTCAGAGTCCGCCCCCTGTCATGCTAATTCAGAGTTTGGGGGCCCCTCTGTCATGCTGATTCAGAGTTCGGGCCCCCTCTCTGCGATGCTGATTCAGAGTCCGGGCCCCGCCCCTCTCTGTCATGCTGATTCAGAGTTCGGGGCCCCCTCTGTCATGCTGATTCAGAGTCCGGGGCACCCGGCGGCAGACGAGAAGCCGGCGGGATCCGGGCCCGCGTGAGTTGCAGAGGCCACCACCACAACCACTCTCACAACAACAACAACCACTCTCTCTCACCACCACCACTCTCTCTCACCACCACCACTCTCTCTCACCACCACTCTCTCTCACCACCACCACTCTCTCTCACCACCACCACTCTCTCACCACCACCACTCTCTCTCACCACCACTCTCTCTCACCACCACCACTCTCTCTCACCACCACCACTCTCTCTCACCACCACCACTCTCTCACCACCACCACTCTCTCTCACCACCACCACTCTCTCTCACCACCACCACTCTCTCACCACCACCACTCTCTCTCACCACCACTCTCTCTCACAACAACAACCACTCTCTCTCACCACCACTCTCTCTCACCACCACCACTCTCACCACCACTCTCTCTCACCACCACCACTCTCTCTCACCACCACCCACTCTCACCACAACCACTCTCACCACAACCACTCTCTCTCACCACCAACCACTCTCACAACAACAACCACTCTCTCTCACCACCACCACTCTCTCACCACCACCACTCTCTCTCACCACCACCACTCTCTCTCACCACCACCACTCTCTCACCACCACCACTCTCTCTCACCACCACTCTCTCTCACAACAACAACCACTCTCTCTCACCACCACCACTCTCTCTCACCACCACCACTCTCTCTCACCACCACCCACTCTCACCACAACCACCACAACCACTCTCACCACAACCACTCTCTTTCACCACCACCCACTCTCACCACAACAACCACTCCCTCCCACAACCACTCTCACCACCACAACCACTCTCTCACCACAACCACCACCACAACCACTCTCACCACAACAATCACTCTCTCTCTCACCACAACCACTCTCTCTGTCTCTCTCTTCTAATGTCTGTCCCTTCCCTGTCTCTGTGTCGCCTTCAGCGTCTCTCTGTGGGTCGCGTGTCCCTCTCCGGGTCTGTCTCTCAGTGTCATTCGATATAAAAAAAACTATAAAACATTATATTCAGTGTCTCTCTGTGGTGTCGTATCGGTCTCCGGGTCCGTCTCTCTGCGTCTTATTCCATTAAAACAAATAATATTCAGTGTCTCTGTGTCTCTTATCCCTCTCGGTGTCTGTCTCCGTGTGCGTTTGTCTACCACTGCGTAGATATCCCTCTGTGTGTGTGTCTCAATGCTCTGTCTCTCTGTGTCTATTATCCCTCTGTGTGTGTGTCTCAATGCTCTGTCTCTCTGTGTCTATTATCCCTCTGTGTGTGTGTGTCTCAATGCTCTGTCTCTCTGTGTCTATTATCCCTCTGTGTGTCTCAATGCTCTGTGTCTATTATCCCTCTGTGTGTGTCTGCCGCTATCTGTGTAAACGTGTGCCGCCTGTATGTCTTCTCGATCGCCCTGTCTCTGTCATTCTCTCTCTCTCGACATCCCTTGTTCACTTTGTCTGCGTCTCTGGGCCACGCAAGAGGGACAGTGTGGGCGACACGTGTCTGAACGCGGCCTGGGAATCCCTGGGGAGATACAAAGGCGGCTGGGATCTGGTGTGAGTCGCGCCACCCACTGTAATTGTATTTGTGTACGGTCGTATCGAGTACATTGTGTAAATTAACATTCTGTGGTTGTAAACCGGTAACCGGTTAATGGGAATCGATCACCGATCCTGAAATTCACGAACCGGTAACCGATTCCAGTGGCGTTCAGGGTATCGCATGCATTGATTGGGGATGCGCGAACGGACAAACCCCACGGCGGCAGACGTAAGGATGAATACAGCTAAAGGGACGTCCCTGCAATTTCTCGTTCACGCCACTGCTGGCGGAAGAGCCTCCACGAGAGAGAGTGTGTATTTGGTCTACTCTTCCACATTCACCAAAACAACATTAAATGTGGTGTGTGCCCACATTCTACCCCACGGCACGCGGATCCACCATCCGCAGCAGTGCCGGGTGGACATCCCGCCGGCAGGTTTCAACTCCCGGGTCGGGGACGTGAACTTGACCTCTCTGGGTTGCAAGGCCCAGTGAACCGGTTACGACATTACCCACTGAAGCAGCTCCCGTAGTTTTATACCATATCCAAGTCGTGTACTTTATTAGAAAACAGCTTTGCTGGCTGGATTCCTGGCTGGCTGTCTGGCTGGCGCGTGCTTATTTGTGTGCGCGCGGTAGGACTGGAGGTGGATGGAGTGAGAAGAGATGGGGGGGGGGCAGGAGAGTGACAAGGGCTTCAAATGGAGAGGAAAGCGAGGGAGGGAAAGAGGAGAGAGGGGGAGGAAACGTTACGAGCAGTGGGGAGAGGCAAGAAGAGCGTTTGATGCGGGATAGGAGGGAAAAAGGAGAGCGAGAGGTCAGGGAGATGGAGCAGTGGGTGAGAGTGGAGGGAGGAGAGAGATATAAAGGGAGGGAGAAGTAGAAGAGAGGACAGAGAGACAGAACGAGGACTCGATATACACATTGGGATCGACAGGGCAGAAGGCAGGAGAAAGGTGGAGAGAGACACAGGCAAAGATAAACAAAAGAGTTTGACTGGCTGGAAGGGACGGGCGGACACAAAAACGTGCGAGTTGCTCGTCTCCGTTACAAAGGTAAAAAAATGTTTATTTGTATTATTAGATAACTAGACACATGGATAAAACCGGTTATTACAGTTTTTGTAATGCTGTTACCTGTAATGCAAATGACATCAGGTATATTTGTGGGTATTACGAATGCCCAGGTCACAATCAAATGAGTCTATCCTGGCCTCCTGAGTTCAAGTTTACTTTAGACGTAAAACAAAAACACGTGAACGTGTGTGTAATGCAGCCTGTAGGCGCTATGCGGAGGATTCGTGTCTTTGAATGCACGTGGTTATCTTCTTTGGTTCTTTCGGTAAAGTCACGTAGAATGAGAATAAAATAATAAAATACTAAAATAAAATAACAAAAAAATTCTCACGACGTTTCGGCCACAACACAGTCTCGTCCCTTCACCTGATGAAGGCCACTTGTGTTGTGGCCGAAACGTCGTGAGAATTTTATTGTGTTATTTTATTAATTTATTATTTTATTCTCATTCTACGTGACTTTACCGAAAGAACCAAAGAAGATGAATCCTTGCAGTCACGAAAGCTTTAAATCGAAATGCACGTGGTTAGTCAATGAGTGTCTGCTGTGGTGCGTAAACATCAGTACTGGGGAGACAAAGGCGGCCGGACGTGGTCCTGGCCACCCACCCCTTGCCTTTCCGGCCTTAATAGGTGCTCGCTAACAGCACTTGCTCAAACAACCTCTTAAGGTTGATCGTTCTTTTTTATCATTTATTTGACTGCACAGCGTTTTTATTGACCGCTGTTCAATTATTAACTTTGTATTCGTGAAGGGCCTTGCACAACGGTTTATCGTGAAGGGCACTAACATCAAATAAACACTAATTTATCGACGCGCTTACGGGGATATATTTGTTTGTCTTTGTAGCGTATTCGACTTGTGCCAATTGCAGCGAGCGCAGAGATGTTTTGGCACGTGGAGTGATGTTGGTGGAAGCGGCGTTGAGTCATTTTGGTGGCTGTGGTCACAAGGTGCCACGTCGCGCGAACCACGACCCCACTCGTGTAGGGGGGGCCCTTGTAAAGTAAGGCGTGACGGATGCCACTTGGCGTGGCACACAAATAGAACGGTTGTAATATTTTTTCATTGCAAAGGTGATTAATCGGAATGTACCTCTGGGTGGAGAGACGGAGGATATCCGTGTGGGTGGTGTGCGTGTGTGTGAGAGAGAGAGAGAAACCAGAGCTGACACAGTAGGGAGCACAGTTGGTGTAGTTGCCAGTCATCTCAGTCAACCCATGGCACCTGGCTTTGTCCAGTGACCTGTCAGTAGCGAGCCTTCGACACTTCACGTGGTCTCAAAGTGCACCTAGCCTGGCACATGCGCCGTGGTGACGTCACCGCCACTTCGTGGCAGATGGCGGTAGTTGTTTCTGGGGTGGGTTCCACCACGTGAAGAACTGAGGGGTTTTTTTCCCTCGCAGGGGAAATGTGAGGGCTGGTTAGGGCTGAGCTGAAGCCAGGGATATACAAAATTCATTTGCTCTTGATCTAAACATTTCCGCTTGGTGTAAATGTGACTGGGGGCTTGCGTGGCAGTGGTTGATGTGGTCCAGGAGGTGAGTTCCTCTCCACGCTGTTCACACGGACAGTTGGCACATGTGCCCACTGCCACTATAGATGGAAATTTAATTCCCGCTCTTCGTGTTCCTGGAGACACTCGAGTCGTACACGAGTGGAACAATTTCGTTTATTTTTTATTTTCCCTTGGGAGTGGTCCTGCTGCTCGCAAAGGCTTTGCTGCCAGTTCTGGCTCATGTCCACCTGCTAACAGTGCGACAGTGCGAGAGGGAGAGAGAGAGCACAAGGTGAAGAAGAACGCAAAGCAAGTGGTACAACCGTATAGAGATAACAATAATTGCTGTAGATTAGAATGCAAACGGCACCAAGTAAAAAAGAAAGCAGTGGTGAACTCTGAGTTCCCTACAAGCCATTAAGAAGCAAAAAAAAGAAACGCTTTTTACAGGAGATGTGGCATGGGAATCATGCCGAGGAACCTATACTCGTAACGACCACCTTATCCATTCCCCCCCCACCCTGCACGTCCATATTTCAAGATAAAAAATGAAATATAAAATCTTTAAAAAAGTTATGTTTAGTAGAGTTGTTTGCAGGTGGCGAGATGGATGTGATTTTATGGGCCATCTGGCTGAAAACGTTGATTCTGTGTGTGCCGTGCGTACAGGTAGGCAAGTTGTCATCCACTCGGCTCTCCACCGCCAGTCAGCCTTCGCATGATTGGTCCCCAACACTGCACACCCTCTCGGTGGAGCCAGGCTTAGAGGCCTAAGCCTTGCCCCTTTACTTATACCCATGGCTGTTTAAATCCGTGTTTTGTAATTCTCATCTATAATTTACCGTAATCTTATTAACATTCCCAATCCACACGTCCCATCCTCCAGGATAACCTTTACTGCCAGTTCTCTTAATCACAGCCAAGCTTCGCGCACAGCTTGAGAAAACGGTTGTTAATTAAACGCGCTAGGTGATATTTACGTGTCAGTGTTTTTTAAGTTACGTAATTGCGCATTCATATCATTATGTGCTGTTTGCCAGATACCTCCCCCCATAACTGGATAGACTCCCCACAATTGTTCAGGCTTTGGGGAGCTCTAGAAAGCCCCCTCTGAGGGTATTTTGGCCTCCTTTCTACGCTGGGCAGTTTTCCTGGAATATCCGAATTGTATCGTATGTGACGCAGTTTCTGTGTGCCACGATGGCGAGATTTTAACTACCCCGCCTAGTATACAGGTCGTGGGTTCGATCCCGCACCTGACGCCTGTATATTTGGAGTTTGCATGTTCTCGCCGTGGTCACGTGGGTTGTTCTCCGGTTCCTTCAGTTTTTCCCGCCACATTTAGAAACATACATTTAGAGTATTTGGCTGCTGTAAATGTCCACTTGATAAGCCACTTCGTTGAGCTATCTTTTGTGGCCAGGTTGCTTCTTGAAAAGAGCTATATAGCTCCGTGGGCCTTACCTGGTAAAAGAAAAATAGTTTTGTTTAGTATTAGACACTAATTACATCAACGGTTTTTGCTGCTCATGCCAGGATCTTCCGGCACGATGAGTGAGCACGAGGCACCCGGCCTCGCTTCGGACAGGACAAGCGGCGCGGAGGTGGACGAGGAAGAGGACGAGGTGGAGCGCAAGGCCACTGTCCCCGCGGAGACCAAGAGGCTCGCCTTCGTGTGGTGCCAGGAGTACCTGTCTGGCATGTGGAAGACGCTGCAGGAGAATGAGTTTCAAATCAGTATTATAAGGTAATGGCGAGCCCCTCGGCACAAGCTTCACTTCCGCTCAGTCCGTTTGAATCGCCGTCCGCTGCCAATGGTAGAAGCATTTTAAAATATATTCTTGGAAGCTGAGTGTACAAGCGGGCAATGTCCTACTTTGCACCTCATGTCCATAGGAAATCTTCCCTGTTGCGGCCCACAGTTGACGATTTCATTTGCTGCCTTGTGCTTTGACGTTCGCTTTGAGCTTATAAATAATTTCCTTTTTCGGCTTCCAGAGGACGTTTTCCGGTTGTACCTAAAAACGCCACTTGCTTGAGTAGTAGTAGCTGGGAACACTGACATCGAACCAATCCTCTGGTATTTCACGAACCTTCTCCGAGCAAGCGAACCACATGACCGTGAGGTCTTGTGTGAGACCCGCATTATCCTAAGACCCGTGAGACTGAGCTTGTGGCGAATACGAGGAGCGAAGCAAGAGGATTTATCCACAATTTTAGCTGTCACCTGATGAGACTGGTTGTGATTGCCGGCAAAACATTGCACTCGAATTGTAAATGTTGTGGGTTTACTCTCCAACACACCAGTCTGCTGAACTATGGCATGTTTTGTTTACGTGACAAACCTTACTAATTGGCTGTGTCGGGTGTTGGCGGGTTTAACGACACATTTACGCGATCTAACCCAAAAAAAAAAACCTCTTGTAGATAATATTGGTCGCGAAAGCCTACGTATTAAAATGAGGAGCGTTTCTTGTTGATTTATGAATAGCGGTTATCTCAATCAGACCCCAAAATCAATAACACGAGGATGTGTCCAAATCTTGGTTCACTCTGCGCGGCAGCACATTTGTGACGTGGGCCGGGGTGATGTAGAAACGCAGGGTTCAGGTAGCATAGTCCATAGATCATTTTAGGAGTGCAAATTCCCTTTTCTCTAATCCTGTTCAATACACGTCATCGCAGATAAAAGCAGTTGTGTAGACTGTTTGAAGAAGACTGATGTGGTTGCACGTCTGGGAGGATGTTGCTGGCAAGTTGCAGATTTTTTTTCTGTGATGCGTCAACGCTAATGCAGTGGGAAGAATTAAGGGCAATGATGGAATTCATCGTTTAATAATTAAACTCTCGAAAAGCCGCCCAGTACCGCTTCATAAAAAACACACAAGGCTGCAACACTGGTGCTGTGTTGTGTAATTTTAAGGATATCAAACGACACAATTACGCTGTGTCATCATCATACAGCATCTCACCACATTTTTATATACGTCCAGTGTGCAGTATACGTTCAAACAAACATAATTTTCACTGCTTGTTTTACAGTGGGGGGCTCAGCAACTTCCTCTACCTGTGCGCCCTCCCGGAGGGGAAGCAGAACTCCAGAGATGAACCAAGAAATGTCCTTTTACGAATCTACGGCCGAATCCTTCAGGTGCATTTCTGTTTGTACAAATAATATGCCGACACGCACGCCCGCCCGCACGCTTGTCTGTGCCCAGTGGCTCGCACTCGCAAGGTTGGGAGTTCACATCCTGCTTGGGAATCGACTCGGCTCACGATCCCTTCTGGGTCGATACAACGAGTACCACTTTGCGGGATATAGCTTGCGCTCGTGCCGTGTGTCCTTGCACTGTGTGACACCAACGCTGATTGTTTACCGAAGGCGGCACCGTGTTCTGACACTGGTGTGTTGTTCTTTGCGTACGGCACACTGCGTGCGTGCGTGCGTGCCCGAATGGCACACGGCGTCCCGTGGCGTGGACGCGATGCGCGTTGTACCCGGTGTACGGCACGCGTTGTTTTGCGGTGTGCAGGGACAAGATGCGCTAGTACAGGAGAGTGTGATGTTCGCTATCCTAGCAGAACGAATGCTGGGTCCAAAACTCTACGGGGTCTTCCCTCAAGGCCGCCTGGAGGAGTACATTCCTGTAAGCTGATTGCACAGCGGCTGCAGTGGGGGGATGAGCCCACGATCGGCTGCACATCGAGCAAAACATCGTTACCGTGTTCTCCCAATTAAAAGACGCTCCGGAAAATAAGACGCACTCATAATTTTGGTGGTCGTTTTGAAAGAAGACATTTCTGGGAAATCGGGAAACATGGGTGTGGGATGTGAGTGTACGTAATGTGGCGTTAGACTCTTTGTCTTTGTGCGCAGTGAAGCACCTCTAGTCCGCGAGGATGCGGATCGTCTCAAACATCTTAGAGGGTCGCCTTTTGCACCGACAATTTGGATACTTTTCAGCTAATTATCAGTGGAAACTGTATTTTCGCCAACATATGAATCATGCCGCGTGGACTGTACCTATCCCCCCTTCCCCCCGCCTTCTTCTAGTACCAAGAACTCTTAATCCCATCCTTCAGGATGAGCAAGTTATTGTGTTTGTCTGCGCTGTTTCAGAGCAGAAGATTGAGAACTGCAGAGCTTGCTTTACCACAAGTTTCTGCGGAAATTGCAACAAAACTTGCGAGATTTCACGAAATGAAAATGCCATTCAACAAAGAGCCCAAATGGCTGTTCAGCACAATGAAGAGGTAAATAATTAATGTGTCGTGGTTTTTAATGTGATTTGTCAAAGCATTGGGTGTAAAGAACAGCACGGCACAGTCACCTGTTTCTGTTCACGACTGTATACGGAGCAATCGTAACCTGTTAATATCCACCACCCGCGTTCTGTCCACTGCTGGATGAAGTCTTGTCCATCGCCTACCGTCTCGGTCCTGCGATGCCGTAATTCATCTTAATCCCCCCCCACGTGAACCGATGTCATCGTTCCATCTCCGTGCCTGTCGTGTTCGCCCATTGGCTCTGGTTCCATCACTGGTCTCGTTCGTTGTTCATCGCCCCTATTTTGCAAACACGAGCACGCTCGGTATTCTTACTGGTCAAGATGATGCTTCTAATAAGCATTTTTTCCCCGATCCATGTGTTCCTCTTTCTCTCTCCGTAGTCCCCAGCGTTAATGTCTCCCCTGCCTCTGCGCACACTTTTCAGCGTTTGTTCCATTTCCTTTTGGCAGTGTCCCCGTGTTTTTGAAGCATGTGATGGAGCAGCTATTGTGCACAGGTTGAAAACATTCTGCTTTGGGCGCTTTGGCAGTGTTCCTTTTAATTACCGATTTACATTGCACAAAAACACTCCCGAACCTGCTCGTGTTCACTTTTGTATTTCATACTTTTCTGTGGGCCTGTTAATCCCTATTAATATTTTATAATATTCTTACGACCACTGTAATAAGATTTGGAATTCATGACTATAATTATATTTGAAACAAAAGTATTTTTTGCACGGTTCGGTCACTCAGAATATAAAGATAATACTATAATTGTTAACAATGCAAAACGTCCAGAACCTAATACACACGTTAAGTTTAAATAATTTAAACGACGTTTGCTGATTTCTCTTCCTTATGTCGCAAATGCAAGCACTTCCCTTTCCTGCAAGTGATGGCCAAATCCCATCTCTGTGTGTACAGTGTCATGACGTGCGCTTGCATTTAGATCGTCCATTAATTTATGTTGTCTTGTGTATTGGATGAGAAGTGGTTTGTCTCTTTGGTGTATACACTCAGTCCCACAGTGTTCACAGTGGTCAGAATTCAGTCTTTTTCGTAGCTTTGCTACCGTTTGATCTGTTCGATATACATGACGCAAAAACAGACGGGACGATCTTGTTCTGCAAAATGTGTGTGGCTTGTAGCGCTTATGGTTTTGTTTGTGTTTAGTTGCTGTGTGTGTGTGTGTGCATGCCGTATTTCCTCCAGCTACATGGAGCAGGTAATGCAGTTGGAGTTTGCAAAGGAGCCACAAGCGAGGAAGTTTAAGCACTTGATGTCGTTCAACCTCCCACACGAGATGAAAGTTCTGGGGTAATAATCGCTACAGATATCCTTACGTAAATACCAGCCTTGTGCATTAGAAGTGATCAGCAGATGGCAGTGCAGCAATGGATTTCTGACTGCATCCACACAGAGATTTGGAGCGTCGCACCCTTATAAGGTGTGGGTTTATTCTGTGTATTTGTGTTCCCTTCCTACATACTCACAAATGGAACTGTCTAAAATCTCGACGAATGTGACCCGACTCAAAATGCGTCTTGAGGCTCGGTGAACCTTTCCTGGGTAAAAGTGGGAGAACTTATATTTACACCCCCTTTTTCGTATCACTTAGAACGGTGGTTCATGTTAACCTGGGGTGCACGCTACACCCCCTGCGCATGCGAGATGCCCGTTCTGGGGGCACCTAAGTACAACTACTTTGTTTTATTAAACCTATGTATGTATTAAGAACTACTGACTTGGAACATGACGCTAGTGATGCAGTGCAGATTCGCCGAGCATGGCGTCGTCTTTGCCTTTACGTTGACCTCATCTGATGACTGCCGTTTGATGTCCCCCTGGCTGTGCCCGCGCTGCAGAAACCTTCTGGCCGCCACCCCCTCCCCCGTCGTGTTTTGTCACAACGATTGTCAGGAAGGTGAGTCTCGCCCCCTGTGCCGCACCGTACGCAAAGTCACCTCGACACACGGTGACGCGCGGTGCAGAATGCCCACGGCTCCGTCACCGACCGCCAACGCACTCCGCTGTTCGTGCCACAAGGCTGTTGACAAAGTCTGGCGGCGTGGGTGGAATCGGCCGTGACGACCTCTTGAACCGGATGTTGATGTCGCAATGCCTGTAACTTGACCACAAGGCAACAACTTGCGCCTCGGGCAGGCGTACGTAATGCCGTCAAGCGGGCACGTTCTTTTTTTTCAGCGTTCATTATTGTCTACAAATTAATATATTGCTGGAATAGCTGCAAAAAGCTTGACCGGTTAATGAATGAAGGGGCGCTGCGGTGGTGAAATGTCAACTCCCTCGCCTGGTATGAGGAGGTTGTGGGTTCGACCCAGACCCTGACGCCTATATATTTGCATGTTCTCCCCGTGGTCGCGTGGAATCAACGCACGCTTAGAGTATTTGGCTGCTGTACATTTCCACGCGATTTTCCGCTTCGTTGAGCTATCGTTTGTGGCCAGGTCGCTTCTGGAAAAGAGCTACATAGCTCAGAGGGCCTTACATGGTAAAATAATGGCTGCAGAAGCTGGTGATAGTTTGGTTGCGCGATTAGCGTGGTGGCGTGAGACCAATAAACATCCGTTTGGAACTCTCGGAAGGCAGTGTGACATCTCCAATGTTAGCGAATGTCCTCCACCTGAAGGTGACACCACAGAACTAATTCCGAAATCCCTCGGTTGCCCGTAATCCATGCCAGGCAGTGCACCTTCTCGCGCTCTGATGTGGGGGTGTTGGTTCACATGGCGACCAAGGCATTGTTTAGTTCTCGGAAGTTAGAATGTGCTAAATTAGGTACAACTTTGTTTTATGGTGATTTGTGACAAATCACTGGTAACCATGTTGAGACCATCAACTCGCTACACCTGTATTCTTGGTTCTTTCGGTAAAGTCACGTAGAAGGGAAACAATAAAATATTAAAAATATAAAACAATAAAATTCTCACGACGTTTCGACTGCAACACAAGCAATCATCATCAAGAAAATTTGAATTTTTTCGAAAATTTGAATTTTTTCAAATTTTCTTGCTGTGGTTTTCACACCTGATGATGATTGCTTGTGTTGCAGTCAAAACGTCGTGAGAATTTTATTGTTTTATATTTTTATTATTTTATTGTTTCCCTTCTACGTGACTTTACCGAAAGAACCAAGAATATGAATCCCTGCAGTCACAAAAGCTTTAAAATCGCTGCACCCGGTTAAATTGCAGCTGGTGGAAACAGATTTGAACTCTGTATCTCAGTGCTGGTTTGGTGCTTTGAATGGGAGCATTTATATTTGACCGAAGGATTATTCATTACCACGCACACTGAACTGTAACATTACATGGTACGTCTATAAACATGCCCTTTAGCGTGGGTGAGGCTTTGCTTTATGAAATGCATTTAAAGCTATGCAAACGAGGCATTTTATAATGCTATCGGTTGATATGTGTATTTCAAAAGGTAACATTCTCCTCTTGGAAGACGAAGTCAAGGCAAATGAAGACAAACTAATGATTATCGACTTTGAATACTGCAGCTATAATTACAGGTGAGTGCCAATGCCCAGAATCTGTGTTTAACATTGTTGGGCGTTTTAAGACTGCAGATTATTTTAACAGATTAAATTAATCGGTGGTATGTATGTTGAACTTTATCACCGTTGCTAATCGGTGATGCTGCTTGCATTGACAGTGATGCACAAATTACAAACAAAAGTCATTTGACAACAACACTGTTGGTTTTTGATTTAAAGCTTTCGTGACTGCAGTAATTCATATTCTTAGTTTTTTCGGTAAAGTCACGTTGAAGAGAAACAACAAAATAACAAAATATATATAAAACAATAAAAAATTCTCACGACGTTTCGACCATAACTCAAACGGTCATCATCAGGTATGTCGATGATGACCGTTTGAGTTATGGTCGAAACGTCGTGAGAATTTTTTATTGTTTTATATATATTTTGTTATTTTGTTGTTTCTCTTCAACGTGACTTTACCGAAAAAACTAAGAATATGAAACACTGTTGGTCTTCATAATAATAATATTGGTCGCGAAAGCCTACGTGTTAAACTGACTGTTGGTCTTAAAAAGAAAGAATATTACGGATGCCGTTTCTCGTAATGGCCCTCTTGGACAGCACGTAGGCCTCGGTGAAGAATCGTTGCAATGCAAAGCGCCTTTACTTTCGCACAGCACTTGATCTCGTGTGGTTTCGTAGTTAGTGATAGTGAACAGGGTAACAACAGAGAATGGGGACAAAGGAAATAAGATACAATCAGAAAGTCATGAACCACATTACTACCAGGATGCTAAATTAAATACGTCGTGACTAAAATTATTTTATCGAAGCAGGGACTGTAAGGGGCAGCCTTCGGCTTTGAGTACAAAATTTCTTTGTATGCATGTGTGTTGAACTTCTTTCGCACCATACGTATCCAACCGTGCTAATCTTTGGCAACAGCACACGATTTAGCTCAAAATAAAATAAAAGGGTCGTTCACGTTTTCATCACTTTGTCAAAGGTTTTGTCCGCTCGTTGTAGTTTGTATGCAGAGGCTGTCCTCGTTTGCTGTGTGGAAGTTGCGTGCTGAGTAACGACCCCTCCCCTCTTCCCTTCCGCAGGGGATTCGACATCGGCAATCATTTTTGTGAGTGGAGCTACGACTACACGCACGACGTGTGGCCGTTCTTCACTGCCAACCTGGACAAGTATCCGAGCCATGAGCAGCAGGTAACTCCCCCCTAACCCCGCAGGCGACCCACACCGTCCGTCTTCCTCCGCCGTCTCTCGGTGAAGTGACTTGAGCTTTCGACATGAGTCGCTCGCGGGAAACGAGCGGCGTACATGGCGCCGCGTCCATCTGGGTTCCCCCGCCTTTTTAACGCCCGTTTTTGTCGTGTTTGATTTTTCGCAAACGCACGTCTTGGAAATGCGTAGCCTGCTTACGGACTTTCCAAGATAATTAACAAATTGCTGTTTGATTTCCTTCGTTGCAGCTGCACTTTCTGCGGCATTACCTAGCAGAGACCCAGGCCGGTAACCACATGAATGGCTGCAGCAGCGCTCCAGAGAATCACGTGGGAGGAGGTCAGAATGACGTTTCTGGCGGTGGGCGTTTGAGCGGAAGGTCTGCGGACAGCGCGGGATTACCCACTGCAAGTGGCGACACCGCGGTTTTGGAGGCCATAGTGGTGGAGGTGAACAGGTGATGATGCCCTCTCTTGCAAGCGTAACCTCTTTTTTTTCCTGAAGCATATCACCAAGGGGCGAGGTGGCTCAAATCGGGTGGCTCAAAGGTTAGAGCGCCGAGCCGGCAATACTAATAAACCTCGTTTTCAAGTGCAGTGCGTTGATGGCCTCGAGCCTTTTTAGCAGTGACTGTGTGAAAAAAAACATCGAATTAAATTTGGTCTTGCACTTAATATTGCTGAATGCCAGCTCTGAGAATAATAAAAAGATTGGTTTGACCGTCATGCGGAAAATATTACTCTGTGGTTGACTGAGTGGGAAAGTGCTGCCCCCTGCTGTGAAACAGAGGTGTCTAAAGAGATTTCAGTGGTAGCTCAGTAATATCGCCTTTTGTGGGCCGTTTCCGATATCTCTGCTTACGTTCGCCGTCTCGTGACGCGGCCCGATAGTATTCGGGGGGGGGGAAAGAAACGTTTGTTTTTTAAATGGATGTCGGCAAGGTGTCAAGGAATGCGCGTTACCCCCTTTGTGTTCAGGTTTGCGCTGGCTTCCCACTTCTTCTGGGGACTGTGGTCCATTCTCCAAGCTCACATGTCCACCATCCAGTTCGGATACTTGGTAAGGGACCCCTTTACACAACATAACCGTGCAACGTCCCTCCGCGAATTAGCTTGTGTCTTGTTTACAAGTGAGCCACGGTGGCGAGATTTTAACTACCTCGCCTGCTATGGATGAGGTCTTGGGTTCGATCCCGGCCCTGATGCCTGCTGTATGTTTGGAGTTTGCATGTCTCTCTCCCCGTAGTCGTGTGGATTTTTCTCCGGCTCCTCCAGTTTTTTCTCCATATATTAGAATTAACATGTGTTTAAGAGTATTTGGCTGCTAGAAATTTCCACGTGATAAAAAAAGTCAGTCGAATCTGTATATTTTGTGAAGTGGCGAGCATGGCAATGTAACAAAAAACTGCTCTGAAGTTTAGAGTGCGGTTTTAACTAAAAACAAAAAAATGTATTTAACCAGGTAAGGCCCACTGAGCTTTATAGCTCTTTTTCAGAAGCGACCTGGCCACAAAATGATGGATCCAAAAAATTGGCTTATCATATGGAAATTTATATCAACCAAATACTCTAAATGAAAATATTTGTGTGGTGTCATGATTGTGCACTTTGCATGATTAATAGACCTAAAAAGTAACAATAAGCATTACATTTTAATGACACAACACTTTTTTACATAACTATAAATACGGACAAGCAAGGACAATGTAAACGTGTTGCCAAACGTGTGTGCGTGTGCATGCGTGTAGGACTACGCACTGGCAAGATTTGAGGCATACTTCAAACAGAAGGAAGTGTTTTCTTAAAGCATCACTCCTTCCTGCAGAAAACAACGCCGCCTCTTATTTTGTCCCGTTCTGCGTTGCTCGTGTTAGGAAGCCGATGTACGATTTGCATTTTATAGTTCTTTGTAAGCACTTCCTATTTGATTTGTGGTTGATTTTGAAAACATTCCCGACATAAGTTTGACACCCAAATGCAAGCATCCTGTCAGCCTTGACAATTAGAGTGAACACTTAGGGCACAATTCGCGTGAAATCGAATGTTCATGTCTACTTGCTTTTATAAATGTGTTTCCCCATTGCCAGCGGTGGGACAAATTTCCCAAGGGGTGGGACGGATGAGCTGCCTCGTATGTTTGTGCGGGGCACCTGTTCCTGTGCGTGTTGCAGTTAACGCCTTGCGTTTCTCCTGTGTCGTGATATAATGTTCATCCGCGGCGTACATTTGACACTGCCACTGTAATCTACCGGTACGACATGAGAGTTTTTTTTTGGGTTAATCACTTGAATATATGTGTCGTTAAAACCCGCCACCACCCGACACAGCCAACTAGTAAGGGTTGTCACGTAAACAGAACGTGGCCAATTCGTCACTAGTACAGCACTGCACCGGTGTGTTGGAGAGCCAAGCCACAACATTTACAATCTGAGTACGACGTTTCGCCAGTAATAACAACCAGCTTCAACAGGCGACAGCCAGATTTGTAGAGAAGTCCACCCGTTTCGTTCCTTATATAGAGGCGTAGATGTGTTGACCACGCTTCTGCACTCTTGCACAATGTGGTGGGAGGGGGGGGATTACTGAGGCAACGTACATTATGCATGTGCATTATGCGAGCCCTTTGAACTTGTCTTTCCTATCTATTGTTTATTAAAATAGCCCTACCAACGGTAATCCCTATTGAAGTACGCTGCCCTTTGTAGGCATGCATTTAAATAATGTATTATTTGATTATTTGCTCCCACGCAGCACTAAGGCGGTAGCTATACGAACGGTTTAAGTTATTTTTATTTCTTTAAATTTAGATATTCTCTAATTAGTCTTGGCCAGTAGTAGCTAGTTTTGCACAAAACTTCACCATTATCAAAATCAATTGAGTGTCCTTGTTGGCACGCGTGTTCTGCTACTGCTGACAGTTGTGTTTGGGATAATTTAATATTTCTGACGTAATTTCAGTCTCGTGCTGATCATTCGTCCTGTTTGCCCAAGATAACATTTACTCACACGTGCAGTTAATCCTGTGTACACCTTCTGTTGACATCGTTTAATTTACGAAAGCCGATCTGCTCATTCGTAGGGAAACCATTCAAGCGGAGCTCCCTTTCCGTGTCGGGTTTTCTTTCCTTCATCAAAATCGCGCACGTAGGGCCATTTCATACTGTTTTACAAAATCAAACTAATGGGCATTTTGCAAACTCGCATTTCTCAATGCCTGTTAAATACATCTTTACGTAGAATATGTTTTATCTATTAGTGTTTTAATATTGCACACTTTATCAGCAACTGTGATGTCTTTGTTAACAGTAAAGCAAAAATGTGCTTTCTGATCAAAGAGTAATTGTCTTTGCCTGTTTTAAGATAAAGGCTGTAATCTGTAAAGGGAAACAATACTTGATTGGAAGTTGTTTGTCCTTATAACGATTCTATTAAATACCAAACAGAAAAATTAAAATATTTAACTCCTGCAAATTGTTGTCTGGCTTTGTCATCTGCATACAGCAAGCATGGTAAGGAAGCGCTTGCACACAACTTTTATATTTGCGAAGGTTACTGGCGTCAGCCAATACTTGATGTTATGTAATGTGGATTTGCCAACAGAGCTTGCCAGGAATTATTTCCCATCTTGACAACAAATAACGGTGATGCTGATATTGACCACAACAATCTTGCCCGAAAAATGTTAGTTAGATAATCATGATGGTAAGAGTATATAGGTCTACGTGTTCACCTATGTTCGTGCGATGAATGGAATATACTTCAGACGGAGGAATGTGTACAATAGAAGGGGGATTTTTGTATTTGCAGCTGTGTGGACCAGTAGTCCAGCAATTGGTGCACTGCTACAAACCCAGTGATCCGAGTTAGATTCCTGCTCGCGGTCAACAGCAGTGATGGGTTACCTGCAACGGTTCTGGGCCTCCCCTAGGTCAACTCAGCCTCATGAGTACCTGGCACGGTGGAAAACATGGCCACTGGGGGAGACAAAGGCGGCGGCGGCGGCATGGTCTGAGCCACCCACGCTCTGGTGCGCAGTGCCGGCCTTCATAGGTGCTACTCGCGAACATCACAAGCCCCGACTCAAGCGCGCACGCACCGCGCAGCGGGTGGCAAGCCCCCGGTGATGCAACAAAGGTTACGCGGAGGGTTTCAGTTTTTCTCTAATCGCGTTTTTTATTTTTCACATTGAAAACACGAACCTCCAACACGTGGTGTACCGCTCGCGCCCCCCCCCCGCGCCGCACGTCCAACAAGGATCGAGAGAAAAGCAAAAAGGTGTCTGCGCTTTGCAACTCGGGGGGGACTGACTCCGCACCTCGCGGGTTTTTAAAACAAGGGGCGGGGGGGAGAGAGAGAATGGCATATGCGTACAGTATAAAATTCAAGTATTGCAACGTACTGTTAGTATTTTCTAGCTTAGTAAATGAAAGAGCAGAAATGCACGACAGCTTTCACATTTCACGCTGGTTACAAACTAAAAAAAAGCAGTCAAGCAAAGTAATTCACGCGCGAGGCATTTCACGTCGAACTTAATGTACAGGACATGCAAAAGTACCGCTATTTTTAAACGTTACATTGTAAAGGAAATGTGTTGATACGTGTATCAAACATTTGGAACTCGTGCGTCAGACGTAAAGATGCTCCAACTCTACTCTGCGGGGGTTGAAGTTTTCTACGCATAGCCGAACATTGAAGAGCTGTGAACGTTCGCACAGAACTGAAAGGACAACGCGAACCTCCCTCCCCATGTAACCTTTTGAACAGCCATGACGAAATGTTTACAGATGCTAAGTGACGTGTGCACAATTCTTGGCATCTTTTCGGAGGTCACGGCCACGTGGATGATTTAGCACTCGCGGATCAACCGCATTTCTCGGGCCACGTGCTCTCACAAGTATCGTGAGGTTGGTGGCATTTCACTACAAATATAAATACACTTCAGTCGCTGGGTGGCTGCAGGTCAGTTACGAAGCTTACAGGAAATAATGTGAGAGTTGATCTTCAACAACCAATGTTTTGGTGCCAGTGATCTTGAAAAATGTGCCTTGCGATTCATCCCACCTAACAGCAAGCGTCACATACTGGCCGTTTCCTAGGATTATTCTCATCAGCAGCAGCATAAAGCAGATACATTTTTTTTTACAAATAAACGAAAGATAATTCTTGTTACGCACGAGCGAGTAAATGTGTGTACCTGTGTGACAATTCTAAACAACGAACACTAACGTATACACATATATAAACAAGCTGCAGGTAAATACTAACGGTGAGACCGTATGTACAACGTACACTGCCCTCCCCCACGGAGCTGCACCAACTCTAGGTTGGCAGAACTCGGCGCAGCGCAAAAACGACGACGTCCCGCCCACAGCCACGGAGAAATACTTCAATGTACAAAGAGAGCCCTTGATTTTACGTGTTTTTAAAGAGTACCGATTGTAAAGCCCTGCTGCTGCCCATTCGCAAAACCACGTGGGGGGGGCATCGAAGGCGACGCTCCCACTGCCGTTTTTCTCTCTCGATATTGTGAGTGCGCAAAAAGATGGTGAGAACACGGTCACTTTCAAAACAGCATTAAAAAAACTAACACCGTAGAAGCTATACACGAGCGTACCCTTTAAAACGCGTTGTTTTTCAGTACCTGGAGCGGGTGAATATTTAACGTGATTTAACACTCGTTAGCAAGTTTTAATCTCGCCAAAATGTTAAATGTTTGGGTGCAATTCCGTTTAAATCTGCAGAGGAAATTGTGGACATCGCAATCATAAAAATACACGTTTCTGTTACCACTTCAAATGTTATGCAATTCACAAAATATATTGGCAATGCGTTTAATATTACTGTTATGCAGGTGATCAAATCACTTTTCAAATGGAAATGTTATAGAATACGACCTTAATGAACACAAACTTCTTAAATTAGCATGAGCACGTGGTGAGCTTGTAACATTTCAGAAATCTGAGCAAACTGTACGGCTCAAACATGGCAGTAGCAGCTAATTTTGTTTTGTACACGGTTTCATCTACAGCAAACCGTTTATACTGTGGATACAGGAGTGCAACAATTAGGATAATCGATGCTATGTAAGGGACAAAGGAGGAGTACTTTTAATGTAGCAAAACAACTAAGTGCTCACAAGGATTCATATTGAACACTGGCCATTTTACCCAGAGCAATGTGCATTTTCTCATATTCCACTTGTCACATTTGCGGCAGTTGAGCTTTGGTGCATTTGGATCCAGGCTGAGATGAGCTCTAGATGAATTAGCTGTGGTCTACTACACTGGAGACCAGGCGTTACCCGGTCTCGAGAAGTTCGGCGAGCCGCGAGACCATCAGGATGCACGGTGCATCAAACCGTGCACTAATAAGCAACGGCAAAAACATGCCCGTTTGCTGCAGTAAGCCAACACACGCATGCACTATGGGCATATGGGATTATGCAACCGACATCAGCAGCACTTACGGGCGAGGCAAAACAAATAACATCTTACGATGTCTGTACATATCACTTTGTGAACCCAAGGAGGTTTTAAAGGGCTCGGCCATCTAATCAGCACTGCGGCTCAGAGACTTCCCACGGCCCGTAGCCGGGCTCTATGTTTTAAAAACAGGAAGTAGAAACTGATGGGAGCTTCTCTCATCCCAGCAGTTATCCTATTCATGCCAACGATCGCGCCCGACAATGCATATGGACCCAGACAAAATATTTTGTCTGTCTGTTGCCAACTCTTGCGTTGTAAAGAACTGGTGAATAATTCAATGAGCTTAGTTAATGAGCTTAATTAACACAGTTCATCACATCCACTTTCATTATCGAAGTATGCAAACTGGTATGGCAAAAATATGTGCCACCTCTAGTTGTGCCCAATGTTGCTCTAACCTAAGAACTAATATTGTCGACAAAAGAAGTTGAGCTGTACAAATGAGTACATGGGGTTGTTTTTTTCTTCTGCTGGTAATGTATAGATTTAAAACAGCTACACACAATGCACAACGCACCAATAAACTATTACTCTACACCGCTGCGAGAGACAAAATACTTTACCAATCCCTAAAAAAGAACTAGGTGAGCAAGCTCAGTGCACAATTTTACTCATTGAAAGTATTTGGTCATGAAATGAGGAATGGCACCAAGAGGAGGAAAATGTTCCACAAATCCAAGAACGCACAGCGACGACAAACCTCAACACTGTGCGAGATGCGGGAGGGGGTGTCCGATGGCGTCATCCTTGTGCTATAACAGGGATGGGTGCCAACATCGCCCAAATGCAAAACCTTCGTGGCACGTTCATCTACCCTCACGGTTCAGGGTTTTGAATAGTGGAGAGTGTGGGGTGCATTTCCCTTCACGCGAGCGATGTGCTCCAAACGAGATCACTGGGCGATCGTTTCACATTTTTTTTCCGTGGTTTGCACGGAATGCGCGATGCGCCGCAAAGCTGCACACTAACACTGTCTTGTAACTTTAAATCTACATTGATCGATATCTGAAATGACACATTGGATAGATCGTTGCAATACTACGAGTAAAATATAAAACAAATTTTAAAAAAAATCCACACAAAAAAGCCACCAGGAAGTTGAAATGAATCGTAATGCACACGTCCATCAACAGCTCCAACAGCATGGCGGGGAGCATCTTTGCAAACTAGTGTTTCCATGCTCCTTAGCAATGTGATGTGACCCGTGGAGTTTAATATGGTTCCCAAGTCACATCACTGGGAATTGTGCAATCACAAGTGTTTCGGCCAAATGAATGCCAAAGCGTGCCCTCCAGTGGTGATAATGTAACCACCACTAGAATCGCATGCAACTTTTCCCCGATTTCTTGACCTCTGGGGTCGCAGAAAAGTTCACCACTTGGTGCTGGGCGGCAGGCGGCACATATCAAAGAGAGCACTGCGATTAGCATTGCAGTGAGCATGGGTGTATAAACGCATTTTGGTGGAACAAAAACATTCGTAGAGGATAACCGTATGCATTTTTCACACGTGCGGGGGAGACTGAACTCTACAATTCACCCCTGTGACGGTGTTGTCGGCATCAATGAGCAGTTGCTACACAATGCTTCTCTTGCTTTCAGGATCAAAGATCAAGATGTCACATCACGGCCAAGGTGGAAGATGCTACCGCATCTCGCCAAAAGCGTTTTCTACCATCCGCCCGATCTCCTGCTTTGGCGGGTCAACATTATTCGCTGTTGTGACTCGATCGAGTGTGTAGAGAAGTACGACCGACCAGTGCGATGGATGTGTCATTGTGGTGTGCGGCGAGCTCTAGGACAATTCTAAACAACGGACGATAAACCCTGTACAGCGCAGTGGCAAAGGGGGTTGTCCACTGGTGAATTCTTGTCATGTAAAAAGAAAAAAATCGTACATTTTCATATATCTATCGACCTACAACACAGTCTAAATATAACCCACATTGTCACTGGGTGGGTTAGATCCCCACCAGCGCTAACACACGACACAGTGGAGGCCTACGGGTGCCTGCGCTGTCGCTCACAGCAGCACAGCAGCGCGGCGTGCCACGGCTTATAGACGCGCAGCGCCGCGGTGCCGGCACATGGTACCACAGACGAGGCAAACACGACCGCGTTTTTGCCGGACAGTACCACAACGGGCGTTGAGTACCCACGCGGGAGCGCACAGTACCAAAAGCTTCGATGTACGATGCCGCGATTCAGGAGTTAGAGTGGCTGGGAAATTCCTGTACATACCATACCTCTACGGGTACAACGATAGCTTTTAGGATATGCGTACGTCGACCTCCCACCGACCCTGTATGCATGGTGACTACAATGTAACCACTTTGTTTCAAGTGTGAGTGCAGTACCGGGTGCTGAACGGACGAAAGCAGGAATTCTCAAACTCTGTTTAAATGGAGACCCCTCTGATGTGGTCGAAAACCTGGCAGGCCAGTGCAGGTGAGAGTCGAACCAGGTTGCTGACTGATCTCACTGTAGCCTTGACCAATAAGGGGGGGTTGGCGACATCGCGTTAAGGATGTCGTGGCCTCAAAATTTGTGAGGCCTGAACGCAAGCGATTGTGACATTTGGCGACCTCAAAAGTTATTTTATTTTGGCAATTTTAACGGACGCCTTCCCTTTTACTCATCGAATACGAGGCTCCAGCAGCAACCTATCTCTCAATAAAGCACGGAAACCCCATCGTGGTCCCGGACTCGCAGCTTGAGAGACGTGGGGCTGGGACACCGGTGGATGTGGACTGGGCCCTGGGCAGGCTAGAAGATGGTCGTCTCGTACTTGGCACCAGCTGGCTTCTTGTGCTCAGACGGCTGCTCCGCCATCCAAGCCGCCCCACCGTGAAGCGGCTCCACAACTTCCACCTGCACCGCCACAAAGACAAAGATCCGCCCCACCCACCCCCACCGTGTAGCCTTAAACAGAATGTTGGGGCAAGTGTTGTGAGCGAGAAGCAGCACCTGTGAAGGCTGGCACGGCACACGAAGGGGTAGGTGTGCTCAGCACCATGCCCAACCGCCTTTGTCTCCCACACGCGCATGCACACGGACAAGTCATGCTTAGAACATGTTATGCATGGATGGGTTCCCTCCGAGATTTATGTTTGTCTCCAAAAGCAAAAAAACACACATTGTAACTGGTATTGGGCCATACAAACAAATGCTGGCACTTACCCTCTTGAAAAAAAAGTCTGGAGACTCCTGGGTAAACAAGCATAACAATATCCCCCCCCTACATTCGCAGAATAACAACATGTTCATTACACGGTGACTGGTTTACTTTGTTGTGAATATTAATCGAGGAAAACCTCTATTATTTTTTTACCAAAACAATGTACAGTCATATACATGTCAAAGATCTACGTTTGTATAACTGGCTTGTGCGCACTATCAGTCACATCTGAAATGCAAAAATGAAAAAAACTTGACTGAATTACCTCACCCCCTGCCCTTTCGTGACCCTAACGTGACCTCTGTTACAGTCGCTCATTCCTCGGCTATTGCGCACCTCCTGCCATCTAAATCACTCGATTTCTATTTACGCTTTTTGAACTACGCCAAGCACCTCGAGCTCAGTCAAGGCGCACTCTAAATATAAAACAAGTCGAGATGAAGTTGTTCGAATTCAAGTAAACTTAAAGTAAAAACTACATTTTGTGCGTCGCGTAGCCGCGCGGATTCTCACCGAGGATTTGCAGACGATGCTGCGGGGTTTAGGGATGGGCTTGCTGGCCTTGGGGCCCTCGGACACATCCCCTCCACCGCTGCCTCCGCCACCTCCGCCCTTGGCTTTGCGTCCCTGCAGCGCCAGCTGGTAGGCCACCTCGAAGGCCTGGCCCAAGGTCAGGATGATTTCGTACGCCAAATTCTGCAGCAGGAAACACCGTCACGGCCATAAAAACTCATAAATAAACGTTTTTATTTTACCAGGTAAGACCCACTGAGCTATGCAGCTCTTTTTCAGAAGCGATTTGGCCACAAATGATAGCTCAACTAAAGTGGCTTATCACGTGGAAATTAATACCAGACAAATACTGTAAAAGCATGTTTCTACACGAGAAGGGAAAAACCGTAGGACCCGGAAAAAAATCCACGCAACTACAGGGAGAATATGCAAACTCGTCAGGGTTGGGATCGAACCTAATACGACTTCCTGTATGCCAGGCGAGTTAATGAACATCTTTCCACCATGGCACCTCCGGTTTGCATAAGCTGTGGCACCATCTTCCAAAAAACGTGCCCAACACTGACGCATTGTTTAAAGTTGATACTTCGTGAGCGTGTGAGCTTCTGCGATTCAATGAATGGGGTTTTCTGGTCTAGGCACATAGCAATGAATAAATCATGAATACACAGGAAGTACATCTCTCTGTGTAATTTTTGTTGTTAGGTCCACTGGACTATGGGCCTTCTGGACCAATGTTTTCGACTGAAGCTTGTTCATTCATTCATTCGTATCCTCTACTTGTCAACCAAGTGAAAACCAATTAAGAACAAAAGTCTCGTTGTCAACGGGGATGTGTGTTACAAAGGCAGGAATACAGTCAATTGCACGACAATGAGCCTTTAATATAAACATTTAAAAGCAACTCCAAAGCATACCAAATCATGTGTATATACTTAAAACAAACTAAAATAACACAAAATAAAAAGCAACAATTGTTGATCAAAGCAAATTTACACAATTTTCCACGCGCAGTTTCCAGTTTGTTGTAAGCGACCCAGGATGCCGGGTTGTTCCTGGTACGTAAAAGCCAAACTTAGCATTCACTCTCGGCGTCTAACTGTTTTATGTTGCGAGGGTTTGAAGCCGGTACAAGCAAACCAGATAAACTTAAAGTCAGATCTCGATCCCTTGATGTTATAATCAACTCCGAGCACTGTAAGTCGCTCCGTCGAGACAGTGAAAGGTAACCAGATTGAGAGCAGAAGATAAAGTGATGAACAGTGGCCCGAGTTTGGTTGTGCTATGAGCAGATTTATAAACAACATCAGCATAATCAATTATGGACATGGCGATGGATAATGAGAAACATGATTCTTTTTCATGAAGCCACAAATGTATATTTTATTTATTTGTAAGATTTTGTACGTGTACTGAAATTCCATGGATTTTTTTGTTTGTTTACTTTACGTGCTAAATGTGTCGAAGGTTACCATCAGAAAATGCTTTTACTGTCGAAAAAAATGTGTTCGTCATATTGTTGGCACCTTTATATATATAAACCCAGCCTACTCGCCTTGTAAAAGTTCAGTTCGCATTCCGCGAGAGAGACACGTGCTCGCAGCTCGCGTGCGTACAGTCACGGTGCGAGGGGGGGGGGGCAGCACTCACCACGTCAAAGGCGCTGAATACGTGGCAGTAGTGGTAGCTGGTTTTGAGGTCTTTGGTGATGTACGCAAAGGTGCACAGATCCTCTGGGTCCTGAGCTGCACACGAGATATTCCGTATCTCGTGCTCGGCTATCGTGTTCTGCAGAAAGAGGATTCGGGCGAAGGGGACCAAGGGAGGAGAAGGGCGGATTATCGGTGGGCTCGACAAAGCGGAATACTCCGAGTGGGATGGAAGCTAAATGAGAAGTCCTTGTGGCGAGGGGGGGCAAAGGTGACACCAGCTACACTGCATCACCTCTACAACGACCGAGCCCGTCCAAGATGCACGACATCTCCGATCCAAAAAACGTTGGTGCCTCAAGTACAAAGGAATAACAGTTGCTGCCACTCGAGAATGGAGGTATTTAGGTACCCGTTGCACTCTTGATGCTCCTGTACCACTGCAGACCCCACCTACAGCACTCCCCCCGTTACTGTCTCGGTCTCCCATTCTACATTTGCACGGTGTGAACGCGAATAATAAAAAAACAGCTGATCCTCACCGAGCCCTCGACGACGAGTAAGCCACGTCTTAGATGCGCACATCGAGCACGGCGCACATTGCCTCAGCCCGCTGCACCACCCACGACCTCTCCACAAACTCGAGCGCCCCCCTTAATTTATTACTAAAACCCGCCACCGGTGCCCAATGCTCCTTTGCCATAACCAGCCCCACCACCTGTACCTCCACGCCACCTCAACACGCTCATACCCACCTTGTTGGAGGCATCGATGAATTTGACTCCTTTGTATGTGATCGAGAGGGTTATGGTTGGGATCTTCTTCATGTCCTCCGTCGACTTCTGCGAACGCGGCACATCGCGGGGGATATTCAAGTCCGTGTGAAACAGAAGGGCTTCTTTAACGCTCAGTACAAATACTTTCTGAACTCGTAATCGGCGGTGTCGACGTATCAAAAAGGGGGGCAATGTGCACGCACCCTCATCTTGGCGCACGCCTCGTGTGTGGAATCCGTTCCACGAAGGTCCTTCACCAACATAGATCCCATGTACTGTGGGGCAACCAACGAGCTCCCGATTAAACCACAAAACAATCACACATCGCCTGCTGCACACCAACAAAAACACAGGCCGCTGCTTAGCATTCACCGCGTGTCGATCACAGAGTTGAGTAACCACCGCATCATGAACCAACAACCATCGTTATACCAAGCCCAGTTAACATTTTACTGACGAGCATTTGTTACGTGAACTTGCAAACGCTTAGTTATACGCACACAAATACGCGTTATGCTCGCATGCACGCGGAAATACACGCGCGCTTGCACAAACGCACATGGGTGCACACACACAAAACACGTGCGTGCACACACATTATGCATGCGCGCACTCAAACACAAACAAAAAGATCCCCCGTGTAGGCTTAACAGACCATTGGGGCAAGTGCTGTTATGTTTACATGTTCAACTTCTTCTGCACTGTACGTAGTAGCCAACTTTACCAATGAAGGCCGGCACGGTCCACGAGACGTTGGCAGGCCAGCAACACGCCCAGCCACCTTTGTCTCCCCCAGTGGCGATGTTTACACACCGTACCAGGTACTCATTTGATGCATAGTCAACCTAAAAGAGGCCCAAGACCGGTTCCGATAACCTTCACTGGTCTTGGGCATGAGCAGGAATTTAACTCAACTCGCCAGGTTCGGAGCGCAGCGCGCTAACACTCCCCGACTTACAAATACAAAGATCCCCCGTATAGCCTGAACAGACTGTTGGGGCAAGTGCTGTTAGCGAGAAGCGCCTATGAAGGCCGGCACGGCACACGAGGGGATGGGTGGCCAATAGCATGCCCGGCCGCCTTTGTCTTCCCATTAGTGATGTTTACACCCCACATCAGATACTAATTCGAGGCCGAGTCAACACACACAAACAAACGCACACTGAGCTTGAACTCACAAACAAACACACGGGAGTGGTGGGGGGGAGAGGCTTGAACTCTCACACGCACGCAACACACGCAGACAACAACGACACAGAGGGCTTATTTGGCACTTGCACTCACAAAGGCCTCGTAGTTGCAGGAGCGCAGGATCAGCTGGTCAGGCTGATGCTGCCACTGCTGCACAGGGGCAGACGTAGTCGCCTCGTGTGGGGGCCGCAGCACCAGCGGGGGCTCGGAGCACTCGTCCTGAGGGGGGGCACACAGTGTTGAGAAGGGACGGGGGGGGGTCCACCACCAATACCAACAGCTGCCATTCGCCACTAAGCGACAGTGACATCACCACGGTGCCTGTGCCAGGCCAGGGCCACTTTGAGGCTGTCACGTGAGGTGTCGAAAGCTCGCCGCTGACAGGAGGTCACGGGACAGACCCAGGTGGTGCCGTGAGTGGACTGACTGACCTAGGGTTGCCACAGTGGCGAGATGTTATCTCCCTCGCCTGGTATGCAAGAGGTCGTGGGTGTGATCCCGAGCATGGCGCCTGTATATTTGTATATTGCGTGTTCTTCCCGTGTTGGCGAGGATTTTTCTCCGTGTCCTCCGGTTTTTCCCCTCTGCATTAGAAACATGCATTTAGCGTATTTGGCTGCTATAAATTTCCACGTGATAAGCCACTTTGTTGAGTTATTATTTGTGATAGCCAGGTCGCTTCCGAAAAAGAGCTATATTGCTCAGTGGGCCTTCCTGGTAGAAAACAATTAATTAGACTGAGATTACTGGTAGAGGCAGAAGCACTGGCAAGAGGCACTCAAACCCACTGCCATCAACCACGTTTGTGCTCACGACGAACGGTGAGACAAAATACAAATCCAACGCCAAGAGACCGGCACGCCCAACGATAATAATATCACCGCAACTTCCCACAACCCACTTCCTTCTGAAAGATCCTGCAGTGACTTTCAAAGTCATAACCCAACTTCCAAGGTCTACTCGCATAGCATCCCACCATCCGGCTCTCAATATATTCAAACAGGGGTACAGTATTCATCGATAAGACGCCACACCAATGCTTGTCCCAGTCACCCGCCCTCCCTCCGTTAAATCTACAAAATCCTTATTCCCATGTTCTATGGCAACCGTTCGTGCTGCTCACGCTTTTCTGCCATGAAACCGCCAGCAGACTCTGCAGGCACCTGTACTCGTAGGTCAAAATCTTATCTCCGTTCCTAGGCGCCGTGTTACGTGAACGCAGAATCAGAATAATGAATTGCACTGGGGGGTATCTGACGAGCTATAAAGCTACTTTTTCACCCACGTCCAGTACACACCGTCACGGTGTACAAATCGGCCTCGTCCCCGCGTGCAAGCGCACACGGCTGTCTTACGAGTTGGTTGCCGAGCCGGGACTTGTGCGCCGGGTCCTCGTAGCGCTCTCCCAGGGAAGCCAGGATCCGCTTGCGGTGGCCTGTGAGCCCGATCTTCAACACCTGGCAGCACAACCACAACGCGCACGTACGTACGTATGTATAGTTTAACACGTAGGCTTTCGCGACCAATATCATCCATAATACAGGTTTTTTTAGGTTAGATCGCGTAAATGTGTCGTTAAACCTGCCACTACCCGACACAGGCAATTAGTAAGGTTTGTCACGTAAACAGAACATGCCAATTCATTACTAGTACAGCGCACCGGTGTGTTGGAGAGCAAATCCACAACATTTACAATCTGGCTGCTGCCTGATGATGCCGGTTGTAATTACTGGCGAAACGTCGTACTCAGGATTGTAAATGTTGTGAAGGACGACAAACTAAACACAAAAAGCAGTTTTAAAGAAATTAGTTTTCAATTTAGATTTAAAAGTGGCTTCCTAATATCGGAAGGTAGAGCGTTCTAAACGGCCGCAGCACATCTGAAGCCGCACGATGCAGTGACCGTAACATAATTAGACGAGTAGCGATGCATCGATTAAAGAATTAAACGTTAATTATTACACCCATGGTATGCACATTCAACTGTGCGTGAGAATTATTCCATTCACGCAAGTCAGTGCAACATTAGCACAACAGCACCATCTACTGCTTGAGTTAAGGAAGGACGGGATAGGATGGGTTGTGCCAAATCGAGATCCCCAGGCCACAATAACATTCTAATTAACAAAGGCATGCCCCTACAGCTCAATTCCAATGGCATTTTGCCAGTGGTCATTGAAGCACTGTCTACACGTGAAACAACGTACGTTGACAAGCTCAATTTCCCAGAGCTTTCGAACTTGGTCCATCGAGCTGTATCCATTCATGGTGAAGTTCTTGAGGTATTCGGACAGATCCAGCGAGTCCAGCCACTCTGCCACAGACAGGTCGGAACCTGCTCGCCGCACCTGCACCACCACCGTCACAAATAAGCGTCCAGCCTCCTCGCGTACGTCTCGACGCGTTACCGCTCGTCCTCTGCGACCGTAGCAATGTGCGAGCGTCCAACCAGCACTCAGAGCCACATCGCGACGTCGCCGTCAACCCTCCACACCACACGTACGTAGCCGATCGTGCGTATCAGCACCCGCCATCCACGCCACCATCACAATTTGGCGGCTACCCTGCGCAATCCTCCCGAGCATCAAACGTGCGTTTACAACGCGTGGCAGATGAACCAAATGCTGCGAACAAAAATAACTCAAATCTCATGTCAGAGAGCAAATCCGGTGTTGTTCCTCCCAGGCTCTCTTGCCGGAGAGCACGATGAGAGTAAAGCCAACGCGCGCACACGGAGACAATAAAATGCAGCCAATGTAGGAATTCCTCTCAGGAGTGCTGAAAATATATTGCGGGTGAATACCGAGCCGTGCCACAGCATGGCTTCATTCCTTTCCGCACCGCTGCGGCTGCAAACACGTCCGTCGCCCGCGTTATCAGCAAATCCTTGGCAACATCGTTGGACCACGACGACTGTTGTGCATCTCTTTCCAGCGAACAATACAATCTTGTACTCTCGTATGAAAGAAGCATTTCCGCGGACAAGCAGAGAGGGTTGGGCGGGGTACCTTGGGCAGCAGTCGAGCAGCATTGAGGACCTTCTGCCGGTGCCCCGAGTTTAGGATCCCAATCTCCAGCAGGTCCTGATCTTCCATCGCATTACCCTAGACGCAGATGTGTTCAAGCCCAACAACAAAACAAAACGATTTCATGTCTCAGCCACGGCGAAACCATCACAGACGTCAGCGATGTAGCCAGCGCCTGCTTAAGTTGGTGTGGCAAATGAGGTTGTGGGAATGCCAGTGCCATACCCAGAGTCCTTCGCCTCCACAGTGCCGATGTAAACACTGCACAAGGTGCACATTTCAGGCGAAGTAAACCAAGAGGAAGGCCCAGAGTTCGCATATCGATAGCCAGTGGTTTCCACGGCCGATATTCTAACACAGCTTTTTGGGACTGCAGCACCATATGCAAAACTTCACCGCACTACCACTCCCAACATGCACAGGCATGCACGTAGATGAGCACGATGTAAACACGCAAACAAAAGTGCGCGAGAGTAGATCTGGAGCGCACAGAAACACGATGTTCTGCACTGCTGAAATATTTCACAAAAAAACTGGAGAATGTTGTAGAGGGTGTAGACGGACGTGTTAGCGCCATGCCTAGACTATCACAGTGACCCACGTCACAGCCGATCGCAGATTGGATGGTGTCAGCCAGGCAGAAATCAGGCGGCTGGTCTTACTAAGCCATTTTTAAGGATAAACGGTCATTCGGTAAATTCAGACTGCTATGAGAATGTCTCTCTAATCTCACATGTGTGCGAGCGCTGGCAGGCCATGTCAAACGGGAGTAGCGCCGCAATTGTTCACAGACGACTTTACGGCAAGTACCTTTATGGGTGCGAGGTTAGGGTGTTTACCAAGGCTTCCAATGCTGTTACTAAACGTACACTGTTACGCAACGCCTCGATATTCAAGGGAAAAAAAAGGCGCTCAGCCAGATGTGGGGTATGACCTGCAGCGATCATGGATTATTTCATTTACAAAGTGGTTTAAAGGATCCATTTTGCTTTATCCTTTTTTTAAAGTTACTAATATAAACAAAAAGTGTGACACTTTATTGTTAGTGGTGCATTGGCACATAACAAAAACTCGACGCACATATCAATTACACACACTGGCGGATCAAAATGAATAAATATATAATAGGTGATGTTTCAGGCAATAGCCCTTCTTACTAAAGGAGGGCCGTTCATAACAGAAGAAAGGTTATTTCGCAAAGCATCACCAAGTAAATATTCCTTCCCTTTTAGGGAAGCGTTAATTGACGGACATGTTATTAATATATGCATCTTGCGGTCCATATTATTGTGGAAGAAAGCAGATGAGAGGATGAACACTGCTCTTGTCAAACATTATCACATATGGGTTCTTTCGTATCTCTCAAACAGGTTAAATGTGGTTAGTGATTTGAACATTCATCCAGCTGATGGTGATTGGCTGGATAATGAGAACACTCTTTTACCATCAACCTAATTTTTCCACACGTAAACAAGAAAAGAGAAGAGCTGAAATCATTGACAGTTGCGGTCGTGCAATAAACACACATTCCGACAGAATATTCAGACAATATGCATACATATGTAATATTATCAATACAATATATTTCACAGCTATTAAATATAGCCAACAATCTTGCTGTTTATATCCTTCAAAACTGGCGTCAATAGACAATCAACATGACAACAAACTGCCATAGAAATGTCCTTCCTGCGCTACGCCCCAGCAACAAGGGGCAGTGATACACGTTGGGGAGAACGTGTGGCCGAAACCACAGTGAAAGCTACACTGACGAGAAATATTTCAAGATCATCCAGAGGCAAAACTACGCAGCGTTCATAAATGGGCTAGACGATTCTCAAATATGGCCGTCGGTAAACTCCCACCTCAAACCCATGTGCAGCCCCATCCAATGGGAATGGCTGCACTGGCGTCAGATGACACATTAATGCAAACGCCAATGGCTGCAATGAGTGAAAAATCGGGCAACTGCTGCAGCCTGAAAGCAGCCTTCTGAGGCAGCCTGCCCTTAGCATAAGCGGTGAATGTACGCAATGTTCATCCAGCAGGTATATGCTCTCCTTGATCTGACTCAAATGCTCTCGCGTGTAAGGGGCCATTCTGGCAACATGACAAAATCAATGCACAAACTCGCAACAAACTGCAATAGAGGGTACACGGATGTAAATTTTGCAGAGCACCGTGCATTTGTGGTTCATTGCATTGCACGCACTAATTCACGCTCTGCGAGATACAAACGGGGAGCATCTCTCCATTATCTGCAAGCAAATAGAAAATACTAAAACTGTCCAATATGGTAATGGGAGTTGCTGTTGTTATTGTTGCTGCATTTCCATCACCGATGTTTATTTTATTCCTTCGAATATTTCATCTGGGCATCTCCCTCGAGACAGAACACCTAATTTTGCAAGGGCGTCCCAGTGCATCAGCGGACACCTGCACAGAATGCGCGCGAAATTGCTAGACCTCACTGCAATAGCATGAGTGCAGATACGGGGATTTCACAAGGGCTCTGCACTCAGATATGAATTGCATCACATTGCAATGCAAACGCATTTGGAGTGGTTATCTGTCCTTGAAACATCCCAGAAAGGGCATGTCGTGTGTGCATTAGTGTGTGTGTGTGTGCATGGGGAGCAGTAGTGCAGTGGTTAGCGCACTGTCCCGCTCACGGCCAACACCAGTGAGGTCGACTCGACCTCAAACGAGTACCGGTGCGATGTGTAAACATCGCCACTCGGGAGACAAAGGCGTGGTGCCGGCCTTAATAGACGCTCACTAATAGCAATTGTCCCAAAAACATGTTGAAGGTTATATGGGGGGGGGCGTTGTCTTTGTGCGTGTGCGTGAGGCTGGACAAAGGTTCTAAACGACGAAGGGTCACCCTGAAGCACAGATACGCGAGCGCTTGCAGGGTGCTCACTCGGCACGCTGCATCCCATTACGCGACACCACCGTCCCCATGGCAACGCAGCCTCGTTGCACTGCAGCGCGAATGACGGCAATGGCAACCCACCGCGCTGCAATAATCCATCAGCTGGGAGGCACGGCTAACACACAAGGACCCCCCCCCCCCTTCAGCAAAACCACATCCATGGGACCCTATTTCCCAGTATTAAGAATATATGTAGACCCTTTCTCCCAGTATTAAGATCATATATATAGAAAAATATATTAAAAAGCGGAATGCTTTCTGTAATAAAACACAGGCGTTAAGATGTTAACGCACCAATTAGACAGCTATTACAAGGCATCAAGTCTGCATTAACCACACATGCTTGTGCTACAACGTGAACACACATACACTTTGATAACATATCCATTGTGCTAGTGCTATTCTCTGGGAAAGGAAAATTAATACACAAAGCTGCTGGTTTGTTAAATATCTTTGTAAATTTGCCATAAAAAAATGCTGCACCAAAAAAAACGAAAATGCACAGCCATAGGATCCCCTAGCATCCGCCCTGGGCTCTCCCTGCCGCCACACGGCAGCGCGTGCAGCGTCACACTCAGTGCCCAACCTCCAGGGGTCACAGGAGCACTCGCCGCCAGCAGCAGCAGCAGCAGCAGCCAATGACTGCAAAAGCTCTCCCAGCTGATCCCTTGCAGCACAGCGAATGACTTAGATACAGATGACGGCGAAATCTGGAAGTGAGCCCGTTTCAGTAGCTGTCAGGATTAGGATAATCCGTGACATTTTTTTTTTAAGATGCCAGAATATTGAGCACGATGGCATTTTAAGCAAAGTGCATTTCCCATCACGAGTAGAATATTTGTTACACATATGCAATATGCATTGCATGTCAACGCAGAAGAGAGTATACTGTAGGTGCACACAGGATGTGTGCGTGTGTGTGCGTGTGGGTCACCCACCACAAAGTTGAGGTCATCGTAGCCATTTGCAAGCAGCTGTGCCTCATACTGGGGCAGTCCAAGCGCGTCCAACCACTGGCCCACACTGCTTCGCCCCCCTGCGCCACCGGCACCCCCTGCATAGGGCACACGCCGGTACGCGCCGTCCATGCGATAGCATTGGCACTCCGCTGGCGACAACTGACAGTGCCACATCCCCGCCTATGGCTTGCACGCACACTCACACGCGCACACTCGCAGTCGCACGCGCGCACACGCGCAAGAGCTCCGACGATGCACGCCCCTCTCTTCCTTCCGATCTCCCGGTTTTTACCCCCCCCCACCCACCACCTCCACTCCCTTTCTCCAGCTGCTGGACCGTTCCCTCCTTAAGGGTCACCGCCGTTTGCCGCAACGACGCCGCTGGGGACGACACTGCTACCGACGTTGTCGCACCGCATCGCTACGTTTCGAAGGCAGAAACGAACGGCGCGCGCGTTGTCGCTGGGTCTGCGATTGCCGGGGCGATGTCATGAGAACGCTCGCTCGCTCCTGCCTGCCTGCCTGCCTTCCCGCCTGCCTGCGCAGAGTGTTCCCGCACGTGTGTGCGATGCTGCGCGTGATGCCGCGCGGCTGGACCGCGCGGGGCGCACGCGAGAGGCTGGGCGTGCGCGCGCACGCACAACAGACATTACGCTCCTGCGCGCGTCAGCGTGCGGCGCCGCGTTTATGTATGCGTGCGCGACAACGTTACGCGCGTGTGCGTTGAAGGATAAATATAGAGCGTGTGTCACGGTGTGCTCCAAGCCCCCTCATTTTGACGCCACACTAAATCCATCCACGACTTAAGCAAACTTCAAATTACTACTCATTAATACCTTGCAGAGACTGTAGGCACGGCTCATAAAGGCACAGGCAAAAAAATATTTGGCATCTCATTGGGCTCTTACATGGTGAAATGAATGTAAGACAAAGATAAGTTTTTTTCGTAACGGTATTCATCATTACAGTTGTCCATCGTTTGTCGTATTTTCCCTTAGCCCAAATTTTCACCAACCTTGGAGTACCAGCAGTTTGTTTGTATATTCTATATAACGGTTTTATATTCAGATTAAGGTAACAACATTTTTTTAATCACCCAACTGTTTAATAATATGGAAAGCACAGTGTTTATAGCGTGTGACATTCAGTCACACAGTTGCCAGTTCACATCCCGGTCAGGGGTCAACTCTGCCCTTCATCTATTTGGTGCCATAAAGTGAGTTGCTTTTAGTGGGAGATTAACAGTCATTGCATTTTGTAAATTCACGCCTGCTATAGGAATGTGGAATTCCATGTTTGACTCCGTGAACAAAATGTCCTGCATAGGTATTTTAAAACATTTATAGGCGACATGAACACGTGGCAATAGAATGTACGTCTACAACCATATAACTTTCATACATTCGTCACGCAATGCGATGCACGTTAGGAGATGCAGGGCAATCTGAGGATGTTGACACCACAACTCCTGCAACTCTGCCCTCCGACCCCGGACCAAAAGAACTAAAATTGTATCACCGAGTAGCCAACCAAGAGGTGATACAAGGAATCCTTTGCAAAAACAATAAGGTCTTGAGATATCACGACCAAACTGAAGAATTGAGGGGCATACAGAAGATTCGAATAAAATAAGAGAGTACCAAAAAAAATTCACATTTAGACGATTAGCACGTTTGGCTTCGTATGGTGCCAAAGAAGTTCAACATGCATACATACAACCAAAAGCATATGCACATAATCCCAACCAACCATGAGATGTATCCTGTGCGGTAATATGAAATATGCACAAATATGGGGCAGTGTGTGTGTGTTGTCTGTGTGTGTGCATACATACAAGCATACGTGCGTAGGCCAGTGTACGGTCATGCCTGTTACTGCGTGTGTGTATTACCAATATATCTCTACTTATAGCAACTGTAACCTACATTGTAGGGTACCAGCCCAGGGGGAGACTTGCCTGAATGACTAATGTTCCTTGGGACAGTTTCCTTGGTGATGCCGGCATCTATTGAGCTCATAATGTTGTCAATCTGTAGGGAAAAAAGGGGCATTTAAGAAGATGGAGATTGAATAAGAGGCAAGGTGAAAGTACATGATTGAGCAACATGAATGCAAGGTCAGTTGTATCATATGCACACCAGGTTAAATTCCATTATTGTATGCACACAAGCTTTTTGTCATCTGCTCACGGATTGTCAATGTGCACGGTACCGTAATGTCAATTAGTGCTGCTGTTATCAGTTAGCACACAAACTGTAATTGTTCTCAGCGCATTATTTAATCGGTATAATGTAAGCAGCGTTGTATTCATAGTGGTGACCGTATGGGATGCTGTGCTGCACTTTACGTACCAGCCAGTCTATTTTTTGTGAACAATAATGACAATTTGTTTTGCGCCGAAACGTGGCAAAGCCATTGCAAATACCGACACACAACCATTAATGGTGTGATTATCATCAACCACATAACCACCGCATTATCCAAATTTCGCAATAACTCTCTGTACAGACAACCGTGTTTGATTTTGACACAAGTGCAAATTATGATTGTTAAATGGGAAAGCCGAGTGTTAATAGCTTGTTGCTCTACGCCTTCTAATTAGCGGAAGTAAAACATCTTGCAATCATGCCTTAACAACGGCGAGCACATTCATGTTAGCAGTCCAAAAATCCCCCCTGTGAAAAGCAACGCATCACATTCATAATAAATAAATTCATCATATTCTGTTCAAAGGATCGCAAACCTGCAAATTACTGTGTGCATGTTTGATGTGGTTTAAAGCAGTGTTACTATGTAAATGTATTTTTTTATGACTGGTAGGAACAGGACCAGAATTGGGAAGCATATTTCCTAAAATCGCGAGATCATTTCTATTATATTCTTGGTTCTTTCGGTAAAGTCACGTAGAAGGGAAACAATAAAATAATAAAAATATAAAACAATAAAATTCTCACGACGTTTAGACTGCAACACAAGCAATCATCATCAGGTGTGAAAACCACAGCAAGAAAATTTGAAAAAAGTTGCGTTTTTTTTTAACGTTAGCACCACGGAGAGCGATTTGGCAGTTATTCAGATGGACGAGTCCATCTATGTTCGGAAAAGAGGAGGGGGGAGACAAAAATAATGGATGCGGTCTGAAAGCCACCGTAAGCGTGAACAATCAATTAAGACCCGAAATGGTTTATCAAATCCTTCCAATGCTTGCTAGGCCAGAATCCATCTTCTCGATTGAAATTGTCTGTGTTTGTATATGTGGATAGCCTCATGAACGAATCTCTCATGGTAGCCAGATGGCTTGCAAAGAACCTCATTCTATTATTCAAGCCTTCGTGCGGATAAGAGGAGTGACCCAGATTCTGTAAGTGGTGAAAAATACATCGATTTCTTAGTCTTTCCATGGCTATGATGAAGTGACATCATCCTATTACCTGCGTTACTTTTAAAATTTACCACCTGGATAAACTAAACCATGCACAAAAAAACAGGTAATATGTTCTGCCAATTACACAGCCCCTATCATATTGGATAAGAAGAGTTGTACTGAATTACTAATATTTTTTTTAAGTTGTATTTCTAACATATATTTGAAAAGGATGAAAACTGTCAGTAATAAGAAGACGGCAGCCCACTGAGGTGAAAAAAAGCTTCTCTTGAAAGAAATACCTGTGAAAAATACATGGTACAAAGGTAAGCAAGAATGTGTCAAAGCAGACAAGTAACACATTAAATATTTACACCAAAAATACATTCACGTGTGAGGAATACCCGAAACCTGGGCTCTAATTTTCAAATGTTAATAATATCGTTGAGATGCCTCTCAGGTAGAACAGATTTTTTCGTGGTGCCAAAGGTTTAAAAGCTGATGGGCGAGTCAGCAAAATGTTACGATAACGTGAAAGCAGATTCCTGACACAGTTGGACACGTGTTCCAAAGAATTCCACGCCTTTTGGCATTTAGGCATTAAAACGCCCATGGGAGACACACGAACGCCCCAGCAGAGGAACGTCAAGGAAAGAAAGGGTAAAAGCTTAATTAACTTAACACTCATTATTTCTTATGGAGCATAAAGTGAGGGTTTAACCTTGAACCACCCTTAAAGGCACAGGCAATTCAAATATAATTACGAATTCACACCCCCGCATGGATACGATTTAGTACTTCTTCGCGGTGGGAGTACAACACAAAATGGAGGAGGCAGTTTTACACCAACATTACGGACAGATTTCATCTTTAGGGCCACCGAGATTTGGGTGGCATGTAAATTTAAACATCTTGGTTCCTGCTGTCCTCGGCTCAGCATGTCCCTCGTACGATTCACCACAGATTTTTTTGGGTTAGGTCATAATGATCCCGCCAAAATTAGTCATTAAGAAGCCTCCGCCACACAAAACAGCCAAACAAATTAATCGTCACGTGTACAAGCCTTCATAATAAAGGTTTTTGGGTTAGATCGCGTTATTTATAAATGTGTCGTAACCCTCCACCACCCGACACAGCCAATCGGCAAAAAAAGTGTCACGTTGACAAAAGACAAATAGTTAACTACTTTAGCCCACCGGTGTGTTGAAGAGTGAATCCACAACATTTACAGTTTGAGTACGACGTTTCGCTGGTAATTACATCCAGCATCATCGGGCAATTCGCCAGAATGGTAAAGCCCTCGCTTGCTCCCGGTCTTAAATAGAGCAGCAGGGTGACGCCATCATTTAACTCATTTCAGGTGCAGTGATTTGAGGCGGAGGGGGGGTATTGTAATTACATAATCGATTGGTAATCAGTCAATGGTTATGATTAGTAATGAGTTGTAGATTAGTAATGAGTTGTAGATTAGTAATTAGTTGTAGATTAGTAATTAGTTGTAATGTGTGTTATTGTGAATAATATTGGTCGCGAAAGCCTACGTGTTAAACTGACGTGAACAAGCGTTTAACACTCCAATGATTAAAGTCTGCAGGTCGCCGGGAAGTTTAAACACGATTCTCACAAACAGATTTAACGATTCGTCAAACATCATCAGGTCAACATTCAGGAAGTCAGAATGATAAATCCAGAAAGTCATAATCTGACAAAAGAACTTGAGCGTAGAGATCACGGAACTCAAAATGCAAGCCACACTTTTAACTACATATGCTTAATCAGAATTTGCAGGATGCAAATATTTTTTTATGGATTTGTTCCTTGACCTAAAAGTGTATCAAAGCACCTTCAGGAGTTTGTAAGATTGGAATTCATGTTGAAAGAGAATATTCCTGAAAGTTGAAAGACAAACTATGTCTCACATGATGATGTTAAACTTGAACGATTACTAAATTAGCATCAACAGCAAGAGCAGCAAAACAGCAGCAAAAGCAAATTCAATAGCAGCAGCCACAGAAATGACATGACCATCAACAGCGCAGCAGCAACCATAGCAAGGGGTGAAGGAGATATTTTAGGCCAAGGCAGGTTTCGGGAGCAAGTCGGGGAGCTGGTCACCATGAGCTCCGCTATACAGACACCACCATGTGGTGGTGAATCTGATGAATTATATATTGATTATATTAATTGGAAGAAAAAAAATACATTCATTCATTTAATGTTTTTTTTATTAACTTTTTTATTTCAGCACTGCCACCCCCCGTCCAGCCACCCACCCCTACTCCCCTCCAGAAGTTTCTATAGCTGCCTCTGGCCCCCGTATTGCACCAATTTCACGATTGCGGCAGCAGTTTGGACACCGATGCACATAATGGCAATAATAGCCGCGATTGAAAAACACAATAGCTCTCCACGCACCCAGGCACCAGCGAAGGCTGTGGAGCTGAAATTGCCTCCCCTCTCAACCAATTAAAAACAAACAAAACACGAATGGTACGTTCTGCGGCTATGACGTCACACTCTGGCAATAACTCGCTTGCATCATCAGCCAATCAGTAAGGTAATTCCAGAGAAAACACCAACAGCACACCTCGGGACTAACTGAACACCATGAAATGCTCGGTGTTATAACCGTAGCTGGAAGGGTGGATTCCTAGTGTAGCGGTGTCAGCGTGTGTTAGCTTCGCAAGGTTCAGAGGTGAGCACTCCAAAAATGTTACACTATAGCACAGACACCGCCACTTTACACTGGGTACCCTGCCAAAGCCGGTGGCACGGTCTAAAGGCCAACACCAGCCAGATGCAAATTAAATGTGACTCACGGCAGGAAGCGCTGGTCAACCAAAGCCAGTTTCCATGGGAGGCCTTGGTTGTCAAGCCTATAACGCTTGATGGAAGAGTGAGTCTTGTGCAGATTTTAGGAGTTGGTACGGAACCTGCTGAAGCCCAGGAAGTGGAGACTGTCCTCATGGAGTTGGCCCTAAAAGACTCCAGTGCTTGCTCATGTCTTAGGTCATAACAAAACTGGGATTGCATTCGCAGATCTACAGACTGGTCTACCATGGGTGTGGGGGGAAAAAACATAGCCAGGGGCCCTTAAGGTCGACAGAGCTCACCATGGAAAAAAAACAAAATAGGCTCTTTGGAGAAATCAATAAAATTGTGCTACTCATCCCAGTAATAATACAATGTCAGTCTGATGATGTGCATTATTTGAACGTGCAACGTCATCACTGTGTGATAAACGGTCCTGTGTTGTTTGTTTTAAATCGGGGGGAGGAAGCCAGAGTGTACAGCCCATGTAGCGTGTATCAGTGCATGGCACAAGCGCCGTGATGACGCCACCGCCACTTCGTGGTGAATGGTCGTTGTCGTTGTTGTTCTCCACGTTCACCACTGCACATTTGCAGTTCAAATAAAACATTTTCTTCGTTAAACCCATGATTGCTAATGAATGCATCGGCGTCTGTTAAGTTACCACTATCATTTAGGTATTGTCTGTGGTAGTGCAGCAAACTACAAAGAAAAAATAATTATTGAATTTTAAGAATAGGGTTTAACAAAAGAATTGGGAACACGGAGAAAGAAGAGGGGCACGAGGATTGGTGACATGCAATGTGGGATGGCAATTATGGATGAGTGCAACATTTAATAAAGACCAGTGAATAAAGACGTGAGGTTACAGGATGAGACGAGATCAGATATGCAGTGGAAGGTCGAGTGGGGATGGGGTGACTGGTTAAACGAGTGAAAGAGTTGTCGTTTTATCTGGCTGTTGCGTGCATATAAAACAAGTGCATTCGATGCGTTCATCGTTGAATCCTTCTGTAGATCCGTAGGCCATGTATCTGAGATCCTGCTACGTAAATACCTTGACAAATTAGCCTCAAGGGAATAGAAAATGCATTCCACCACAATTAAGTACACACTAAAATAACTGCACGGCTCACTCGAGAGCAGACTGGTTTACGAGTCTAATTTTCAACCATCACTTAACAGTGTAAAACACAAATAGTTTATATGCACAGATTGCTTACCCATATAGCAAAAAGGCAACAATGCATCTTCCCCCTGATCATGTATGTGTTACTGTCCTCAACTGTCTGTGACCACCTCTTAACTCCTCTGCACGACTCCATCACCCTGTTCACAGCTGAAGGACATTCTTCCTCTGCATAGGATCGTCTCTTCCAGAGGGCTTCTTATTATTAAAGAAGCCCTCTTATTAAAGAAGCCCTCTTGTCTTACCTTCTCCCCATGACAACCTCTCCCCCTGACTTCTCCCTTCTTATTAAAATATGAATTCCCTCCACTTCCCCACAATCTAATAATAATAATGTCTTCCTTCGTGTAATTTTTTTTAGACAGTTGCTGAGCACAAGCCCAAAGGCCTAACAGGTCAACCAGTCGACACGCAATGAAGTCTTGAAATGAAGTCGCTTTTAGACGATGTATACATCTGTACAAGTAGCCACGCACTATGTACACGTGTGATATTTAACACAAGATTTAGCGGTGTAGACCTGAACTCTTTAACACACCCTAGATCTCCCCCAGGCATATATACACTGGCACTCCAGCCCAACTTATTGGCAATAAACAATAAATCACACCTATTAGATGCAATAAATATCATCATCCTATACAATTACCACATATATATGCAACACTACTGGTCCCCACATATCCCCAAAACATATAAGCACGAATATCATTCCAGCGTAATTTTTTGACAAAAACACGGACAACCAATTAGTCGCATTACAAATTTCAAGAATTAAGAGGTCAAACATATGTTAAACACGAACCCTAAAATACTTTAGACATTACCACTACTGTACCCTAGATACCGCACCAATCCATAACTGCAAGATTACACATGTACCTGACCAAAACACTTAAAGCGAACCAATTACATGGACAACAGGCTCAGTAGAGCACGTATTTAACAACTGTCCTACACACGTTTACGTGTGCATAACGAACAACGGAAAATACAACGATCACCGTGAAACGGTAAAACATGAAAACGGCATGCCGTGAAACGTGAAGACAATGCAAGGGGGAGGAACGGGGGGGGGGGTGGTGAGGGGGGTATTAACAAAAACAGAAACTGCTCGTCACGTACCTCCTCCCACTCTTTCGTAAATGAAGGGGTGCGCAGAGGTCCGCGCCGTCCACCCCCCCTGCGCGCGTTCCCCCACCCTCCTCCTCGCCTCTCGTACGACACCTCATCCTCCGAGCAGCTCTTTCCGTTGTGAGCGGCCGACTCGGATGGCATGACCAACAGGTCGGAGTCTGACTTGGAAATGTTCCGCGTCAACTCCAACTCAACGAGGCACCTGGGGGAGCGCGTCCGCCCCAGCGAGTGGAAGACACTCGTGCCCTCCGCGGTTGCCGCAGCCTGATTGACCAGCGTGTGAAACACAGTTTTGTACGTGACTGGGTGGCCGTTCTTGCACTTCCCCGAGGCGGTGTTGGCGTTAAGCTGATCGAGGCGGGCTGCTGTGCAAGGGCCAGAAGAAGCCGAGTCAGCGAGCGGCCGTGGCGACCCTCGACTGAGGTCCGCTTGAACCCGGGCTGTCTGGGAGGACCCGTGCAGGAGGCCCGCAAACTCGACGGGGAAGTTCGCCTGGTTGGAAACTGCCGCCTGCCTGGACAGACTGGACTGGCTGAGTGTGACAGGTACGTCCGAATGATTTGGCCACTCACGGCCTGGCAACGGCAGTGGCGGCTCCACAGGCCCTGAACAAGGGTTTTTTCCACCTACACGCGCCACACGCACAGGACAAGCCGGCCCGCAAGCCACCCACGGCAAGCCACCACGCACACAAGGCAACATGCGAGCCAACGTGCAAGGCAACAAAACAAACACAAAAAACACACAAGCTATCACAACACGGGCAATCATCAGAGAAGCCATAACCATAACAAGTCCCTCTTTATGAAGAAGAAGAAAAAAGAACAGCTGCAGCAATGGATGTTGAGCAACATGCAGCAGCTCAACTGGTCTCGGGGTCATATAGCCAGCCCTCACCTCTGCTGGGCTGGACGACCCCCTTTTCATCCCCAAGTGTCCCGGACCCCCCAAGTTCGTCTCCTTTTTTCTCCGTCACTCCAAACAGAGACTTTCTCTGCCTAGGCTGTAAATAGATAAAATACAAAAACATTACCTTAAAGCAGCTTAGCGCCGTTGACCGAAACCGCGGCTCTCAAAACAGGTGACGCGCGCAAGCTGTTGTCACACGCCGAGTATCTCTCACCTGCGGGCGGATGACGCTCTGAATGTTGTGCACAGCGGTGTCTGGAGACGGTGGCGAGTAGTCCGGGCTGGACAGATCCCTCAGCTCCTCTACGCGTAGACCGCCAGTGGGAGGACATCAATAAGAAAGGAACCAAGGGAGAAAAGGATTTAAAGCAATGGCTTAAATGGCAGACAAGCCCCTTGCGCAGTGTGCAAATGTCCTTGTTTAAAAATAACACGTTTTGTGACAATGTAATTCTCATGGCTGATTATAATGATAGCATGAAAATGATAAAGGATAACAATGATGATGAGATGTATTATCCTTGTGGACACAGGAAAACCCCACCGAGTCTCCACCTTTTCTCAGGACGGTCCTGCCAAGTTTTCGCAGTCGTGGGCGATGTACAAATTTGTAATCCAAATGTACTTATTTGCAGGTAATTTTTCAGCACTGGGATGTTTGACCGATACCATTTACATTGTACGTTTTTGTTGTTTTTGAGGCTACTGATACTGACAATGTGGTTTTTGCCACTTCTGCCATCTACAGCTTGCCGATACCACGGCTGCCACCATATCTGGCGCACTCCGCTGCACCAGTTCACTACGGTGCACCACACCACTACAACGATTCCACACTTGTTGGCAAATTCATCCTCCTATTCACGTTCATCCAGGGATAATGTTGTGGATAATAGCACGAGATTTCCCCTCATATGCAAATGTTCATGCTCGCAAACAGCACCCGCACCGCCCAACACCAACCGTATGAAACAACAGCGGTGTTTTATCAGAAAGTGATCATGACTCCTGCCAAAGAAATATGGGACTCTCTCCACTGGTTGAGCACTGGCAAAGGAGAGACACTCAGAATCTTAATTTTTATTTTAAACTGAAGGAGAAATCCGATGAGCTCTGAAGCTCTTTTTTTTACATATGTCCAGTAGGGGCATGACGTCAGAACAATTACAACAACGCAAAAAACACAACAGGAGTGCAAAGTAGAGGAAAGGCAAACAAATAACTTTAAAATATATATATACACGAATAAAAACGAAACACTGTCCCATGCGTTCTTGCTTTCTTGAACAAGGAGAGACTTTTAAAACGTCTTTGAACGGTGAGCAAGTGCGCGCCTGCCTGCAGGTGAATGCGGGAAGAGAAACCCCTCACCTTTACTGGGTGGCAAGTCCAGGGTGAGCGTGGGAAGGAGGCCTCGGGACTCTGCGCTTGCCAACAGTTCATACGGGTTCTCGTTCCCACCCCACCCAATGTCACAGCCCTCATCGCGTGCAGACGATCTCCTCTGTACAATCACGCACAAGAGACAAAGATCCCCCCGCCCCCCCCAGTATAGCCTTAACAGACTGTTGGGACAAGTGCTGTTAGCTAGCACCGATCAAGGATGGCAAACATGCACACACGCACAACGCAAAACCAGGTAATTGCCTCTTGGGAAGAATTTAATAAACAAGCCATTGCCCTTCGGTGCCATTCTTAAGCTGTGATTTCAGTACATTGAACAGAATTTAGCTAGGCTATAAGTGAAGCTTCTTATATATAGATAGACTGCAATGTGTTAATTACACAGTTGTTTAGATTTTCTGACAAAGCAATCTCATACACAAACCAGCACAAGTACAACATATTGATAACATAGTTCGAAATTTTAACTTAACCTATGGAAAAAAAGGTAAAATATGGCAACATATCTATGGGACCTTTTTGCCAGTATCAAAATGATGTTCACCTATTGGCATTCTCTGGTCTAACACTGGTGAGACAAGGCCATAAAAGAAGGCCATCTCTGGTGCAGGCCAATCAGTTTCTTAGAACATGCTTGTTTGCATGTTTTGCCACAGAGTACGTGTGATTAATGCAGACTTGGGATGCTTTGCAAAAGGTATATATTTGGTGTTTGAACATCTTAACACATGTTTTTTGCCACAAAGGATGAAGCCTATTCTTATACATGTCATCATGATTACAGGATACGGCTTATTACAGTGCATCCCAACCATGTGCCGTGCAGCACTTTTTCAGGCGCCATTCACTTGCTCAGCTCTGCTCACAGTTGCAAGTCACCTTCCCTACTCATCATGTCAGTCACCGGGTCGCACCCACCCACCCACCCACCATCCGTTTCATTCATCTACACAGTCTTCTCCCCCTCCCCCACACGCCTGATGCCCATCACCCATGAGGGCAACTCACCTGAGCAGAGACTCCTGACATGTCAACCTCGGTGTCCGCTTCCTCCTCTGGCGGTGGGTTTGCAGGTGGAGGGGGCCGCGTGCGCTGCTGAAAGAAAGGGAAAAGATTCCGAGCGTGCGCGTAGCCTCGTGGACTGCTTGAGCGAGCGCTAGTAAGTAACCATCCATAATATAGGGTTTTTTTTCGTAAGGCCGCGTAAATATAAATGTGTCGTTAAACCCGCCACTACCCGACAGCAAAAACAGTAAGGTCTGTCACGTCAACAGAACGTGGCCAATTTGTTCCTGATCCAGCACACCGGTGTGTTGGAGAGCAAATCCACATTTACAATTCCGAGTTAATTACAGTCTCATCAGGCGACAGCCAGATTTGTGGAACCATTTGTAAGTAACCAGTTTTATTTCGTGCAATTATAGGATAATGTAATTTGTTGTTAATAACCCTATTTAAATTATGTATACCGGCCCGTGGCTTTGCAACAAAAAATATCCAGTAGTTTGCGACGTAGCTTTAAAACAGCGAGCCGTGCCCACCTTTGGTCAATGACACTTTTCAATGCATGTGTATGCAAGCTGAAATTACTTTAGATAATATTTATATTTGAATACTGTGACCTTGTTGTTAAGTACATTCATTACACTGAAAAAAAAACATGCATTTTCAGTTTAAGACAGACAGTTGAGGTGAACTTAAGCTATAAAACTACTCTTAAATCCTACGAAACAATATTTTGGGGCTCAAACCATATGGAAGCATAATATTAACATACTCTTCAAATTATATAACTGGTCATCCACACATATGTACTTTATTGTGCATATATAAAAGTTCAAGCTCTCATTACCTTCACATATAAAATTACTGCTCAACTCTACACAGCCAAGATGCCGTTTGCTAATTCTACCCCACGTCCAGCAAAACGCTCTTCCCCGCCCTCGCGTGGCGAGTGCTGGCACCTTGCTGAGGCCATCCTCATCGGTGTGATCAAGGGATGTGGAGGAGTTGGAGAGGGCATTGCAGAGGCTCTCGTAGAGAAAGTCCCCACTCTGCTCAGGGTTGCTCGGCCTCCTTTCCCCTACCCTCTTGTGCTGCTCACCAACCACTTCCGTCATGGGCCTCGCTGAAGCCGATTTGTCCTTCGGCCAATGGTCTAGGAACAAACAGGAGTAAAAAGATACCATTTGCACAATGGAAGTTACCTTCAATATCACTGAATAACAGCATCACTATACCCAACTATTATCCATTACCTGCACTTTCCCCACGCAGCAGGGCAGAGATTTGCAAGGCCTTCTGGGACCGGTGCTCCCCCAAGATGTCCAGTGCCGTCTTGCTCTGCTTGTCTCGGATGTTCACATTAATCCCTGCAGCACGACCACACAAACCACCGGTTAAGATGCAACGGTGGTAGAATGCGAGTGCTCGGTATCATGTCAAGCGATTAACTCATGTACGGCCAAGCATACAGTGGTCGATGCCCAGGGCTCTCGATCAGAACGTTTAAAGTTCAAATCCCAGTCGAGGGTGGACGCAGCCCTTCATCTCTCAGGGGTCGAGAAAATTACCATTTAACAGTGGTTGGTCCCACACAGAGACTTTCCACCAATGGTTCAGGCATATAAAAACTAGTGAGAGTAACGTCTTTTACTTAATTATTTATTGGCTCGTGGCATGGTGGCATCTATGCCGTATTGCAAAAGTGTTAGGCTGGACATGATAGAGAAAAAGTGTGACATGGCCAAGTGGTGTAGCATTGCTGTATGTCAGGAATGCCACATTGTGGGTAAATTTGTGTGCATTGTGGGTAAATTTGTGATGTAGCAAGGTGCGGTGTCACGGTGATGTCAGCGATGTCTCGCTCACCGGCTTCTAACAGCAACCTCACGACGTCGACCCGGCCAAAGAGCGCAGCCTCGTGGAGAGCGCTGCCCTTCTCGCTCTAGCCATACACAAACGCCAGCACAAGCACGTGTCAAAACGCTGCTACTGCACGCTGCAGCACCAGCAAGCATGATAAATCATTACTACACAGATCATGACATTCCCAAATGGCAGAAAATCAGACTCCCATTCATGAGATTTCCAAGTGAGATTCCAGCCATATTGACTCAATCACCAATGTAATTTAATTTTCTGTAAGCACCACCCTACAGGTTAGCCTACAGGTGCACTAGTCCCTGCCATAGCAGTGTGGAAGTGAACCAATTGGTTTAGAACTATCAGTGGAGATGAGCTGTGCACAATACTCATTGAAGAATGGGGAAACTTTAACTACCATATTTGTACAAACACACACACGTAGTAGTTATGCTGTTACCATCTGCATATCTGTCGTAAAAATGATCAGTATGTGCAATGCAACCAGTTACACCTGGCAGTGAACGTTTTACCCATGAACGCCAAAACAATCTTCCCCATCTGGAAAACATTTCCACGGTGGACCAACCATGTTGTTCTTTTTTGTTGTCCTTTCCCCACACCTCCGATTAGCATGGTTGGCTACGTACAGTGCGAAAAAAGTCCAACATATTTTCAACCATCACCGGTTTTCTTTACCGATGAGGTGACTCTCAGGTACTCGAGGCACCTGCCCTTTTTGACCATGTTTATACATCTCTCCGGTGAAAGCTCCACAATGGGCATCGACGTGAACTGTTGTGGATAACCTCCGTAAGCTTTACCCAAAACTGCCCCAACTACACCGGCTTCCTCCACGGACGGAAATCCACGCTTTCGCCTCACGAGAATGAGACGTAAAAGAAAGACTCGCAGAAATTCTTCCAGTTCCCGACGTCAAAATTCACTTGCGCGGTTTCTGCCACGCACAAGTCACTTGTTAAACAACGAAAACGATTTGGATGCCGAGTGGTAACATTGTCAGCAGTCAGCATTTAAGTCAGAAAAGTCAGTAACTGACAACACGTGAATCAGGCTCTATGCACACACACACACACAGGCCAATCTAGAGTTCACATACACTCGGTAAATATAAAGCCCGATTCATGTGTTGCAAAAAAAACAGATGAATCCTAAAGTGTGTGTGTGTGATGAAAAGTGCCATATTTATAAAGGTGTTAGCCGCGTGATGTGCTTTGTGCTGGCTACATTTAGCTCCCCGATAGCAGCACTGACTGACACCATGCAGCAACAGCAGCAGCAATCCTATGAAGGCGGTCGGAATCTCAACCCCCTGCGAGCGACAATGTCCGCTGTGTGCGCGGCCGGCCTGCCCCCCCTCACCTGGATGTTGACATCCATGCCAGCCTCCAGCAGGACCTGCACGGTACCCGTGTGGCCGTTGCGAGCGGCCAGGTGCAACGGGGTGTGCTGCTTGGTGTTGCACGCCAGGAGGTTAGGGTGGGAGCGGGTGAGCAGCGTCACCACGTCCAGGCGGCCGTACAGGGCCGCCAGGTCGAGGGGCGTCTCGAAGCGCGTGTTGCGCATGGTGGGGTCGGTGAGCTCCTCCAGCAGCAGGCGCACCACCGCCGTGTGGCCGTACTGCGCCGCGCAGTGCAGCGCCGTCTCGTTGTCGTGGTTCTGTGGGCGCGCGAAAAGACTTTAAATTGTGAAACGCATTCATAATGACAATAACAATCAACACAATTTATAACGCGCACATATTCTGCGAAACGGACGCGTAGTTCGATCGAGAAGTCAGGAGGCGCTGATCCAGAGCTCAAAGTGCTTCGTACGCCAGTCTGAACAGGTGAGAGCCTGGACAGGTGAGAGCCTGCACAGGTAAGAGCCTGGACGGGTGAGAGCCTGGACGGGTGAGAGCCTGGACGGGTGAGAGCCTGGACGGGTGAGAGCCTGGACGGGTGAGAGCCTGGACAGGTGAGAGCCTGGACAGGTGAGTGCCTGGACGGGTGAGAGCCTGGACGGGTGAGAGCCTGGACAGGTGAGAGCCTGGACAGGTGAGAGCCTGCACAGGTGAGAGCCTGCACAGATGAGAGCCTGGAAGGGTGACAGCCTGGACAGGTGAGTGCCTGGACGGGTGAGAGCCTGGACGGGTGAGAGCCTGGACAGGTGAGAGCCTGGACAGGTGAGAGCCTGCACAGGTGAGAGCCTGCACAGATGAGAGCCTGGAAGGGTGACAGCCTGAACAGGTGAGGGCCTGGACAGGTGAGAGCCTGGACGGGTAGGAGCCTGGACGGGTGAGAGCCTGGACGGGTGAGAGCCTGGACGGGTGAGTGCCTGGACGGGTGAGAGCCTGGACGGGTGAGAGCCTGGACGGGTGAGAGCCTGGACGGGTGAGAGCCTGGACGGGTGAGAGCCTGGACAGGTGAGAGCCTGGACAGGTGAGAGCCTGGACAGGTGAGTGCCTGGACAGGTGAGAGCCTGGACGGGTGAGAGCCTGGACAGGTGAGAGCCTGGACAGGTGAGGGCCTGCACAGGTGAGAGCCTGCACAGATGAGAGCCTGGAAGGGTGACAGCCTGAACAGGTGAGGGCCTGGACAGGTGAGAGCCTGGACGGGTAGGAGCCTGGACGGGTGAGAGCCTGGACGGGTGAGAGCCTGGACAGGTGCAAATTGGATGGGCGAGAGCCTTGACAGGTGAGAGTCTTGAGTTGCCGCTTGGAGCTGGATGGTGCTTGGAAGCTGTGCACGTGCAATGGGAGAGCATTCCTGAAAGCTGCTGGTGTAGCGATGGAGAAACGCGCACACGACGGACATTGTCGCTCGCAGGGGGTTGAGATTCCGGCCGCCCTCATAGGATTGCTGCTGTTGCTGCTGCAGGGTGTGTCGGTGACGAATTGGCATGTTCTGTTTATGTAACAACCCTTACTGGTTGGCTGTGTCGGGTGGTGGTGGGTGTTAACGACACATTTATATATTTACGCGATCTAACCAAAAAACCTTTATTATGGCAGTCCTGGTTCTATTTGGACGTGTGCACACGTGGAGATTGGAGTGTTTTTGTAAAAACAAAAACATGTGGCAATGAAAAGCAGTATTCCAATGTGCCTCACAAGGAAAGATTTCAATCAGAGCCGTATTTCCCTGCCATGATGCTTGGATCGGAAGCATGGGCACTGAAGAAATGAAATGGAACAATAGAAGCAAAAAACACGACAGAGTGTGGAGAGATGCGTGCTGCGAATTACGCCGACGGACAGAAACAAAAACATTCGGATCATCAGAAAAAAAAGAAAATTGGAGGCACATTGACTTAAGACAAGTAGGTCGGCTTGGGCAGGACGCATCGTCAAAAGGGATGGGGCAAGACTCGTGAGAGATTGGAAACTAAAAGAGGGGACAACCGCCACGTAGATGGAGCGATGTATTTAACTCATGTGCGGCGATGGCATTGCAACGAAGTTTGGAGGTCTTCATTCGCCATTGGATAGATCGTGGCTGTTGATGATATGGATAGGTTTGAATGGAACGCTTGGTAATACAGTACATCATAAAGCGTTGAGATTCCTTGAGGGATATTGACACATCTAGTTGTTGGACCAAAAACCTGCTCCACAACCCACAGTGGGTTTGAATATATTTCAGTTTATGCATGCCCCATAAATATTTATAACCTGCTTTCATCTTTCTGTTGAATAATATCAAAGTGGAAGCTTAACAAAAAAGCATGCAGACTCTGATATTTTAACAATTTAAAATAATCACAAATATTCACACATATAACACAAGTCTGTGCAGGTGGCTGGTCAGGTGGACAGGCGTCTTAACTGTTGTCCCCAGGTCTAAGCTAATAAACATTAAATTACACTCAGGATCTGATTACAGATCCTGAGTAATAGTCTCATTTCGAATGGTCTAAAATCGGTTCTGGCTAAAGGGCTGAACTTCGCTGTCACCCCCAAACACATACCAGTGGATATTATTGCCCAGGTCGATGTAGCCCTTAAGGGTTTGGAACATATCGCTGCAGACGTGACAAGATCTGAAATCGCTGCAACCCTCAAAAGCGTTAAGATACCAGTCAGTAAGGATGAGCGTTTTGAGTTCTCAATTGAAAAAGAGAGATGATATCGTCATCCTCTCAGCTGACAAGGGCAATGCCACGGTCATCATGGACAGATAATCGTCACTGGTGTTGGCCGTCAGCGGGAAATAAACTCGGTTTGCAGGGTCCGTAGTGCAGCGTGCTAACCACTCTACCCTACCGCTCCCCATACATAAAAAACGCAATGGCCAGGATGGCAGAGCCAGTGGTTTATATAGGGAGCTGTGGACTCATACCACATGGGGTACATATGCCATTTTGCATATCACCCAAGTAATAAATACAAATGTGGGCGCAAATATAATTATTATACATCCCATAAAGTGTTTTAGTGGGCATACTTTATATGATGGAAGGGGGGTGTAAACGCATTGAGTAAAGTTTCCGGGGAAATATTGTGCAAAGCTTATGAGTGACGCGGGTTATCAGAGCAGAGAGGGGAGAGGAAGGTCGCGGAGGACAGAGTTAGGGGGGAGGATGTGAAGCAGTGACAAGGCAGGGAGAGCAAGCTGAAAAGTAGTGGAGTGGAAAATATCCCCCGTACAGCCAGACAAGACTGTTGTGGCAAGTGCTGTTAGCGAGCACCTGTGAAGGCCGGCATGGTACACCAAGGGGTGGGTAGCCAGCACTATGCCCGACCGCCTTTGTCTCTCTAGTGGCAAAATTTACACAACACACCAGGTACTCATTTGAGGCCGAGTAGACCTAGAGGAGGCCCAGGACTGACTCAGTTAATCGTCACTGGTATTGGCTGTGAGCGGAAATCGAACTCGGGTCTCCGGGTTCGTAGCGCAGCGTCCTAACTGCTGCACTACCGCTCCCCACAGTGCGTGCACACACACACACTCAATTCATTTTAACACAAGCTGAATAACTGAATAACTATGCAAAAATAAAACCACATGCAAAATCATGCAATGATTCGCAGCCGCACAGCCCAGCGGGCATCGTCGTTTATTGGTAGGTGGTGGATGTGGAACTGGGCGAAAAGCCACACCTCTCACTTCCCTGCTGGGGTGGCACTGGCTTCTAAGTAGGCTCCGACGAAGTTACGGATTGCAAAGGGGTCCCCACAACCATGGACCAAAGCCCCTTTAAACTACCACTTTCTGACAATGCCACCACATAACGTTGGCTGTGTCCCACAGTAAGCATGGAAGGTTACGTTTGGGCGGTTGCATTTAGGGAGCATTGTGATAAAGCCACAGCATCACGGCAGGACACTGCAGAACCGCACTGAGTGAAGACTATGACTGTGTATACACACGCATTCATTGGCTGAAATTGCTGGTACCACCGGCTCACCACCTGGATGCAATCTAGCATGACTGTGCCACTGTAAAGACAAACATTCAAGGTGAACTGCCTTATTCTTCCTCCTTAATAATATTTCAGAACCACAAAAAAACCAAGAGTAATGTCTGTGGTTTGAGTACAAATGTGTTTCAACATGCCATGGAGTGACTGACACACAAACACAACCTCAGGCAAAACATACCACACACCCTGCACCTAACAATGAGGCCGTAAACATGAAGGCATACAGTGTTCAAGGTAGTGGACGCAAGAGTCAATGTCTCATCGCTGTAGTTCACAGAGTGCTTATCTCTCAGCTCCAGCACTAATCCAACAGAGCAGCACGTATCACTTCCTTTAACCAACTTGAAAGGCAAATGACCGAGTCTTGATAAGCTGCCAATGGGGGAAAATGTAAATAGTAATTGTTTTCTACAATTAGCATTTGTGGGAACATTTAATTTGACACATTTTAATAATTATTAATGATTAGTGGTAATCTCTATACATCTTCTTTGGTTATTTCGGTAAAGTCACGTAGAATGAGAATAAAATAATACATTAATAAAATAAAATAACACAATAAAATTATCACGACGTTTCGGCCACAACACAAGTGGCCTTCTTCAGGTGAAAGGAACAGAACTGTCGGGACGACAGAGCTTCAATGAACGTTGTTAAGATTCGTAGCGTCTTTTAAGCTGGTTTAGAGAGGTGAGGCATCATAGAACATCTTTCCAATGGTTGCTTAATTTGAAGCCATCTTCTCGGTTGAAATTGTGTCTGTGTTTGTAGATCTGAATTGCCTCGTGAACAAATGTCTGATAAAAACCCGTGGGTTTGCAAAGAACCTTGGTATCGGAGAAAATTATATCATGATCACCCACAGCGTTAACAATGATCAGCTACGGCAGAAGAATTCGTTTTGCCGTATTTCAAATCTGATTTGTGCTCGCGAATTCGGTCAGAGACATGTCACTTTGTCTCCCCGATATAGCAATCACCGCAGGTACAACTCAATTTGTAAACCCCGGGGTACTGTAAGTCAGGAATGACATCCTTCACGGATGGGATCAGATCACGAATTTTATGTACTGTATTGAACCGGACCTGGATCTTGTGTTTGTTTAGAATTTTGGAAATCTTTTTAGTAACGCCTGCTATATATGGTAGTGTGATGGTTTTGACCGGAGTATCAAGTGGTTGTTTCTGTATGGAGGGAGAAACAGCTTGGCGGATGGTACGGTCAGAGTATCCATTCCTTTTGAGGGCCAGGTGTA